TGGCAGACATGAAAGGCTCCAGGGAGGCTGGATGGAGTGGGCTTTAAAGGCTCTGTATGGCACACGGGTCAGTCCTCTCCTCTCCTCTGGCCTCGCTCTTCCTCCTCTTCTCTTTCTCCACCTCTCCTCTTTCTCCTCCTTCAATGGAGGCCGACATGGAACAGCAGAGCGGTCTGAGAGTGACAGGCAGACAGTGAAATGAAATGGCTGTGGCTGTTTCGGTTGTACCCCTCTGCTTCCCCCTGGCCTGTGGTGTACGTCTGAGCCTGAGGCCCCCGGGGGTTTAGGAAATGGAGCATCACAGTTCTGTTGCCTGTCTGACGTCATGGCCCGGCCCCTCTGCAGCTGTTGCGTGTGTTTAACAACTCTCTCTGTTTACAGTCACCGTCGTGAGAAGTGGGTTCATTCTGACAATAGGGAAAGTTTCATTGTTTTGGAAGCACACAGTATACATGAACATTCTCACTAAGATGTTCTAGAACATTCTAAATGTTTCTTTCTCCTTCTCCCAGTCTGTTTTTATTACTCTGGGTATTCTACCTAAGAAATATAATCCAAATGTAATTTAAACTCTTATTTTCCCTTCATCTTTTCCTTTCCTTGTTGATAGTCCACTTTCCCATATTGGTTGTTAATTGGCATAATGTTGAGGGTGGGAACAGGTTAAACTCCTGTCCAGATGGTTGTGTAGCTGAAGAAACCCTATCCCTTCATTTTACCTCACTGCTAGCGGACTAATTCAGTTATTACAAAAACAACAGATTAGCCCACTCAGGATTAAAACCTGTGTGGGAGAGCATGTTTATTGCAGTTACTTACCCAGTAATTTGTTTGCTTTTGAATAAAGTAAATTGATGATACCATGCCCAAAGCTAAATAGTTTTAGCTCCAGCTCCCCTGCAGAAAATCTAAATGTTTATGCTTGGGAGTTATCATTTTTTTCTCCTCTTTCTAAATCATTTGTTTTCTGTCCCACCTCCTCGCTTTATCTTTTTTACACCCCCCACTCCCCCCCCCCCCCCCCCCTCCCTTCCCCCGATCCGCTTTCCTCTTTGCCTCAGCACATATGAGGCTTACAGGGAAGAACCATTTCAGCCCCTCCCCTTCTCTCAACCACCCCCCTAACGCTGTGGCGAATGGTTCAGCCCTGCTTTGCATAAGTTTCCTCTGAGTAGATCCATGTGTGAAGGGCCAGCCCAGGACTGAAAGAATTAGTCCCTTTTGAACGGGTTCGATGTATGTCTAGGGAGAAGGCTTGTGTGCTGCTGCTGCCGTGTTCTGAAACAGTACACTTGCTCCAGTCATCAGTATAATAGCCGAAGCTATCATGTATTGCGCCTACCCTGTCCCTGGAATGGGTAGCAACTCCTTAATGTATTACTACAACGGGAAATCGGTGAGTTCTGTCTGCGGGAGAAAGAGAGGGAGAGTGTGTGTGTGTGTGTGTGTGTGTGTGTGTGTGTGTGTGTGTCCACGTTTGTAATTGGCCTTCGGGTATGGAGTTACAGAATATTGGGTTGTCCGGCTGCACAGCATGTTTCTCGGCTCTAGAGTATATCACTCCTCTCTGCTTCACTCTCTCTCTCTCCTTTTCTACCTGCCTCTCTCTCTCTCTCTCTCTCTCTCTCTCTCTCTCTCTGTCTCTCTCTCTCTCTCTCTGCTTTTATTCCTGCCCCTCTCTCTCTCTCGCTCTCTGTCTCCCTCTCTTTCCCTCTCTCCTCTGTGGACTGATTTTTCCGTTGCCTCAGTTACAGCTGTGTGACAGTACCATTTGTTTTTCTTTGCAGTTCAAATAGAGGACTTACTTCATTTCTCTCTCAATATGTTCTAGACATGTTATAGCCTGAATCTAGATGGCTCACTTTTTTTTTAGCTAACCATGTATGTCAAAACTTAAAGTAGATTTCAGCACAGACTTCTGTATTAGAGATAAAGCAGAATATAAGCAAGGCACATACATTGTATATAAGTACGAACAAATCTCAACATGTGGATGTGTGTGGTTGAAAAAAGTAAAACACATCATGTTTTTTCTCTCACCTCTGTTCGTAGACAGACTTCAGTGTTATACACTGAAAATATCGTTTTTTTTTAGCTGTGAATTTATTTTTACTGGATGGTTGGTTCAGCACTGAGACTGGGTTGAAATAATAACACGTGGGAAGTCTGGGAATGATTAAGGAAAAGAGGCTGCCTGTTGAGGTTAGACTTTCCTGTTTGTAGATTGAGCTCTGAGCACCAACGTTGCTGTTATTCCATCTGTTTTTAATCACATCGGCATTCTGGACTCTACAGGGAGCCTAATGTAATTCCTGGATTGCTCAGTAAAAAACTCTTTGATTTCTGTGTTCCTGCAAAAACTTTATTTTATGTGTGTGTATGTGGGAGAGTGTGTAGTAGTGTGTGGATGTGGGAGAGTGTGTAGTGTGCGTGTGTGTGTTTGTGGTTGTGTGCATTTGTGTTTTGGTTTACCTGCCTCTGAGCTAAATTGAGTTTCCTCAGATGCTTGCAGTAATTGTGTCACAGGTGTAAAAGTCTCACTGGCACTGCTGCTGAATAAGAGATGAGGAGAGAAAAAGCTCCCCCATGTTTCCCAGCTTCTCTCCAGAGAGCAAAACACTGAAACACCCACTCAGCTCCATCTAGAACATTAACTCCACGTTTCAGAGTCAAGGCCCCATTGGACCTCATTCTCTGATTTAAAGAAACCAGGGAGTTGAACATTTCTATACCATTGTGAGATTCACTTTTATGAGGTCAACATGCTTGTGCTTTAGCACTCCTCATACCCCATTAGGACAATACGCTTCGTTCCTACAGCACCACAGATCACTTTGATCTTTTTATATTAGGTATTACCAGGAAGGTCTTAAAGGTCAGTAGAGGGAGAAAATTGGGAGCATGTGGGCAGCATGGGTCAGAGTTGAACTTTATGATCCAGAGCAGTCGATAAATAACCAACCAATACGAAGCTCTTTATCTTTTATTCTTTGCGGGAGAGATAAATAGTGTTTATTGTGAGCATCAACAAAACTCACATTTACTTGTTTGAGTTTGAGAGTGATTATGGGTTTTATGGCAAAAAAAATGATTTCTGTGTTTTATGGTGTGTGAAGTAGTTTTACTTCTGTTGTTTCATCCAGTTCCAGAGAAAATGAGTAGCCCAAGCTTTAGAGAATTCAGATATTTGGGAGAATTTGGTGGGTGGAGTGTGTTTATCTAAGGTGTGGCCTTTCCTGTCTAATATCCCTCAAGTGCACTGAGGATTGGACCAAGGAGGCATCCAGTAAATGACTGTTTTTCTTCCCACCTTAGGAAATATGAAATAACTGTTTACAGCACAAGATAACATCAGGTGTATGAGTTTTGCCTCAGAGTTTAAACTTCATGTTCACATCTTCCCACATATATAACACCTGGTATCACCTCATTTATCAGAGTGTAGTTGGTCTTTGAAAATTGTGTTTCTTGAGACTTAAATCTTGGAGCTTTTAAGCATCAACAGCTTGAGGCGTGAGATGTCTCTGTTAAAGGGTTGACTGGTACTAGGCTGCAGTGCTGAACATGCCCCATCAGGAAGGTGGTGCTGGGGCTGTGTAGCAGGGGACCATTGTGTTGGAGCTGCGTGCGTGCCTTTAAGCCTCTATAAGTGTGTTAGATTTAGACTTGAAAAGAAAGGCCCTCGTGCATGGTTTGATTCCACATAGTGACGTGCAGAGACAGGATATTCTGTTGACACCAGCAGCCCACTGCTTTCAGCTGTGTCTTTGTGAGTTCCTCAGTTGTTGGACTGTTTTTTGCGGCGGTGATCATTTATTTTTAAGATGTTATTTTCACCGTCGTCATTTGGTGTATCCATATGTTGACAGTTTAATGTTTTTTTCCATGTGCTGTTTTGATTGGTGTGGTGTTGAGATCAAAGGCGGGTGCTGCAGGCTGGTGATGTGTGGAAAGGTGTGGAGGGACTCATCAGCCCTCTCAGATCAGCCACAGAGAGACTAGAGAGTTGCAGAATGAAGCTCTGCCAAGAACCTACTGTCCCCATTCTCTCCAATCTGACAGTGAAATCTTATGCTTGTTGATATTAAGTCAAACATGAGTTAGCTTAGTGTATAAACCACAAACCCTGAATTAATGATTGCTTATGGATTATGATGGCTACAGATATTCTTACATTAAACGTGATGCGTAAAATATACAGAAACAAAACACCCAAACTCTAACAACTGTGCTGGTCCTGGTGGCATGGGCCCTGAGTGACGTCTCTTTAATTAATGTGGTAGTAAAAGGAAAGCCAGGCGGGCCCTCTCCTCCAGAGGCTAGGGGAATGAGGCGCCCGGTGTTTGGGATGTTTTATTAATGCCTTGACTGGCTAGGCCAGGGTAAAGAGGACAATTAGCATCATCCACCGCCATATGCTGCCCATTGAGGCTCAGACTGGGACAAAGCCAGGGCTCCTGTGTGAGGCTAACCTGGAATCACCACGGGAGTCCCCACACCCTGGGTCACATGTGTGAGCCAGAGGACCCAAGAGATCCCCTCCCCTCCCTGCTAAATGAGATTTAGGGTGCTGGAGGTACACACACAGCTAATCACATGCTCACACACACTGCTCGCTCAGCAAGACCCCGTGGCCCTGACTGTTGGCTAAGCTGACTGACTGGGTGCTTAAGGAATTGATATGTCGCTCACGTGTGTGAGTGAATATGTGCGTGTCTTTCTCTTGACGTACGTACTAAAGTGATGACAAATTAAGTTTGTTGGGGTTGTGTCTCGTAAATAAGATCATTATACTTCAGTAGGACAACAAAACATTCTCTCCATGCCCACTGACACATCTTGTTGCATTAGGAAGCAACCTTTGAAGTTCTTGAAGGGCTCTGTTCACGCAAACAGATGAGTATGCCATTAGGTCATTGAAAGAGGAATTTATGTTGCTGGTGACTAGAGGATGGGGGGGGGGGGGGCTGGGTGGCAGGTCTGGTAGTGATTTGTGCTGCATGGTGATGGTGTTAGGGTTGAGGGACCAGCCCTCTTTCTGGCGTGGTGAGTTCACTAGCTCCCTCTCTCCCTTGCTCTCTCTCCCTCCATCTGGAGTGGATAAAGTCAGAGACCACATCACTAATGTTTGGCCTCACGGCCCTTTGATCCTCCCACCCAGCCTGGCACAGCCACAGCTGCACAACAGCGCTCTGTGCCTCACCGCTCTTCCCCTCCCTATATCCCTCGCCAGCTTACAGCCAGGTAGCAAAATAAAGAAAAGCACAGGCCCCATATTTGATTTTCTGATTTGATTTCTGTTTCTTTGGCGAGCTGCAATTTGCAGAGTGTTTTTATGAACGCGTGTGTGCTTGTGTCATTATAGTTCCATTAAGAACTGAGACAATCTGAAAGGCAAACACCCCCTGATAATCCAGTCCTCCCTCCATGAGCCTTCCAAATGAGCCCAGCTGCCACACCTCTGGCTTCTTAAACCGCCACGGCTCAGTTCGTTCACTACATTCATTAAAGTAGACATGATTCTGGCTTCAACATACAACGCTACTTTACAGATGACAGTCGTGTAAGGAATAGGGGATGAATTTAGTCAAAGATACTCGTTTTCATCTAATGATGGTTAATGAATCCATCCTTAATGCACTGGCTTTAGATTGTGATCAACCCACCAGGCAGGGTGGTGTGGGATTAGAATTGTTCCTCTTCAGCATCATCCTAATAACTCAACCAAATCATCATCATTATGCTCCTACCACATACAGAGAACAGTCACAAGCTATGTTTTAGAGGATAATGACTTGGACAAAATTCTAGACTGCCCTGTGCACCTCCTGTTGTTATTCATGTTGATAATGTCTGTTTTCCTTTGGCAGGTGTATGCCCCGTCTCCCAACTCCACAGAAGACTTCAACAGAGATTCCCCCTCCTACTCATCTCCCAAACCCCCCAGCAGTATGTTTGCAAGCACTTTCTTTGGTAAGTGATTCTGACTTAAGACAGTCTCTGTCATGGAGTCTAAAGAAGCCAGTTTTATCTGTTTGTTCAATCTGTCTTTGTCAATGTCTTCCCCTGCCTGTTGATGGACAGTGGACCCATGAGAAAATATTTCTGGACAAACATCCTAACATCACACTCAGTTACTCTCTCTGTAGTCACTCTCTCTGATGTCGCTAAACAGTTTCAAATGTTCAGCTTGATTTAGCCATTTCTTTCTTCTGGTAGACAGTATTTCACTGAGCCTGGGCTCAGAGTCAGTGGTCTTTGAAGGGATGGGGTTGCTTTCTGTTAGCCAAGGGAGGCTTAGTGTTATCTCAGCTGTGTCCAGGACAGGGCTTGTGTTTCAGTCCTAAGACCAGACTGGGAGAGTGAACAACTCCCTTGTGTGATCCAGCGACTCAGCAGAGAGGAGGGGGACTGCCCTATGTGGAAAGGTCTCTCTGGGCTCTCATAATCAAGCTGTGTGTTGTGGTTTGCTTCACGGCGGTTCAGGCATATTGCATTTTATGTAAACTTGACTTTGGTTATTAAACTAAAGCCATTAAAACGTCTTTGCTCCCTTCTGGAATCAAATCCAGGACGTCTCTTCAATTGGATGATCCTTTTGTTAAATTAGTCATTATACTGTGAAGAATAGGGATGAAACTCAAGACGGATCCATTTCAACTTAACTCTGTTTGTTGTCATTAGATGGGACCCACAACTCTTCTGACCCGTGGAATTCCTCCAATGGGATCAACCAGCCTAGTTATGGAGGAATGCTGGGAGGATCTTCATCTCACATGCCGCAGTCAGGAAATTACGTCAACATGCACTCACATGACCGCCTGGTAAGCAACCCAGCTAGTGATGTAAGCACATACTGTAAGTCTCAATGTTTCCCCTACCTATTCTTAGACAGTCTACCCCCTCCCCTTTAAGCTCTATTGCCCCATACTCATAAAACATTTGGCCTGCATTGGTTTCAATTGAATATTTGTGGTGTGCAATATTGCAGCCCACAATATTGCCCACCCTGCCTACAGAAAAAGTCTAGCTAGGGGAAACACTGTGACTTATGTGTATTCAGCATCCATGTCCTGTTCTGCCCCATCAGAGCACATCCCCTCCTCTCTGCTGAGCCCGTAGTGAGAGTGGTCGGTGTGAGCCGTGGCCTGGCTATCTCTCTATCTGATGTTGCTGTCTGGGCGGTATCTGTGTAAGACACGGCTGACCCCCTCTATCAGTGTTTCATCTGCTCTGCTCTGTCTGCCCACTGTGTCTCACTGGGACTCACGGGGAGCCTGCAGCTGCTGCTCAACCAAAGCCCTCTGTCTGTCTGGGCTCCACATTCATATAACCTCTATTTATCAAGTGATAGTTTTTCACCATGCAAAATGCGATTCTTTCCACTGAACAAGTGTATGCACACACAATATTGTTTTGTCCTCATGTACACGTGTTTTGTTCTCTTTGTCTTTCAGAACTACCCTCCACACTCTGTATCGCCGACAGACATCAATGCCAGTCTTCCTCCAATGTCCAGCTTCCACCGCAGCAACGCCAGCACTTCACCATTCGTTAACCCAACACACACCCCGCCTGTCAACACCACCGACGGGGTCATGGGTACGCCGAATATTTGGTTGATCTACTCTTAAATATCAATAGGCGAGATAAATGTCCATAATTATGCTTTCTTCTTTAATCTATGCGCTGTGTTATAAATGTCCTCTCCTTGTTTATGTAGTTGCTGCAAATCGGGGGAACGCCACTGGAAGCCAGCAGACTGGAGATGCACTGGGCAAAGCCTTGGCTTCGGTGAGTACAGCACACCCCTGTTCTCCTCCGGGGAAATGGGAAAGCCTCAAAGGAGATTTAGATAGAAACCATGTTACAAATCCACAGAGGTTGTTTGTTTGGGGTAAAGCCCTATTGGTTTACTTGTAAGTGGAGGCACAATCCATGCAGCACTTAAAATTGCACTCTCTCCCTCTGAATGTCAGTTTGATTGAGGCGTTAGGCTTACATGGATGGCTAGGAATCCTCTGTGGATATCCCCTCTAGGTTGATCCCCTCTCTGGGTGTGAATCCTGTGTTATTGCCTACACTACCTTCTCCACACACATTAATATCAAATATATTTGTTATTCCTGTGTTGAATTGAGATGGTGCAGTATATTAATGGCCCTCTTTAGTCTGTAAAGGAAGCGACCTCGGTAGTCACGATGGGTATTAAGTGCTATAGTGAATGCTGATTAAATAAGCCCAGAGGGATGTGTTTGCAGTTGTTTTTGGGCCTAAGCCAGGATAATTGTGGACTTAATCTCAGAGTATACAAGAAAGGGAATTGTAGGTTAAAAAAACACACTCCTAAAGCCTATGGATTACGCACCAGTTTGAATAATCAAGCCTTGGAATTTGTGCCATTTTCGATCATGTCTCCCTGCACGTTTGACACACAATAACTCATAAACCTTTGCACTACTGAGGATGAATATATCCTCCGTCCAGTTAGAGTACTCTGGGTTTCAACAGCCACAAAACCTCACAGAGAGCTCTTCTGTCCCTCCTCTTACTGACTATTTCTCATTTTAATAACTCCCAGAACTAATCTTTAACCGGGCCTAATATACACTTCATGACCAAAAGTAAGTGGACACCTGCTCGTCGAACATCTCATTCCAAAATCATGGGCATTAATATGGAGTTGGTCCCCCTTTGCTGCTATAACAGCCTCCACTCTTCTGGGAAGGCTTTCCACTAAATGTTGGAACAATGCTGCAGGGACTTACTTCCATTCAGCCACAAGAGCATTAGTGAGGTTGGGCGTTCCAATTCATCCCAAAGGTGTTTGATGGGGTTAAGGTCAGGGCTCTGGGCAGGCCAGTCAAGTTCTTCCTCACCAATCTCGACAAACCATTTCTGTATGGACCTCACTTTGTGCACAGAGCCCTGTGGGCCTTCCCCAAACTGTTGCCACAAAGTTGGAAGCACAGAACCGTCTAGAATGTCATTATATGCTGTAGCGTTAATATTTCCCTTCACTGGAACTAAGGGGCCTAGCCCAAACCATGAAAAACAGCCCCAGACCATTATTCCTCCTCCACCAAACTTTACAGTTGGCACTATGCATTGGGGCAGGTAGCGTTCTCCTGGCATCTGCCAAACCCAGATTAGTCCGTCGGACTGCCAGATGGTGAAGCGTGATTCATCACTCTAGAGAACGTGTTTCCACTGCTCCAGAGTCCAATGGCGGTGAGCTTTACACCACTCCAGCCGATACTTGGCATTGTGCATGGTGATCTTAGGCTTGTGTGCTGCTGCTCGGCAATGGAAACCCATTTCATGAAGCTCTGAACTCTGTGAAGCATTTATTTGGGCTGCAATTTCTGAGGCTGGTAACTCCAATGAACTTATCCTCTGCAGTAGAGGTAAATCTGGGTCTTCCATTCCTGTGGCGGTCCTCATGAGAGACAGTGTCACGATCGTCCAGAACAGATGAGGACCAAGGCGCAGCGTTGCAGGCAAACATACTCTTTAATTAGAGACACGATCAAAACAACAAACGATACGTGACAGTTCACGGTCTAACATAAACAGACTTGAAACAAGATCCCACAAACACAAATGACAGTTTAAATATGGCTCCCAATCAGAGACAACCAACGACAGCTGACACTCGTTGCCTCTGATTGGGAGCCACTCAGGCCAACATAGAAATACACATACTAGATAAACAAATGAAATGCACACCCTGGCTCAACATACAAGTGTCCCCAGAGCCAGGGCGTGACAGTACCCCCCCCCTAAAAGCGCGGACTCCGACCGCGCCCACCAAACACCACAGGAGAGGGACCGGGTGGGCACTCCGCTTAGGCGGCGGATCCGGCTCCGGGCCTGATCCCCGCTCCCTCTCCAACCCCCCAAAGTACCCCCGGTCCGGTCTGGCCCCGCCGGCCGGAGCTGGACTGCACACTGGTGGAGCGGATTGCTCTAGCTCCGGCGTGAAGCATCTGACCGGTGCCGGACCAGCCACCGGTGGAACAGGTACGGGCCGTGCCAGACTGACGACGCACACCACTGGCTTGGTGTGGGGAGCAGGAGCGGGCCGCGCCGGGCTGACGAAGCGCACCACTGACTTGGTGCGGGGAGCAGGAACGGGCCGTGCCGGGCTGACGAAGCGCACCACTGACTTGGTGCGGGGAGCAGGAACGGGCCGAGCTGGGCTGACGAAACGCACCACTGACTTGGTGCGGGGAGCAGGAATGGGCCGGACCGGGCTGACGACGCGCACCACTGACTTGGTGCGGGGAGCAGGAACGGGCCGCGCCGGGCTGACGAAACGCACCACTGACTTGGTGCGGGGAGCAGGAGCGGGCCGGACCGGGCTGACGAAGCGCACCACTGACTTGGTGCGGGGAGCAGGAACGGGCCGTGCCGGGCTGACGAAGCGCACCACTGACTTGGTGCGAGTGGCAGGAACAGGCCGGACCGTACTGGGAACACACACCACTGGCCCTACGTGGGGATCAGGAACAGGCCGGACCGGACTGGCAACACACGCCAGTACCTCTCGCCGTGCCTCTACACCCTCCTTCCCCCTGGTGACCAGTGACTCCCGTAACCTGGCGGCCTCCTGCTGCCCCGTCGTCCACGGCGTTAGCCCCCCCCTAAAAAATTTATGGGCTTCACTCCTACCCGTGGCCAAGGCCTCCATCCCTCTTGCCAGACTCGCACTCATCTCCTCCCAAGTCCATCCTCTCTCCTCGTCACGCTGCTTGATCCAGTCGAGGTGGGATCTTCTGTCACGATCGTCCAGAACAGATGAGGACCAAGGCGCAGCGTTGCAGGCAAACATACTCTTTAATTAGAGACACGATCAAAACAACAAACGATACGTGACAGTTCACGGTCTAACATAAACAGACTTGAAACAAGATCCCACAAACACAAATGGGAAACAGACAGTTTAAATATGGCTCCCAATCAGAGACAACCAACGACAGCTGACACTCGTTGCCTCTGATTGGGAGCCACTCAGGCCAACATAGAAATACACATACTAGATAAACAAATGAAATGCACACCCTGGCTCAACATACAAGTGTCCCCAGAGCCAGGGGGTGACAGACAGTTTCATTATAGCGCTTGTTTTTTTGTGACTTTACTTAAAGAAACGTTCAAAGTTTGCTTTGCTTATTTGAGCTGTTCTTGCCGTAATATGGACTTGATCTTTTACCAAATAGGGCTATCTTCTGTATACCCACCCCTACCTTGTCACAACACAACTGATTGGCTGAAACGCATTAACTTTTAACAAGGCACACCTGTTAATTGAAATGCATTCCAGGTGACTGCCTCGTGGGGCTGGTTGGGAGAGTGCCAGGGGTGTGCGGGGCTGTCATCGGGGTAGGGGGTGGCTACTTTGAAGAATCTCAAATATAAAATATATTTTGAGTTGTTTGGCACTTTGTTGGTTGCTGCATGTTTCCATATGTGTTGTGTCGTGGTTTTGATGTATTCACTATTGTTCTACAATGTAGAAAATAGTACAAAATAAACCCTTGAATGAGTTGGTACTGAATGCACCAATTTGTAAGTCGCTCTGGATAAGAGCGTCTGCTAAATGACGTAAATGTAAATGTAATGAAGCTCCCGACGAACAGTTCTTGTGCTGAAGTTGCTTCTAGAGGCAGTTTGGAACTCGGTAGTGAGTGCTGCAACCGACGACAAACAATTTTTACACGCTTCGCGCTTCAGCACTCGGCGGTCCCGTTCTGTGAGCTTGTGTGGCCTACCACTTCTCGGCTGAGCCGTTGTTGCTCCTAGACGTTTCCACTTCACGATAACAGCACTTACAGTTGACTTGGGCAGTTCTAGCAGGGAAGAAATATGACGAACTGACTTGTTGGAAAGGTGGCATCCTATGACTGTGCCACGTTGAAGGTCACTGAGCTGAGCAGACTTTTGTCTATATAGTGTATCTCACCTCCGAGAAATGAAACCCACCGTAGCTTTTATTCCTAGTAAAAAGTGAGAGAAGTAGAATGTGGAAAAGCGTAATGGGTTTACATTTGGGAAGTGCTATGGCTCAGTGGCGCGCACCCGAAAGAGAAAAGTGTGTGTGAGGGGGTATGATAATCACAAATTAAGTATTTTTGTATTCTCAGACTCAATTCTATTAGCATGACAAAGCTGCGGTGAAATGGACACGGTTGGGCTGGGGTGAGACGAGGAGTGGGGAGGCCAGGGGGGGCGATGGGGGTTCCTAACTGCTGTGGCTCAACTCTGCGGGCCGCCCTTTGTGGGCCTTTTGTTCTCCGGCCTTTTAAACGGGCCGTGCTTATTGGCCCCCCGCTGCCCGGGGGAGCGTGACCGATGAGGAGGCGGAGCCTCATTTGTTGTTGGTAAAATGAGTCGTGTTGCAGTTTGAATACAGCAGAAGTAGCCCGGGACCAGAAGAATGGCCCGTTGTATATTGCAGGGTCAGGAGTCACGGCTATAGACGGCCCGCTTTGGAAAGAGAAGAGATATTGGCTAATTCGTTTTGAGTCCCATTGATTTGAGACATACACTTGTGATCACAGTTGATGGTCATTACTTCTCAACAGGATTTAGTGTCTCAGGGTAAAGATACTGAGCAGTGACAAATGCTTTTGACTGAGAAATGTGATTTAAAGAATAGAGAAGAAGAAGCGTGTATTCTAAGTCCCCACAGGGAAAAACATATATTTTGGTACACAGAGTGACATGCAATAGCCAAACCATTTGGATTTTCAAAAGTTGATTGAAACACAAAAGCTTGGTGATCAAGCTTAAAAGAGAAGATTATTAATAACGGCATTCCATTGTGTTTACTGAAGTTAAACGGTTTCCTGTGAGTAGGATGTGATGTTTACTTGGAGGGAAATCCTTCTGGATCTACTGCCTCTGCTAATTAGTGGGATTCAAACCTCTAATACCCTGATTTACTGGGATACACTTTCCATTATGGCACAAAATATCCTCTTAAAGGGAACAAATCAGGGATGTGTTGTCTGCTTTAATCCATCATTTCTCTAAACAAATGAAATCCCTGTGGAAGTTTTAAAGATGTAATCTGTATGCTTCGGAATCACATCATCCTCTCTCTCGCTCTCTCTCGCTCTCTCGCTCTCTCTCTCTCGCTCTCGCTCTCGCTCTCTCTCTCGCTCTCTCGCTCGCTCTCTCTCTCTCTCTCTCTCTCTCTCTCTCTCTCTCTCTCTCTCTGTTTTTTATAGTCCATACAAGACACCTCAACTGGTCCGATCTGATTGTTTAGTACTCATCCAGTTTTAGTTGTTCTCTCCCTTCACTGGGGCCCAATTCAGGGCGTGGTCTAGCATGGAGAGGTGCGGTGGTGCAGCTCATTCAGAATAACCCCCACCGCTCCATCACTATTGGGGGATTAATGCTGGCCTTTGTATCTCTCCCTGTCTATGGCCGGGCATTCCCTCTCTCTTGGCCTCCACCCTGGTTTATACTGGAGTTATATAGCACCATGTTAAAAAGATATTCATGGAATTTAGGGCAGATTTTAGTCCACTTTAGCTTTAAAGGATTTCAACCGCTTTGTTCCTGTTTCCCCCACAAAGTAAAGACGTTGACTTTCTCCTCTAATAGTGTATCAGTCATATTACTGTAGATACAGTATCTGTATGATATGATCTATGCTGTGGCTAGTGGGGAGATCTAAATAAAACAACACAAACCAGAGTTGGAGGAGGGCACTAGACTGGACAGAGCCTTCAGGTGTCACAGTGAATATGGTTTACGCTACGTTTATTTGAGCTTTAACTGAAGCCGCTGCTCACTGTTAAAGGCCCATATGTATGCTCTGAACATTTTTATGGGCTCCCCAGTTGTAAAATCCCCAGAATTGATGAGCCAATTTCGGCTGTGCGCAGGCTGAAGGATGGTGACACAGGCTATAAAGAAGTATGGGGAAACGATAGGTTGTGATTTTAAAGAGCTGCATGTTCAGCCTTACTGACAGAACTCTCTCTTTCTCCCTCCCTTTCCCCATTTCTCTCCCTCCTTCTGTCATCCCCCTCACTCTCTTTCCCTCCGTTTCTCTCCATCTTCCCCCCTTTCTATCTCCCCTCTCTCTCCACAGATTTACTCACCTGACCACACCAGCAGTAGTTTTCCATCCAACCCCTCCACCCCTGTAGGATCTCCGTCGCCCCTGACTGGCACAGCAGGTGCTGCTGCCTCAGCAGGTACAGTGGTGACCACCGGCGCCCCCTCTCGAAGGGCAGGTACAACATCAGTCTGCACTCTGATCTACTGCACTATAGAATTATACCAGCCTAAACTAGTCCCAATGCCATGGAGAGGTGGTGGTTATTGCTTCCTCAGAGCATCCGCACTGCTTCCTCCATAAGGCTCTGTCTTAGTACTGTAGGTGAACACTGCAAGTGATGTTTATCTCACGATGGTCTTCCGAGTCTCTATTGTTTTGACGACATTGCTGATGCAGTTTACCCCAGACAGCCCCTAGCTACATAGTGATAAGGAGTCAGCTCTCTTCAGTTGCTGAAAGGGGCCAAGAGACTATCTTAGAGTTTGTCATCCTCTCCTCTCAGTCACTGCATTCATTCTACCAGATAACCAACCGGATAATTCAGATAATGAATTTCCCTAAAACTGGGTCCGTATGTAGCAGAGCAATGTGCAGGGGACATTTAATAGTTGAGAGAGAGAGAGAGAGAGACCAGCGTGTTGTTTTAGTGGGCAGTTGTGCCGTGTGTGGTGATGTAGTGGCGACAGCTGTCCCCACGTATGCCCCCCTCGTCCTCAGCTGTTGCCCTGGTCTGTGGGACAGCTGTTCCCCCCATGGACCGACCGGCCTGCAAAAGGCCTCATTTATCTGCCCGAGGAGCGACAGTGACTCAGCTGATGAGGAGGAGTATATCAGCCTCACACAGGGGGATGCCGACCCCTCACCACCCACTTTATACCTCAGCTAGCCAGGCCTCAGGGCAGCATGCCCTACCTGGGAGGACAGAGGAGGTAGAATGTCAACAACCATTTAGATTATATCAGTTAAGTTTCTGTCACCTGGAGATTGAGAACACCAGTTATTTGGGTGTGGATTGTTTTGTTATACAAATAATGAGACAACATGATACCAAGGGCACCAACTTTTGTTACAATGTGAAACAGAGTTTCTCTTTACAATCATAATCCTCAGTGAATCTACAGTTTCTGTTCAATTTACAAATGCAAAACAAATACTCCACATCCATGACCTTTCCATGTGAGAAAACATCTGCCTTTGTCCAAAACCCTTCCCAAAAGTCATAACCTATCCATTTCTAAATCTGTTGCCATTAGTTTAATAGAACGCCTCCATAAAAACTAAAGTTAATGTAGCTTGAAAGGGCAACTGGGATGATTGAAAATGTATTTCTTCATTAGCATAGTTGTTTCATGTTTTGCGATCTAATATCAATGTATGTGTTTGAAGTTTGTTAATTAGAATAAGGGGCTATACTTAGAGGTCAGTTGGGGCATGATTTGGCATGATGTTCAGATTAACCACAAATTGCTCCATCTGTTCATTAGAATTTGCTAGTTTCATAACCCAACCAGGCAGGAACAGATATACACCCTGGTGCTGCTCAACTCAACTCTGGCTGGTGTGTTCAATTAGCCCTCTCCTCCTCCTCCTCTCCTCCACGTGGGGACCAGAGGCCCAGGGAGGCTTAGTTATGAGTACTTCCTGTTTGGTTTGTGCCAGGGAAACGCTGAGGCTGAGCAGAGAGGCTCCCTCATTTCCTGTTCCAAAGTTACTTTTAATAGCCTCTTAATTAAAGCCTGGCTTTTCCAGGACCTTTGTGTGGAGAGACTTTCTCTCAGAAGAGGACTAATGCTTAGTTTACACTGCTGACGATGAATCAATGGAAAATCCTAAACAGTTCCCCCAGGTCAAGTGGAGTTGTAATCCTAGTGTTTGTCAGAAACAAACTAACGTTAGCTAGCTATCTCCCGGTTCCCAATCTTTCTCTCTCAAATACTGAAATACCATTTTAGAGGAGAACAGGAAGAAAATGGGTCCTGCTGTTTGTTTTGACAAACAATGTATCCATCTGTAGAGTATGCTACAGTACGTGGGCTGTGTGTTGGCCTCCTGCCACAGTAATGGAGACCAGACGGTATAGTGAGGGCCCATAGCTGGAGCTGGCTCACTGACACAGCCCAGTATAAATAACCTGGGAGGTTTCCTCATTGTCACAATCGATTAAGGAGACTTGAACTGTTTTCATGTGCACACCACAGGCTTGGTGTAATGCATTACCTCCTGGTGCACTGTTGTTTGTTAGTTGGAATATTTCATACAAAATTGGCTAAGATAAAGAGACAAAGATATTTAAAAAAATTGCATCGGATACCTCAATTTGATTAGCAGATTATTTTAGTTTCACACTAATCAAATTGAGTTGATTTGTTTTATATGTGCTATTGCACATTTAATGTACTGATTATAATCATTCCCACACATTGTGATCCCCTCTGCTTTATGTAAAATTCAAATGTGCTCTAGAGATCACCCAGTCTGGGATAGAATGGAATTCCTTAGTTAGATGTTTCCACCATTTGTTTGGTCTCTTGGTTGTCTCTAGAATCTCAGAATGGAAAGTTAATTCAGGTCAAGTCTCTGAGTCTCTCTTGGCCTGCGTATTTTGGCAAGCCACGGAGCTGTTGGACTGTTACACTATACCTCAGCTTGGCATGTGATTGGTCAGAGGATATTTGTGTTGTGACCCCTGGAAACTTGTCAGCCAATCACATCGGGCTTAGATCAGCGGACGAGAGGAGCACCCACGAGTGCAGCCTTGCTAGAGCCTTCTGGAACTTTCTGGCTCATTGGAGGGAGTAAGGGACTCCTATTGTCGTGGAAGAATCACTCTGTCAGTGTCAGGGGAAGACAGCCTCTGTCCCAGCCAGGCCTCTTATCACTGTTCACATTGCTCTCTGGGCTATTAGCTCATTAATGAGCGGATGTAGACCATGTCCCAGTGTGCTGGTGTATGTTGGGGCCGTCCACCCACGGCCCTTGGCTCATGTTGCAGGATGCAGCCCAGTCACCAGGAAATGATGCAGCTGAACCCCAATGATGAAAATACCTCTCACAGCATAACAACAACAGACCAGACAGGATGTGGATGTACTGTGTGTCAGTCAGCCCCTGTAGAGTGTAGCAGGATGCAGGTCTCTTATCATCAGCCATGTTGTGATGTCTGAATCAGCCATGTCAGGTGGATAACTGTGGTTCTCCCTCTCTGTCTCTCTCAGGTACCAACCAATGGTCTCGTGGTGCAGCCGGACAGACCCCCTCCTCCCCCAACTATGAGAACTCCCTGCACTCACTGGTAAGTCTCCCTGCCTCCCCTCTCTTCCCTTCCCCCACACCCTGAGCACTTTTTAATGGACACGCACACAGTAGATGTGTTCGCTCGCGGAGGGCAGGGGTAGCATTACATGAAGATTCTTGGCTGACAAATGTCGGAGGGGGAGTGGGGGGGTGGGAGTGCTGAACAATACCCGTCCCTTGGGGCGTGTCTCCTGCCATCTGTCCCCTACTTCGTGGGCCAGGGTGGGGTTGGGGGGAAGGTGGGGTGTGGGGTGTGGGGGGGCTGGAGTTATGGGGGCTGGGGAGCCTGGCAGCTGTTGCGTTGACTGAACCACCACTGCTCCAGGATTCCTGCGCTAGCTGCCTGTCTGCATGCGGACCAGAAACATGGCTTGGGATCACTTTTCACCCCACACACACGCATTCACACCATCGGCTGTGGGGATAAATATTTACCCACTATATTTGTATGCCACCTACAATGGGATTTTTGTGAAGCGACCAAACCGATGAATGTGTGGGAGGGATGGGACCTCACGGTGGGAGGAGAGGGCGAGGGGTCAGAGTCATTATCTAAACAGGACCACCGTTTTGATGCTGCCTGACACAGTGATTAGTTACCATATATCTGTCTCTGTCTGACTGTTCTTTCTCTGTCCTTCTATCTCAGTCTACACTATCTCTGACGTTTCCACTAATGTTTATTTGTGCTCACATGCTTTCCTGTTCTATCTGATTTTGGCAGAAAACTCGAGTCCATCAGCAGCTTCATGAGCATCTCCAGGATGCCATGTCATTCTTAAAGGATGTATGCGAGGTACTCCTGCCCTTTAGATGGAGACTTTACCCATCATTGTTTGACACCTTTTCACATCCTTAGTTCTTTTTCTTGGCCTCCGTTCCGTTCCATTTAATTGGAATTTCAAATGTTTTGTTTCTGTGCTTTTTATTGTTGTTTATTATTTATATTTTGACATTTCAGCTTGCTACAGTAATCAGCTTAGGAGCATAAGACGCTTTAATGCCAAATTAATAGTCATGGTACTCCAAATGAGTGGTGTGCCAGCCCGTTTATCAGTTTCTATAGATACAAACGAGGATGCTTGTCTGTTATGAACACAAGCATCCCTTGTGCCCCTCCTCAGGTTGAAATCTTCATCTGTTTTTGATTGTCTTTCTTTTATGCTTTTGGTATCCCTGTGGTGTTTTTTCACCCCAAGTCACGCCATACAATCACAATGTCCTCCATTTTTTGGTCCTAATGTGCTTATATTAAGCTGCTCTGTCCTTCTCTCTGCTCTTCTTCCCACCCCTCTCCCCTCCCTTCTCCCTCTTTCTTCCCACCCCTCTCCCTCCCTTCTCCCTTTCTTCCCTCCCTCCCCCCTCCCTTCTCTCTCCCTCTTCTTTCCTCCCTACCCCCCCCTCTCTCCCCTCTCTTCGCCACCCCTCTCCCTCCCTTTCGCCCTCTTCCCACCCCTTCCCTCCTTCTCCTCTTCTTCCCACCCCTCTCCCCCCCCTTCTCCCTCTTCTTCCCACCCCTCTCCCCTCCCTTCTCCCTCTTCTTCCCACCCCTCTCCCCTCCCTTCTCCCTCTTCTTCCCACCCCTCTCCCCTCCCTTCTCCCCTTCCCACCCCTCACCCCTCCCTTTCCCTCTCTCCCAAACTCTCCCCTCCTTCCCCTCTTCTTCCCCCCCTCTCCCCTCCCTTCTCCCCTCTTCCCACCCCTCTCCCCCCTCTCCCCTCTCTGCCCTGCGACCCACTCCCTCCCTCCTCCCTCTCCCTCCCTTCTCCCTTCCCCCCTCTCCCCTCTTCACCCTCTTCTTCCCACCCCTCTCCCCTCCTCTTACTCCCGCTTCTTCCCACCCCTCTCCCCCCCTCCCTCCCTAACTTTCTTGCCCACCCCTCTCCCCTCCCTTCTCCTCTTCTCTCATGGTCCTCCCAGTCTCGGATGGAGGATCGCCTGGACAGACTGGATGATGCCATCCTCGTCCTGCGGAACCATGCCGTGGGCTCCACCACCAGTCTGCCCAGCGACATACACAGCCTGCTGGGACAGAATGGGCCAATAGCAGCCCTCGGAGCAAACTTCCCTGCCGCCGGATTGGTTGCTAGTCGGACAGCAGCAATGGTATGAGTTAACTTTGCAGAAGAAAAAGATATTGATTGTTTTAGATGTTAATGAGATTATGTTTCATGTGTTTTGCAACTTAAGAATTGAGTTTGAATACTTAAAAGAAAGTCATTTTTTTGAACTGAGGGGAGGCATATGTGCTTTTGCGTTTCTCCAAATAGGCTAATAAACAAGCCTCGGCCACCTGTTCAGAATGAGTCCACAGCCATGTGCAAAAACTCTGCCTTTTTCCACAGAGAGCAGTTTAATTTAAACTCACATACTTTCCATATGTGTAATGGTTGGCCGAAGGCTTACTCTCCTTAAGAAAGACCTCATATACAGGGTTGAATGAGAAAACCAGGCAAAACTGCTTTGGTCTGGAAAGTGTTTGTCTGTTGCACTCCTATGAGGCGGCTCCTGGGGAACGGGGGGATGCAGGTCTCGGTGCAGAGCATTATATGTTTGCCCATCCTCCATCTGAACTATTTCATATCGGAGAGGAGAGCACATCTGTAGTGGAAGTTTCAACAGAGGGAGACAGTTCTACACTAATCCCTAGGTGATGGGAAATAATTTAGGCCGTATTTTTCCTGAATTTTCTGAATCAGTTCTGGCGTACGTGGGTGGATGGTTGGATTAAGATCCTCTTGGATTAAACTCCCTTTTTGAAGAAAATGGATGGAGGCACTCAGGGGATGTGATGGAGGAGGAGAGGGGAGGATGCCGAGGACTGAAACATGCTTAGCATTTCCTTACCTCATCATTTACTGTCCAGATCTCAGACTCAGTCCCAGCTCTTCACAGGAACCTGTCTCCCTTCCACTCGCTGATTAGTAAACATTCTTGCTGAGGAGTAGCATCTGTGAGACTAGTCCTTGCATTACTCACATGGTAATCGGGCCAACAAACCCACAAGAAAATTGGGAGGCATTTGATCCCTGCCCTATGGTAACAAACATATCATATGTGGTCCTCTGTAGCTCAGCTGGTAGAGCACGGCGCTTGTAACGCCAAGGTAGTGGGTTCGATCCCCGGGACCACCCATACACAAAAAAATAAATAATGTATGCACGCATGACTGTAAGTCGCTTTGGATAAAAGCGTCTGCTAAATGGCATATTATTATTATTATTATATCCAATTTTCAACACTTTTGATTATTATTGGAAGTGGACAAGGTTTGGATGTGTTCTGTATTTCTGCCGTACTACTTCTCCCCTTACTGTTCATTTATTGGAGTTGGTGCTTTTACAGCCTTTCGCAGCCTTCGCAGCATGCAAGCTTGGAGCCTGTGTCCCTCTTGCCCAGAATCATTAAAATACAGGGACTAGTATTTCTGGTTTGTTACTCAGGAAGAAAATGTCCCAGCGCACCATGTGTTTTCAGTCATGGCCATTTTGATATTGGTGTTGTGGTCCTTGGAACTCTCAGGATAGTATTTCCTGCTCTGTGACTGAAAGTGCTTTTTAGTTGTTCTCCCATGGTGCAGTTCAGTTTGGTGTGCTGGTTATAGAGTGTAGAGGGACAATGGTGATGGTGGGCTGTGACACTAGAAGAGAACTGGCTGTGTCTGAATGAGCACAGAGCTTCCTCTGTGGTAGAGAGAGAGAGGGTCCCCTCAGACTGCTGCTCAGACAGAGCTCAGCCGCCTCAGCACGGCACAGCCACAGCCTTTTACTCAGGACAGACCTTTTCTCTCTTTCACCGCCTCTCTTTAACCAACTCAACAAATCTGAATGGTTGGAAGCGCGCGTCTGAGACCACAGTCTCCACCCAAATAGAGGTCCTCAGCTGTATGGTAATCAGGCCCAGCCAGGAAAATGGCAGCGTTCTTCCCTCGCCAGAACCCCCGCGCCCCTCCTCCTCCTCCAGACAAAGAGTTGTTTGGACACCTGTTGAGAGCGCTGCAGAGATTAGCGTAGTGAGGAGGAGGGGAGGGTTTGGGGGCAGCGGGGTTAACAGAGGCCAACAGTGACTTGGGATCACATTCCATAAGAAAAGGGGAAGATACCCCCCCCCCCCCCCCCCCCCCGTACTGCTTTCCTCTCCTCCTCCTCCCCTAGTTCCCAGAAGAGAACCGGATAGCTGAGTGGGGAACATGTGGTAAACCCCAGCGAGCTCAGCGATGGTGGTGCAGCATGGTGGGAGGACCCTGTTTCACAACCAATATGGAGGGAAAAATAGGGAAATGGTCTGTCTTTGGAGTGGGTTTTGCCTTATATTGCTTCCAAATAGATCAGAGGCAGATACATCTAGAAGAAGAAGAAGAACCCTCAGAACATAATGACCGTGGCTAACCCAACAGAGAAAAGCAATAGAAATGTAAACAGAAAGAAACAGGGATAGGTTTACCATCACATACTGCACTGATTCTTATAAAAATATTATACAGCCGAACAAATGTGTGTTTGTGTTTCCCTTATCCTGAATATGAATTATGCATTTTGTTATGGTGAAGTACAGCACCAAAGCACCCCCCGGTGTCAGAACTGAGGGACTTGACAACCATCATTAGTTCTCGGAAACTGACTCCTGTACTGCAGCTCCACCTGTAGATCCTGCTTTTAATATGAGGAAATATGATTGTTTAGCTCACGAAAAAGGTCAGGCATTGTGTTCAATTTGTCATGACAAGTGTTTAGAAAAACCTGTTTTGAAATCCAAGCCAAAAATGCTTTTTTGCAAGCGTTTTCAATGGACAGCTCTGGAAGGTTGTTCTTTCTTTTTTGAACAGACAGCCTTCAGCATTCCATTTGTTTGAGTGAAGGTCAGTCTAAAGTGAAGTTGAACAGCAAAGTTCTCGTTCTATCTCTCTCTGCTTTTCAAGTCTGAGATATCTGAGTCATAAAAGCATTCTCTCTGGTTGATTAGAAATTGTTCCTTTCCTGAGTGTACCAGACTCACTCAGACCAGAACCCTTCCCTATAGCTGAACTTGTACTGTTTCCCACTGACTCTCTCTCTCTCTCTCTCTCTCTCTCTCTCTCTCTCTCTCTCTCTCTCTCTCTCTCTCTCTCTCTCCTCTCTCTCTCTCTCTCTCTCTCCTCTCTCTCTCTCTCTCTCTCTCTCTCTCTCTCTGTGTTCTGACAGGGTGGTTCTCACCGTGATGAGGCTGGCAGTTTGATCAACAGTCACGGAGGGCCGCCCAGCATGGGCTCCATGTCCAGCATGTCCACCGCTGAACTCAACCACCAAGTGGAAACCTTCAGAGGTATGACATGACACACTCCCAACTTCACCCATGACCATCTCATCTCTGCGCTAAAATAACTACATGTGAAATGTTGGCTGTAAATGATAGGAGATTCCATTTGAACTGACTCTCTACCTTTGTGTCTGTGTGTTACAGGTCTGGCTGCAGGTCTGGCTGGTCAGGTGGCTGCAGCCCTGGAGCTGAAGGTAGAGAACCAGGACAGAGACGACATGCATGATGGCCACTCCTCCGACGACCTCGGCTCCGGAGACGAAAGCGACAAGAGAGACATCAAGACTCCCAGAGGAGGCACTCGGACAAGGTAAATAAACCTGACAACCACAAACATGAATCTTTATGACCTTCTGTCTAAAACATTCAGTGCCCTTAGAAGGTCCCTAAACCTCCCTGGAGTCTGATCTTCACATGTGAATAGCCAAAAACAATCAGCCTCAGTCTTACTGTTGCGCCTCTGGGCCTCTCCCCCTCTGCAGCAGCATCAATGAGGATGATGACAACCTGAACCCGGAGCAGAAGGCTGAGCGGGAGCGTGAGAGGAGGATGGCCAACAACGCCCGCGAACGCCTGAGGGTGCGAGACATCAACGAGGCTTTCAAGGAGCTGGGCCGCATGGTTCAGCTGCACCTGAAGAGCGAGAAGCCCCAGACCAAGCTGCTCATCCTGCACCAGGCCGTGGCAGTCATACTGAGCCTGGAGCAACAAGTCAGAGGTCAGCATTCCTACACTCTCACATATAACACACAAGAGTTATAACACCTCTTATGAAGAGTAATACCACCTCTTATGAAGAGTTATAACACAAGTGAATCTGTTTCTATACACGCAGAGCGGAATCTGAACCCCAAAGCAGCCTGCCTTAAGAGGAGGGAAGAGGAGAAGGTGTCTGGCCATGGGGTCTCTGGGGACCAGCAGGCCCACCATGGGGTCCACCTCGGCCTCACCGAGACATCCAACCCCATGGGCCGACTCTGAGGAGCACACAGGTACTGTACGGTGGTCCATCTCCATGGAGCACCATCCACACACTCTCACTCTGTCAGTAATAGCTGTGATGAGATACCATATTACTGACTTTGTGAAACATCATATTTTCTTTGCTGTTCGACATCTGTGACTGAGTTATTCCTGTTTTTGCCCCTTCAGATCAAAATGATCCAGATCAATTCTGTAAGATAGAGATGGTGCCCTTGCTTCCCAATGGCAGACAGGACTCACAGTTTGTGACACAAATTGGAGGCGACAGACCACTTGAAGCTAAACCCCAGACTAACACAATCCTAAGATTGAAGAAAAGCCCAGTGTCCAGGTCCCTGTGATGACATCCAACTAATTTCTGCCCACGAGGAAACTTCAGCACATATCACTGTCTGCAAGCAGCGTGTCGCATCTGAACAATCAGAGACTGTCGCGATCTCCTCCACCCTCCCATGTGGAAGTTTGCCTTGTGCCTAAACTGAATTGACGAATGCATTGTAACAGCAATTATGTTTTTTTGTATAATTTTTTCTATTTATTATGTTACTGAGCTGTAAAGTCTATGTCTAAAGGGAAAGTTATTCATATGCTTTAAGAAGCCTGTGGCTTTTCAGTTGATCTACAGTTTGCCAGTGTCACTAGTATGGCCCAGCCCTCCTCCCTAGCCAGTCTCGGGCTAGCCTGAGCTAAGATTAAGATACTCAGGCTCCTGAGAAAGACACAAATGTATATATTCGGCAATTTAAAGTCTTTAGGGCCCAACTAAAAATCAATTGGCGGTATTGAGTGCTAAAAGACTTAAGCATCCCATAAAAAAAAAAGAACATATATTATTTATATTTATGTTTTATTCATGCCGCAATGAACAGCATGTTTAAACCAAAACGACCTACTCATGTGTCCGTTTGGTATAGCTCAGTCTTCATGTTACTGACATAATTAGAGGAAGAGGACTAAACGTGAGTGGTGTGTACGAGCCCAGCTATATAGTGTTCCATACATACACTAGCCTGAACACTATCAACTCTGTGTCACAGGTGACAGAAAAATGGCAAACTCTAGTTTTCCAGAAAGGTCAACTACAGACTTATAAGGTGTTTATTCTCAGTAGTGAGCAGTTCAAATACAGAGAGCAAACCATTTACAAACCTTAGCATTCCCTGCATATTTCTTAGTGTCTTAACTAAAGGAAAAGGGACTTCACTGCCGTTTCATTCCTTTGCCATATAGTGTTAAATGTAAACAATGAGATATTTCTGATATTGCAGTTTGTTTTCTATATTACAGTATGGTCTGTGGTTAGTTGAACAGCCGTGGTCATGCTCTTTGTAATTACCTAGCGCTGTCTTATCAGAGATTGCTTAGTGAAGAAGTAGAATCAAAAACGACGACCACAATATCACCTGGCCTGAATGAACTTTCCACATCATTTTTTTCCTGTTAAAAATAACTTTAGAAAAAAAGTTACAAAAACCATTATTCAAAGTAATCAAAAGTTATATGTTGATTTGTAATTGTATACAAATCATTTCTCTAGGCTTCATAGTAAAGCATATGATGTCAAGCGTGAATTAGCAGAGAGGAGTTCTAAGTTATTTAGAATGTCTTTGTCTTGATCCGAGCAGTGAAGCTACTGGTTACAGTAAGCCCTAGGGAAGGGAAGCGGGAGCTTTAAGAGTTCACATGCTGTTAAACATCAGAAACAGTTGGTCCTTCAGACAGGTATAGTACAATGATGAACAAATGCAGTTTTGAGCTGAATTTGTATTTTATTTTTCAGGATGAAGAACAATGGTCCCCACTTTTTTTTATTTTTTTATCTGTGTGCATGCTTTACTTTCTTTTTAAAAAAAAAAAGTATTTTGGTCTTAACTCCTGGTTTTGATTCCATTTGTTTCCTTGTATACTGTCTTCCATTATTATCCACCTTTAAAACAAGGCTGCCACATCCAGAGACGAGTAGCCTATTCTGTGAAAATTAAGTAATAGAATGAAGGATGCCATTGAAAACCACCCCAAGGAGTTTATAAAAATATATTTTTGGTTTTACAATCATTTTCTTTTTGTGATAAACTTGGAAACGTATTGTCGTGTTTTCTCTGACTGTATGTGGCCTTGTTCATCATTTCAGTATTCATGAGCTTGTATTCATGTTGCTGGCAGACTCTGATTGAGGTTATAATGTATGTCACTGCCTGCTCTCTCATTTCCCCCGTCATTTTCAAATGTTCTGCTGTCTGTCTCTTTGCTCCTATGTTAGACTTTGCTGTATTCCCAGATGCTTTTCCTCGTATAATATATGAAAAAAGAACAAAAATAAGATAAAAAAACATTTGGCTTATTTTTCACTGTAGTTATTAGTCTTTTATACAATAATATTGTAAGAAAATTTATTGAATTCTAAATATTACTCTTTCTAGATTTTTTAAATCGAAAGTTTTGAGTAAAAAGTTTCTTACTTTATTTTACTATATTAGATAGTAAAATGTACGGTTATTTACCATAACCTGTTCATTATTATCAGAATCGTACAAATAGCATCCCAAAAACATAAAAGGATTGTAGCTTGCAGTCTAGTACATTGAGGTATTGTACATGCTCAAATTTCCTGAAGGTGTGCTCTCCACCTTGATCTTCAGTCTCCATTGTTGGTGGATAAAAGATTTGTACTTGTGTCCAAAAATTCAAGGTATTGTTGATGCACATCAAAAACCAGCAGCAAGAAATTTAACTATCTGTCTCTGTAAAAGAAAACACAACATGTATATAACATTTATGTAGCAATAAATGTGCCATCTTTTTTAACACAATTGTATGTGGATTTATTTCCTTCTTTGGATGTCATCTTTCTTTCTGTTTCTCCATCTTTTATTTTTCTGTTATTTCCATGCAATTTTGTGATGGTTTTATGAAAGGACATGCTGGTGGTGCATTTGGTTGAGCTCAATACAAGGACAGTACTGTGATGTGTTCACTCAAGTAAGCTACTGAAGCAACAACCCTTCCCAGGTTTTCCCCCATCAGAAGACTTTTCTACAGTGGATCTAGGCCAAATGAGGAACTCTGTGCAAGAGTGTGTTTTATAGTATGTTACTCATTTTTAAAACAATATCAGTGGACCATTGTAGTCTGTATTGAATATATGTTTCTATTTTTAATAAAGTGTGATAGCAGCATACATTTAGTCTCATTTTTCTAAAGGCTGTTTTCTTTTTTAATTTCATTTTATGCTCACTTACAGAATAACTTTGAGAGGGTATTACTTTTGGATGAAGTATTACGGCATCACAAATGAATAGACAACACATTTTGTCAAATTCAGCTGCTGTGTGTGTTGTTTACAATTATGAAAGAAAAAAAATGCCACACTTGTCATTCACAAATAAGAACTTAAAAGGTGCCCGTTGCATTCAAACTAAATGTCAACAGGCATGCAGGTCAGGGGTAGACATGCAAACATGAGGATATTTGCATGGACATTTGCAGAAGCGTAGCTGTCTATTCCTAACTAGGAAGTTATCTGCACATATTTGTGCTGTGACATCAGTCAGCCCTCCTTGTCCAATTATAAGATAGATTTAAATCCCAGAAGTTGTCTCAGTGACCCACCACAGCTGCAGAGCATTATCCTTTTGTATGTGAGCGTGTGAGACAATTCCTCATGGTATCCTGACAGGTCATATCCAAGTTCAGAGCACTGACAGAGGTGACAGACAAGAGAAGATGCTGACTGCTGTAAAGTCTGTGGCTAGCTTAAGTTATGCACTGTAAATTATGACTGTCATCTTTTAAAACACAGCATTTCATCTGGAATCAAAAGTTACATATTGGGGCTCTATATCCCCACTTCCCCTGTGGTGTGTGTGTGTGTGTGTGCGCGTGATTGTGTGTGTCTGCCTGTGTGTGTGTGTGTGTGTGTGTGTGTGTGTGTGTGTGTATTTATTCCTTCCTGCTTTTATCATGCCCGGGAGTGTTTATTTGCGGTCACCTAGAGTCATGGGCATGTTTTATATAAGAGTGGGACCACCATGTTTGAAGGCTGACTTCCTGCGGGTCTGGCTGCCTGTGAGTGAGCCATGGTGGGCCTGCTGACAGATGAGTCTTGGCTCATGTCTCTGGAGCCAAACCAAAGGGCCTACTGCCACACAGTGGATCCCAAGCCTATCTCTGTCTGTAGGTCTGTCTTTCTGTCGGTCTGTCTGTTTGTTTATTGTTCCTTCCCACAGAATGATCTGTCTCCACTCCTCTTTTATTATTAAGCATCTGTTCCTTGGTACATTTTCTTTTCTAAACCCAGATTGCTTTCGCAATAGACAATTTCCCCTCTTACGGATACATTCCTGTTATCTTTGTGCATGTCCCAAATACGTTTTCTCTATCACTGATAAAACATAACCCATCCACCCAGAACAACAGTGATTAACATTAATCTCAAAATGGGACAAACATGTTACATAAAAACATCAGCCACACCATCACAAGAGTAAAACTTGATTTTGACCTGACTGTATAGCCATAGTGTTCCATTGCCATTCTAGAACGCCTGCAGTTTCTCTCAGCCGGGGTCAGACAGCGCACTCTACTGAGCATGCTTGGAGGTCCCAGCTGCAGCACCTCGGAGGAGAACAGAGCCCTATTGTGCAGCACTGTAACACGACATAGCGCCAGAGAGTTGAGATTAAAGACACATTTACAGTCCACCCACTCTCAGTCCTCTCACAGACACAGAAATGAAAACATAGTGGGCCACAACAAAGGGATGGGGCAGCTGAGGCCCCAAATAAAATGTGGCTGATGCCCTTCGCTGTCCTCTAAACGAAGTAACTGTGATTTTAACGTTTATTAAAGTCCTTGGGTGAGCCATTGGAATACCTACTTTGTGCCACAACAAGGACTGAGGTCAATTGTTGGTTTTTCTCTCTCAAGGTTCAGAGCAACTGAAGAATGAGAATGATAAAAAATATATATATATCATCATGCTTGGAAACTAGGTGTAAAAAAATTATGGGAAGTATTGTAATAGAAATATAAAAATATATGTTATTCTGCTGTAATAACTCTGTAATTTGTTATTTTATAGCACTGTAATGTTCACAAAAATCACAAAGTCAACATTGCAAATTTTTTAGCATTTCAATTTCAACACTTTTGGGAGGTTTCTTGTAGTTCGGACTTCATACTGTATGAAAATGCTGTATAATGATGTAAATGTAAATGTAATAACAGCAGCCTATACCCAGAGTATTCATTAGGCAAATTGAACAGAGGTAAGTGATTATCCACTAGATGACGCTATTGGTCTTAAAAATAGATTAGCAAATTGGGAGTGGTCCACACATTACAGTGAATCCATATACTTCAGTAGACATAAATTATCTGCGTACAAATTGTAAAAAATAAAAACAGAAAAAAAGTGAACCTATTAATTGCGGACTTTTTTGTTGTGTTTTCTTTGGTAGCTTTATTATAATCACAAATCCCTATTAGGGCTAATGGAAAATCCATTAACTGGTCCTAAAGGATTTTGTAAAATAGCTCACCAATGTTTTCTCTTATGATTAATGATGATGATATAGAACGTGATGGACCCTGCCATATGAAGTGTTCCATACAGTATTCATTTTCATTTTGATTCATAAATGGCAATCAACATCAATATGGGCTATTCATATTGATATCAGCACGATTAACTTTAGTAGGGCCTAACTGTTGCAACTGTGGCTCGCAACAGAGTATCTTTGAAACTGATAAAGGGATACTTTGACAAACAGGTTGACCGACAAAAAGTTGGGAGCGTTTGTGCCACCTGTGGTCTGGTCCTGGATCAGCTGGAGATTTCTTTCCAAAAGTCGGGAGTGTTCAGTTTGACATTGTCAATCTGGTCCTAGGTCAGTGTTTTGAGGTTTAGTGATTGGCAGTAGGCCTTGAGATGGGCGGGTTTACGGAGTTTCTTAGGAGGGGGCGGGGAATTGCGGAGCTTCAGGCGTCTCTAAACTGAACTGACTCAGAAAACAAGACCTGCAACAAATAGATTTGGAACAATTCCGTGGAGTATGCCACTTAAACTTTTGGCCATTATTGAACAACTAATACGCGGTTATTGTTTGTAAAGGGCAGCTGGTAAGTGACAAGTTTCTCTTCTTGCATTTTTTGTTACAGTAGTCATGAATGCCAGTGGCCGCTTTAAACACATATGCAGATGAATTGTTTACTTGTTTAAAATAATCATAGAGAAAACTAAATTCAAAAATCGTGATATTTCATGTTTGCCAAATAGGAAGTTAAACCACCTGTTGTACCCTAAACTAAAGCATCGGTATAAACTTTTGAAAACTTTGCTAATCTTGCCCTGTTTTGCACCTATTCACTTTTTCCAATTAAATTATCAGTGCAAAACAATTTTTTACACAATACTTCTATTAAGTCAATAGATATTAAAGAGGAATATGTTTGTATACAATTTATACATTGTATAAATTACTTACAGTATGTATTTAGAATTGTTGTATACTAAATGAATCCATTCAGCATTGAACAAATATTTTGAGTCATACATGTTACACATTCTTTAACATCATATAACACATTCTGTAATATGAATGAATGAATGAATGTATTCAGTATGCAAAAATTATTAAAGTCATGCATGGCTATCTTTACCCAAGAGCATGTCAAGAGCATGTCTTGGAGTAAAATGTACACTTATTTTTCAACTTTTCTCCTAGTTTTCCATTACTTGCTGTTATTTACTTGGTATGAATGCATGGGTTATACAGTGCATTCGGAAAGTATTCAGACCCCTTGACTTTTTCCACATTTGTTACATTACAGCCTTATTCAAAAATTTATTAAATTGCCCCCCCCACAGTTTTTTTTATAAATTTTGCAAATGTATAAAAAAATAATTATATATATATAACATTTACATACAGTGGGGAAAAAAGTATTTAGTCAGCCACCAATTGTGCAAGTTCTCCCAATTAAATGTGGTCCTCTGTAGCTCAGCTGGTAGAGCACGGCGCTTGTAACGCCAAGGTAGTGGGTTCGATCCCCGGAACCACCCAAACACAAAAAAACAAAAAAAAATGTATGCACGCATGACTGTAAGTTGCTTTGGATAAAAGCGTCTGCTAAATGGCTTATTATTAAAAAGATGAGAGAGGCCTGTAATTTTCATCATAGGTACACGTCAACTATGACAGACAAATTGAGATAAGAATATCCAGAAAATCACATTGTAGGATTTTTTATGAATTTATTTGCAAATTATGGTGGAAAATAAGTATTTGGTCACCTACAAACAAGCATGATTTCTGGCTCTCACAGACCTGTAACTTCTTCTTTAAGAGGCTCCTCTGTCCTCCACTCGTTACCTGTATTAATGGAACCTGTTTGAACTTGTTATCAGTATAAAAGACACCTGTCCACAACCTCAAACAGTCACACTCCAAACTCCACTATGGCCAAGACCAAAGAGCTGTCAAAGGACACCAGAAACAAAATTGTAGACCTGCACCAGGCTGGGAAGACTGAATCTGCAATAGGTAAACAGCTTGGTTTGAAGAAATCAACTGTGGGAGCAATTATTAGGAAATGGAAGACATACAAGACCACTGATAATCTCCCTCGATCTGGGGCTCCACGCAAGATCTCACCCCGTGGGGTCAAAATGATCACAAGAACTCAAACTCAACTCGTCGTGTTTGGAGGACAAAGAATGCTGAGTTGCATCCAAAGAACATCATACCTACTGTGAAGCATGGGGGTGGAAACATCATGCTTTGGGGCTGTTTTTCTGCAAAGGGACCAGGACGACTGATCCGTGTAAAGGATAGAATGAATGGGGCCATGTATCGTGAGATTTTGAGTGAAAACCTCCTTCCATCAGCAAGGGCATTTTTTAATTTTTTTAAATTTTTATTTCACCTTTATTTAACCAGGTAAACCAGTTGAGAACAAGTTCTCATTTACAACTGCGACCTGGCCAAGATAAAGCAAAGCAGTGCGATAAAAACAACAACACAGAGTTACATATGGGGTAAAACAAAACAAAGTAAAAAATACAACAGAAATAAATATATATACAGTGTGTGCAAATGTAGCAAGTTATGGAGGTAAGGCAATAAATAGGCTATAGTGCAAAATAATTACAATTAGTATTAACACTGGAATGATAGATGTGCAAGAGATGATGTGCAAATAGAGATACTGGGGTACAAATGAGCAAAATAAATATTGTACATATTAATAAATATTGTACACATGTACATATTACCTCAACTACCTCAACTAGCCGGTGCCCCCGCACATTGACTCTGCAATGGTACCCCCCTGTATATATAGCCTCCCTACTGTCACTTTATTTTACTTCTGCTCTTTTTTTTCTCTTTTTTTGTTTTGTTTTATTTTTACTTTTTTTGTTTAAAATAAATGCACTGTTGGTTAAGGGCTGTAAGTAAGCATTTCACTGTAATGTCTGCACCTGTTGTATTCGGCGCATGTGACCAATAAAATTTGATTTGATTTGATTTGAAATAACAATATAGGGATGAGGTAGTTGGGCGGGCTAATTTCAGATGGGCTGTGTACAGGTGCAGTGATCGGTAAGGTGCTCTGACAACTGATGCTTAAAGTTAGTGAGGGAGATAAGTGTCTCCAGCTTCAGAGATTTTTGCAATTTGTTCCAGTCATTGGCAGCAGAGAACTGGAAGGAATGGCGGCCAAAGGAGGTGTTGGCTTTGGGGATGACCAGTGAGATATACCTGCTGGAGCGCAGACTACGGGTGGGTGTTGCTATGGTGACCAATGAGCTAAGATAAGGCGGGGATTTGCCTAGCAGTGATTTATAGATGGCCTGGAGCAACACAGACTTGAAGATGAAACGTGGCTGGGTCTTTCAGCATGACAATGATCCCAAACACACCGCCCGGGCAACGAAGGAGTGGCTTCGTAAGAAGCATTTCAAGGTCCTGGAGTGGCCTAGCCAGTCTCCAGATCTCAACCCCATAGAAAATCTTTGGAGGGAGTTGAAAGTCTGTGTTGCCCAGCGACAGCCCCAAAACATCACTGCTCTAGAGGAGATCTGCATGGAGGAATGGGCCAAAATACCAGCAACAGCGTGTGAAAACCTTGTGAAGACTTACAGAAAACGTTTGACCTGTGTCATTGCCAACAAAAGGTATATAACAAAGTATTGAGAAACTTTTGTTATTGACCAAATACTTATTTTCCACCATAATTTGCAAATAAATTCATTAAAAATCCTACAATGTGATTTTCTGGAAAAAAATTCTAATTTTGTCTGTCATAGTTGACGTGTACCTATGATGAAAATTACAGGCCTCTCTCATCTTTTTAAGTGGGAGAACTTGCACAATTGGTGGCTGACTAAATACTTTTTTTTCCCCACTGTAAGTATTCAGACCCTTTACTCAGTACTTTGTTGAAGCAGCTTTGGTAGAAATTACAGCCTCGAGTCTTCTTGGGTATGACGCTACAAGCTTGGCACACCTGTATTTGGGGAGTTTCTTCCATTCTTCTCTGCAGATCCTCTCAAGCTCTGTCAAGTTGGATGGGGAGCGTCGCTGCACAGCTATTTTCAGGTCTCTCCAGAGATGTTTAATCGGGGTCAAGTCGGGGCTCTGGCTGGGCCACTCATGGACATTCAGAGACTTGTCCCGAAGCCACTCCTGCGTTGTCTTGGCTGTGTGCTTAGGGTCGTTGTCCTGTTGGAAGGTGAACCTTCACCCCAGTCTGAGGTCCTGAGCGCTCCAAAGCAGGTTTTCATCAAGGATCTCTCTGTACTTTGCTCCGTTCATCTTTCCCTCTATCCTGACTAGTCTCCCAATCCCTGCCGCTATAAAAACATCCCCACAGCATGATGCTGCCACCACCATGCTTCACCGTAGGGGTGGTGCCAGGTTTCCTCCAGATGTGACACTTGGCATTCAGGCCAAAGAGTTCAATCTTGGTTTCATCAGACCAGAGAATCTTGTATCTCATGATCTGAGAGTCTTTAGGTGCCTTTTGGCAAACTCCAAGCGGACTGTCATGTGCCTTTTACTGAGTGGCTTCCGTCTGGCCACTCTACCATAAAGGCCTGATTGGTGGAGTGCTGCAGAGATGGTTGTCCTTCTGGAAGATTCTCCCATCTCCACAGAGGAACTCTGGAGCCATGTCAGAGTGACCATTGGATTCTTGGTCACCTCCCTGAGCAAGGCTCTTCTCCCCTGATTGCTCAGTTTGGCCGGGCGGCCAGCTCTAGGAAGAGTCTTGGTGGTTCCAAACTTCTTCCATTTAAGAATCATGGAGGCCACTGTGTTCTTGGGGAATTGTGTGTAGATTGATGAGGAAAATGTTTTATTTAATCAATTTTAGAACAAGGCTGTAATGTAACAAAATGTGGAACATTTCAAGGGGTTCGAATACTTTCCGAATGTACTGTACATGTCATAACATGCTATAAGTAACTGATATTCTTCCATAAATAACTGGGGTACTGTACATGCACAATATACAAATCTGTTTTAGGGATTTTGAATTATGAATTGCATAATATTTCTAAGGCTTAATAGCTCACCCTGGAATATGAATAAACTCAGTACAGTAATAATATCAAACCTGCCGTGAATGTAACTCTTTTGTATTCAGTTTTTAATCTGGAATCAAGGCAGTGTCCTAATAACAACACACCACCATGATGTAGAGAACCAGTCACTGCACATGTAGATTATTCTCCTTTTTTTATGTTCTCAATCTTTCCCTGGAAAGATCAAAGGCAGAGCCTTGACATGCTAACCCCCTCTCAGCACTGACCTTTGGTCTGAGGTGCATGGGGACCGTGGCGAGGGTAGTGCTCTAGTTATGGAGCGCAGGGGAGGAGGGGGGAGGAGGGGGGAGAAGTTGGCTCAGCAAGTGTTTCCTCCCTTGCAGAGAGTAACACAATGAGAGGAAAGGGCTGCACTCACACCTCACAGCATTTGTGTTGTTGGATACATGTGATACTTGGAGTGAAAGAGGCTATTGTGTCGTCTTCTGCTTTTTTCTGTCCTCCACAGTGCCGTTCCTTTTGGATAAGGGGCTTTAACTTAGGCTCATTGTTTTCCCTTCCCTTCAATGGCTGTAAAGTATGAGGTTCTGTCCTCTGAGTATTAATAGAATCAGGAAGAGCCTGCTGCATCACTCCTATTCTCCCTGTCACACCTGATATTAACATGCTGGTTCAATTCTGTAGAACCGTAAGCAACACTCGTTTTCAGTTTGAAAGAGTGATTTATTGAGATTTCCTCAAAGGTCTTGCTGGCCTGTCTGTGCATTATCTGCTGTTACCTTTGTTTCAAGTCCTTATCATAGCTCTTCCATCCCTATCACGATTTGTCCTGCTATTGTAACAGCAGGCCATTCATGACATTCATCTATGTATTTGTTTGTTTGGGGGTGAAATAGGACATTATCAGCTGAGCCTACAGGACTCTGATAAGAGCCAATTGTCTATAGAAACACATGGTGCCCACTGATGTCTGTGATGCTGTGCGTCTCTGCTGGCCTTCCTGTGAGCTGATACAAACCTGTTTCTCAGGGTCAAATAGCCCTATGCTCTGGCCTCAGCTTCAGACGACACACCACTTGTAATCTGGCAGATCATTCACATGTATTATTTCTTTACTCAGAAGACACTCAGATACTTGAGTCAAATAACTTGATCTCTACTTTATCTGCGTATTATAATGTGAATACACAATAGTGTCAAGGTGGTCTAAATATTCAGTCGCTTGTGTATATTAGTGGCAGGTATAGTAGCAAACAGTTGAACCTATCAACACAGGTTCCTGTCATCAGTGGTGTGGTGTCTCTCTTCATGCTGTGGCTTTAAGTGGGGTTGATGATAATGGCCATGCTGAAGGTGTATTACCTCTTACCCCAAGCTGCTCTTCCCATGGTATACTGTTACACCGACCAGGGCCCTCTACAGGGACTGCAAATCACAGTATATTTTACAAAGACTGGCAGAGGTTGGTTCAAAAGATTCACAGATAGACAGACAGACACGCACACATGCACACACACACACGCACGCACACACACATTCACTAACAAAGACATTCAAGAAGGTTACTGTATAGGCTACGGCTATTCATAGTCATGGGATTTCAAGGTGTTGTGTGACATATCGTTGGAGTCTGTCACTATGCTGTCATACCACTTTTTTATTGTTAGCCCATTAGACCTGCTTACACCTTTATGTGCAATAAATATTCATTTACACCATGTATATAATTATTCACTTATACCTGTTAGTAACAGCCTATTACAGCGCATTAAGGTACCAATTAGTAACCTGCTTGTTATGGTTTCATATACAGTACTTGGTCATGTTTGCCCTTCAAAAGAGTGTAGGAAATGTTGACTCACTGTTTTGCAAGTTCAGTGTTTTGATAAAGACTGGCCTCTCATGTTATTTTAGGGCAGTGCAGTGTCTCACTCCTTCATTTGGCAGGATAAGGGAAAGGGATAACTTGTCAGTTGCACAACCGCACCTCTGAATCAGAGAGGTGCAGGGGGCTGCCTTAATCGACATCATCGGCGCCCGGGAAGCAGTTGTTGTTGTGGGTTAACTGCCTTGCTCAAGGGCAGAACGGCAGATTTTGCCACCTTGCCGGCTCGATCAAACCATAAACCTTTCGGTTACTGGCCCAACGCTCTTAACTGCTAGGCTAACTGTGGTGGAGCTGAACAGTTAGGGGGCTCTCTGTGGAACCACTCTCTAGACACAGAGACCATTAAGTACAGAAAAAATGAAAATTAGACCAGATGACATAATCAAATGTTGTGAGGCTTTAAACTCTGATTAGCAGGCCATGGAGCGGTGAAATGTTTGCTGACATTATTACATTTGATGGCATCTCATTTCTGACTTAACCAGATTATGTCCTTTTTTGCAGAGGTGGGCCTGATTCAGGGAGAGGGATTTATTATCTTGCTGCATTCCTGATGGAGTCGTACAGAGTCAGCCAGCCCGCCCGCTCTTCCAGGCCTCACAATGGAGGTGGCTCCTATGGCCTCAGCATTAGGGTCCAGGGGATTGACGGACACCCGTACGTGGTGCTGAATAACCAGGACCGTGGGTCCCACTCCTCCTATAAAGATCCTAATAGTAACGGCTACAATGACACACAGGGCTCCTTCATTGACAGCTATCATGAGTATGACTTCAAAGGAAGCAGGGAGGCTGTCTCTGACAGCCCCTTTGTTGAGTACAGGTCCCAGAAACAGATGCAGTTTGGGGGCTCTCACAATGGAGTCACAGAGCAGGGGAAGAAGCCAGCATCCACCCTGCTGAACTTCCAGAGGCACCCAGAGATCCTCAAGCCTTATGACCCGGAGAACAACACCTTGAACCTGGACGGCTTCCACAGCCTTCCTCCCCGGCCAATGTCCCTGGCAGAGACTGGGAGCACCTACCAGGGCTCTTCTCCCAGATCCACCTCCCCAGTAGTCACCCATGCAAGGTCATCCAGCCTGGATCATAGGAGGAGTCCTGCCCTGCAGGAGAGAACACAGCCTCAGCCTCAGCCTCAGCCCCAGCCAGCCCCCTCTAAGTCTCAAACCAAACTAGTCCAGCCTCAATCCAAGCCTCAAGCCCAGCCGGCTCAGCCACAGTCTAAGCCTCAGACCCAGGTGGCCCAGCCCCAGTCCAAACCCCAGTCTCAGCACCAGTCCAAACCCCAACCCCAGTCTGTGCCACAATCCAAACCCCAGTCTCCACCCCAGTCTCAGTCTTCACCCCAGCCCCAGCTGCCCCAACGCGTCCCCATACCCCAGCCCTCTGCTGTGTCCAGCCCACCCAGTGAGCAGACCAAGGCTTCCTGCCGGTCCGCCAGCTCCATTAGCAGTGCCAACTCTAGCCTGGAGCACAGCCGCCATGAGCCAGATGTCCTCCCCCTGCGCAGGGTTGATTCCAGCGGCCCCGTGCTGCAGTCCTCGTCCCGCTCCCGCCACTCCTCTACCTCCTCTACCGACCAGCTGGATGCGCTGTATGCAGATACCATCAACCGCCACCAGAACCGACGCTACATCCCCTTCCAACCCGGCACGGGCCGAGACATCGACACAGGCTCCATCCCCGGCGTGGACAAGCTCATCGACAAGTTTGACGGTAAGGATGGTGGTCACCAGCGACGAGGCAGGGCGGGCCGCAGGAACAGGATCAACCCAGAGGACAGGAAGCGCTCAAGGAGTGTGGACAGCGCCCTTCCCTTTAGCCTCCGGGGAGAGTCGGAATACATGGATGAGTTTAGCAAGAACCAGGGGAGGTCTACGGAGCACGTCCTCCGCCCCTCACAGCTGTATCTGCAGAAGGTGTCTGGGAGTAAAGACACCTGGGTGACAGCGGTGGAGGGTAAGCCAAGTGCCAAAGCTACGGCCTGTGGTAGCAGTGCTCCAGGCTCCCCTCAGAGCATGACCTCTAAAGCAGCAGGCTCCATCCAGGGGTATAAGGCGGTGCTAAATCGCTCCTCTACGCTACCCCTGGACAGTACAGATGCTGAGGATGGGCAATCTTCACCAAGCACAAAGATTTTAATAAGTGTGGCTACAACCTCTCTATCCAAGCCTTCCTCTAACTCGGGCAAGAAGCCTGGTGCAGAGATGGATGTGCAGGTAAACAACACATTATTTATGATTACAGTTAGGTTAGTTGTTTAACAAATCAGTCTCTATTACTACGTAGCTACATGTGAAAGTATCTGTCAGAACTCTGATGGCTCTCTGCTTATTACCTCTTGCATCCAGGTGACACCTGATCTTTTGAAAGGTCAGCAGGAGCTTTCACAACAAACACATGAAGAGACGGCAAAACAGATTTTGTTCAATTACCTCAAGGATGGGTGAGTTTTTACCTCACTGATGTAATGTTCCTGGTTCACTTTTTATTGCAGAACATTTTCCAGTTTTACAGCAATGTCCATTCAATCTAAATGGTATCGTATGTATAGATTAATAGTAAATGTTTTGTACGAATTGCTAATATATTAATACACTAGTAGGCAACATGATGACACCATGAGTATCACGTTCACTATGCAGCGGGCAGTAAACTGCACAGTCTAAACATAACATGTGCCAAGTTACACTCTTAAAACTGCAATATGTAACTTTTTGGGCTACCCCACCAAATTCACGTAGAAATTCACATAGCAATATGTGTTATAGCGCTGTCATTCTAATTGAAAGCAAGTCTAAGAAGCGGTAGATCTGTTCTATGTGCGCTATTTCTATGGTTCCCGTTCTTACGTTTTGTTTTTGCCTTTTTACATTCGGTTTTGTACACCAGCTTCAAACAGCTGAAAATCCTATATATTTGGTTATGAAAAAAATATTTCACCGCTGTTTAGATGGTACAATGATTCTATACACTATACTTGCTTGTTTTGCCACATAAACTGAAATTAAGCGAACTATTAACATTTTTTCAAACAGGAAATGGAGGAAAGATTTCTGCACAGTGCATCTTTAAGTAATGCATCATTTGAAAAAGAAAATGCCCCATGGGAGCACTTGAACGTTTTTTATTTATCTGAGTCTGACTGTTTGTGAATTTATACTCCCATTCAGTCTCCACCTCCATATCTAAGCTGTGGTCGATGCAGCTGCTTAGTGGTGTTCGATCCTCTTCCCATTTCTCTCTCTACTGAGGAATGTAGGGTATCAACCTTGCTCATCACCTGATTCTTGATGTTCACCTTTCACCCCACGCTGTAAATCCCATCACTTACAGTTGGGGGAAATGGAGGAGTTATCGGTGGGAAGCATCTCACATATATACTCTGTCAGATTAGTATCTCTATGGTGTACTTCACATGGTTTAAGATAGATGAACTGGTGAGGGTGATACATTTACATTTTAGTCATTTAGCGGATGCTCTTATCCAGAGCGACTTACAGTTAGTGAGTGCATACATGTTTTTTTGTTTTTTTCATACTGGCCCCCCGTGGGAATCGAACCCACAACCCTGGCATTGCAAGCGCCATGCTCTACCAACTGAGCTACACGGGGCTACATGATGGTTTATATTATTAAATAGTAAGATGAGGTGCTAGACAGTCTTTTTGTTGTTGTTCAGCTTGCTAGTTTCACTCTCTGACAGTTTTATAGCTAGACTAGGTGAAAAGGCTTTGGGAGGGGGGTGGGGAGTTGTTGGGGGTTTACAAAGCTTAAACCATGTATGTTCGGCATGAAGCCAAGTCTGAAAGTCCAGTGCATATATCCAATACGATAACATGTCAATCACAGCACCAGTAAAGCTGGATCTTGGAGTTCCTATCCAATCCCAGGTCAAGTTCTGTGTCTCTCACAGAGCATTGTTTCATGGTTTGACTGTACATTTTGTCCATGGTTTTAGAAGTTTTGCATTTTAAATCCTAAACTTCTGAAGTGCCTCAGTTCCTCAGTCTCTACATTCCATGTGTGCTCCAGGTTTGGTCGATGTCCAGCGAGTGCAGGAAACTGCTTTGGTTGTGTCAGGTCACAGGTCAGGGGTCAATGGAAAGGAACACAGATGGAAGTGGTGTGCTGACACTGAGTCATCAAAGAAAGGACAAACATTCACCAGCAGAAGTTATAAAACTTTGAGGGGGGCTAGAAATCCCCTGTCAGGTAGTGGAATGGAATGGAACCTTAGAACCTTTCCCCGGGTTGTGGCAACCCAATGTTCTGTTCATTCTCTGTCCGATATAGGAGAGAGAGGGTGCACCCTGCATACAGCCCGGCTCTTTAGCAGGGCCAGGGAGTGAGGGAGACACATTCCCCAGCATGTGCCTCCTAATGGATGGGCGTAACGAGGTTGAGCGGGTCGCGAGGTGACACATCAAAGCAGTGGGCCCCCGGCAGAGCAGGAACCAGAACAGTCTGGGATTAGACCCTGACCTGATCCACCTACCACACACAGAGACCCCTCTTTAGCCTCAGATCAGCCGAGTGTGGGAGTGCACCTGAGTTCTGACTGTGTGTGTGTGTGTGTGTGTGTATGTCCGCAGGAGCACTGATAATGAGGACACCACCAAGAGGAAGGTCAACCTGGTGTTTGAGAAGATCCAGACATTAAAGTCGCGGGCAGCGGGGAGCGACAACAAAGTGAGGCATTGTGGAGTTGTTGTAATTCAACTCAACAAACAGCTAAATCTGTGAGCCTCTTATCTTAGCCTTAGGCCCGGAAGCTTTCGCTTGGTGAGCAGCATACAAGCCACCAGGCTGTGTTTACCTAGCATTGACAACAGCCACTGTGGTTACCACCTCCATCAGTGGAGTCTGGTGGGAGGAGCTATAGGAGGACGGGCTAATTGTAATGGCTGGAATGGAATAAATGGAAAGGTATCAAACACATCACACATATGGAAACCACATGTTTGACTCCGTTCCATATATTCCATTCCAGCCATTACAATGAGCCAGTCCTCCTATAGCTCCTCCCACCAGCCTCCACTGACATCCATGTGTAAACCAGTGCATTATGGGGAGAAACTAGTCACCACCCATTCCTTTTGTTCACTGAGAGCTGCCATGAACCAAAGCAACCGACATGTTTTTGTATTTTACAAAATAAGACATCTTAGAGTAATGCTATCATGCATCAGTGATTTTGAAAAGGGAAATGGAGTCAAATATAACTCCTGTCTCTGTTCCCCCTCCCAGTCTACTGACATAGCTACCCAAGCCAAAGCCCTACAGGAACAGAGGGTGGCGCTGGAGAAGGAAGTTGTTGAACTGAAAAAGCAGCTGGAGGAGCAAGCAAAGGTAATACTATGATGCCATGTCAGACATGTTGAACCTAGCTGCTATCTTGGATGCCTGTGCAGGACATGAGAATCCCTGGCTCCCGCCTCTTAAAACACAATAATCCTATTGGTGTTAATAGCTAATTTAAGCAGACCAGTAGACATCACAGCCACTGAGTTTGTTGGTTAGATACTGTCAAAACTGTCATTCAGATATTATACAATGAACGTCATGCATTTCATATTTATTTGGTGTGGTGAGATTAATGGTGTTTTATTAAAGTGTGTGTGCGTGTGTCCTTGCGTGTTAAAGAAACAGATGGGTCTGACTGAGGCCAATGAGAAGGCCGGAGCCGGCGTGAAGGACCTGCAGACAGAGCTGGAGAGGAGCCAGGAGGAATGCTCCCGACTGAGGGACAAACTGGCCAAAACAGAGGCTGAGCTCCGCACCACACTGGAGGAGTAAGTGACCGACCACCAGTGAATACACACTGTGAGGCATGGAGTGACAGATCGACAAAGCCCGGCTTAAGAAACCAGCACAATGTGGATAATCCTCAGATTTACGACTCTTATCAGGAGAAAGTTGTTTATCTATATCTCTTTTTTAGATTTTTCTACGTGGAGGATAAAGTTGTAGGTTGTTTTCTGTGGTCACAGGAGGATTATATGTTCTAATGTGTTCCTTGTGCTTGCAATCTCTTTTCGGCCATTAGAGTTTCTGTCTTTGTCTGAACATAATGGCCTCCTATAGTTCTCCTTCCCCTCTGACATTTCGTGTTAATGTACACTGCAGAGTCCCACCAAAGCCCCACAAAGTGATGAGTGTATATCATAATGGCTTAAATGTCTGTTGATGTTGGACTAATCTGTTAAACCTGGGGATGGCTCTGTTGATCCTGATCATGGACAATCACAATAGAGACTGGCCAGCCAAGCGGATGGCCAGCTGACAGTGGAGGCCCTGTTGGAGCCAGACTCCCCAGTAATCTAATGACATAGAGACATCCATATCATGGACTCCATAGAAATCAGAGAGAGAGACAGAGAGGGGCCTGCCTTATAAAGAAAGAATCACTCAACTACTCTCAGTCATTGTATAATTGATTTCATTTTCAAGAATGGATTCTCTCTTTTGAAAAAGGTTAATGTCAGTACGTGGGAATAACTACACTGAGCTGGGGAATAAGCTGAGCTGGGGTGTTCAGTCTACTTACTCTACATCTGCATGCAGGACCCCCTGTCACTAAACAGACCCTCTCTGTGTTGGAGTGGGCAGGTGGTGTGACTGTGATGTGATTGGTAGATCAGTGCCCAGGTGCTCATCATAGCCCCTGTTAGCCTGAAGAACAGGCATTTCTGACAGAGTGCATGTTGTATCATTCCAATGTGTGAAGCAGGGTGCAGGTGTTCAGGTGATGGTGTGTGTGTTGTGACTGTGTGCTGCTCTGTGTGGTCTGGCAGGCTGTTCCAGGTGAAGATGGAGAGGGAGCAGTACCAAACAGAGATCAGGGACCTGCAGGACCAGCTGTCAGAGATGCACGACGAGCTGGATGGCGCCAAGACGGCGGTGGCCGACGGAGAGAAGGATGCCATGATGGAGGTAAAACACAGGCCAGGTCCCACAGCTCTCAGAGGACAGAGCGTTGCCATAGAGGAGCTTAGCGGCCTGCATGGAAAGGGCTTTGCAGTCCCATAATAACCACCATATCAATACCATTGTAGTGCCAGTGTTGGTAATGTGTAAACATGTTATTCTTACTGGCACATTTGCTGATGCAGAATGTGCTGGAGATTTCTGTGCACATCACCTGTTGACGTAGCAGTTCATCTCAGAGTGAGATTTTAGTGAGACACTGTCACTACTTCCTCCTCTCCTCCTGTGTAGGACCTGATGCAAATGAAGCTGGACTTACAGGAGGTGCTGCTGGCCAAGGAGGAGCAGGAGGAGGTGCTGAGGAGGAGGGAGAGGGAGCTGACTGCCTTGAAGGGAGCACTGAAGGAGGAGGTGGCCACACACGACCAGGAGGTGGATAAACTGAGGGAGCAGTATGAGAAGGAGATCCGCAAGCTGCAGACGTCTGTGGAGAAGGCCAAACAGGTAACTGATGTTCTTGGGACGTTGTGTCATGGTCCCATGGAGATTTTGTCTAGTTTCCGGTTTGTCCCGGGGATGTCTCCGAGACGTTTTAGGACTTTCTTGGGACATTGTGTCATGGTCCCATGGAGGTTTTGTCTAGTTCCTGGTTTGTCCCGGGGATGTCCCCGAGGACGTTTTTAGGACTTTTTTGGGATGTTGTGTCATTGTCCCCTGGAGGTTTTTGTCTGGTTCACAGTTTGTCCCGGGACGTCACCTGATGGTCGCAAAGAAACGATCTCCCCCACCAAGAAAAAATATGTTTTACCCAGGGCACGTGCACCCTACTTTCATTACACATCACCTCTTGTTACTGTTGCCAAGCCCATCAAGGCCCTGATTGATGGACCACTGATCTTTTAGTCTTTGTCTTTTGGCAATGCTAGGGACACCCACACCACAAACAGAGCTTTTAACATACAGTGTTACATATTTGACATACATGATTACACTGTGTATGTTTATTCATAACGTAATTATTGCTTAACATGTCCTCACCTGGGATTTGAACTCACATCATGGTTCACAGAATTCCGATCTTCCTGCTATGCCACCATGTCTGTATCAATAACTGATTTCCCCTGTAGGCCTGTTCCTACACTTAGCACTTCAAAGTCAATCTCAGCTCTGTTAAAAATACACAGAAAAAAAACTATTATATTTATCATTAAAACAGAATAATATGCCCCACCAACATTAGACAACTATACTGCAAACCCAAACTCAAATTGCTGAAATAAGTAAATGAAATCAATGAGAGAATAGTCAGATTAACCGCTAACTACAATAGCAGTGCAGATGGCACTCTTTTGCTAAGTGCAGAGATGTATTAAAGGTAATGAATGTGTAGGGGACTTTCAAATTCTACAGACTTTGTGGCGCAGCAGAAAGATCAGCATACCCAAATTCAGAGGTTGTGAGTTCAAATCCCAGGTGGGGTCATATTGAAAAGTGATCATGTCAAATGAGATCGTATTGTCATTCATTAAATAATTTAACACTATTTTAGCTGAACAGCGTACCACTTACCTTAAAACACCCATACCATTTAATTACTTTACTTATAATGGTGTGGGACACGTGGGACCATCACATGACAAAAACCTCCAGGGGACCATGACACAATGTCCCAAGAACCTTCAGGGGACCATGAGACAACATCGCAAGAATGCCGTAAAAACGTCCTCTGGGACGTCCCCGTTACAAACCGGGAACTAGACAAAACCTCCAGTGGACCATGACACAACGTCCCAAGAATGTTCAGAGGACCTTCAGTGGACCATGACACAACGTCCCAAGAACATCCTAAGAATGTCCCCGGGACAAACCGGGAACTATAAAAAGGTCCTCCAGAGAACGTTCCCTTGGGACCATCACACAACGTCCTAAGGACAAGTAAAATTAAAGTCCTGAGAACGTCCTTTAAAGGTCCTGACATGGTCCTCAGTGACTTCCTGGTAACTTGCAGGGAACTTCACAAAGGTCCCCCCTTGGGACCATCATGTAACGTTTTTAGAACGTTCTTAGAACGTCAGTGGGATAACGTTGTGCCAAAACCCTTAAGGGACCTAATGGTGTTGCCATATGTTCGGCATCAGTAGATATTCAATAGCTTTGAAGTGAAATTACCCTGAACTTTCCACCAGCTTCAAAGTTGCTCTGGATAAGAGCGTCTGCTAAATGACGAAAATGAAAATGAAATTAAAAATAATATTACTCCCCCATCATTGTCTACCAGCTGTTAAGATATTTCATTTGTTTGGAACAAGTGAATAATGAATGCTATCCATAGGCCATTGAATTTGTATAACTTTAGTGTTCCATTGTGTATTTACTGAGGAAATGAAACCCTCATTATGTGTTATTATAAGGAAATCAGGCCTTTGTGTATATTGAGATTTAAATGTTACAAACAGTATGCGTACTTGAATGAGTGTCTGGAAAGTCCTCTAGGAGTTAGTGAATCATTGACTGCATGGTGCCAGTGTTAGAGAATGTCATAGTTCTATACAATTAACTGCTCTACTTCTCTCTCTTCTTGCACTTGCCTCACTGCATTTCACTGCACACACTGTAATAACAACCCCAGCTGAAGGCTGAAAAACAAGTCTGAAAACAGTTCAACTGTGCTGGGCAAAAACACTCCCTCTTCTGTAGTTCAGCTGAACCACCAAGATAAAAAAGAATCAGCTATCTGACAGTTAAACCAACTTGTCATCACTTTTCATGGAACGTTTTGGACTCTGTTTACCCTAGATGACATATAGTGTCATTAAGAAGCTTTAGGAAGTATTTCATGATGTTGAGGTGTTGTTTCGCTGTAAACATATTTTACTGGGTGGCTCAACAGGAAGAAAAATAGGACAAAACAAAGCATTTTAAAGACTTGGGAGAGGGGATGGGGAGAGGGAAATGGACTAGTAAAGAGAAGACAGGGTAGGGAACTGGTGGAGAGGGCAGTTAGGTGAGAGCAGAAATAGGGCTAATGGAGGAGAGAGGCATAAGAGAATCACACTGACAAGGCTAGAGGAGCATTGTGTTGACTAGGTGTTGCCTGGCTCACATGCTTCCTGTTTCTGTCAGGGCATGGAAGTCCTCTCCTTGTTCCCAGCTTCCTCCTGCTGTGGTGGGGGTCTACACAGCAGCCAGCCCCTTCTGAGATCATTTCCCTGCTTGAATAGAGTTAATTCAATTTCTGGGGAAGATTTTGTCATCAAGAATTCACCGCCAGTGCTTTGTAAACAAGTGAAAAGATGGCTGACCTTATTGTTACTCAGTATTCAGACAGTTTGGCTGCTATCAGTTTGAGTTTATCTTCAGTAATTTGGGCCTTTCCCTTAAAATACCAATCCATTGTTAGGTTGTCACACACAAAAACTATTTATGGCGGTTACAGTCTACTGTACTTTTATCCACCAGGCATTGGCAGGATTGAAAGTAATAATAATTTCTGCATGTGTGAGTGAGCGACCGCACAGCCTGCTGAATTGCTTAGTATAAAGTGTGCACGGTCTGGCATTCATCTGTCCTCTGTCCCATCGAAACGCTGCTCCTCTCTCCTTCGGCCATGAAATTTGCATTGATAGGGCTGCCCCATGCAGAGAATAATGCTGGAAACTGGAGCACTAAATCGTTCCCGTTGCCCGTTAATTGCAGTGGCAAGCCGTCACTAATCTAATGAGCTGTAGTTCATGAGTTGTGCAGTGTTCCTCCTCTCTCTGTCTCTGTTCATCCATTGAAAGGGCAGGGGTAATTGTGGACCTCAGTAGATGAATGATGAGTTTGTTTCACACAATAATAGCAGCAGGGGTTGGGATATGCTGAATAAAGTGGGTCAGGGGAGTAATGGAGTGGACGTCTCCCTGGAAATATGTATATGTTTGTTTTGTGTCATTACATTTTAGGTTCAATTGTATTTTTATTGAGTTGTAGCATGGGCCATTCTTTAGAGGTTAATCTGTAGAAATAGAAACTATAGAGGTCAAACAACAGTGTTCATAGAGAATCTATAATCAGACTGTAGCCTACTTACTGTAAGTTACTTATTGTAGATCAGTTCTGTGGAAGTCAGGTTTTTCACAACAGTGAGACTTGAGGGAATGTGAAAAATGTAAACAGATAAGGTGCAGTGAGCAGAGAGAAGGGTGTGTCAGAGAATGTTCCTGGCTGGTTAGAGAATGTGCACCCAGCAGACCCCCTCCCTCCTGCAGATTCTGTTACAGTGCTCCAGCTCTGACCAGTGGGTGGGGTCGGGAGGGGTGGGACGTGACCATGGCTCTTCAGGGGGCTGCTGTTATACCCCCTCTCAGGGACATTCCTGATTCTCAACGGTCTCTCAGAGGGCCCAGACCCAACCCCAGACAGCCCCAACCTCTAGACCCAACCCCAGACAGCCCCAACCTCTAGACCCAACCCCAGCCTCTAGTACCAGCCCTAGCCCCTAGTCCCATTTCCAGGCTCAACCCCATTCCCAGCTCCAGCCCACTCTCACCTCTCAGCCTTGATCCCCTCCCTCCCTCCACCCTACCCATACAGTCCCTGTTGCATTTTCATTCCAAAATGAATTAGCCCCAGTCCCAAGCCTCAGCCCTTATAGCCCTATCCCAAACATCCCCTGCCACACTGGCAGCCCCATCCCCCAGCTTCTAGCCCTCCACTTGAGTGATCCCTGCCTGTCTTTATTTTCTCTGTGAGCTGGAGTGTTTGTGTGTAATCATTGAAGCCATGTGGCCTGGTGAGCACCTCCTCAGGGCTGTTTGAAAGTAAAGTCCCACAGGAGGCAGTGTGTTTCCTCAGTTGATGATAGCGCTCTGCTGTGTTCCCTTCCCAGCACTGCTGGAAGGTGATGATTTACTGGGAGGGAGGGAGGGAGGGAGGGAGGGAGGGAGGGAGGGAAGGGATTGATAGAGGGAAGTGATTTCTCTGGAAATCTACCAGCGAAAGAGAGGAATGAGTGTCACAGCCAAAGTTCAGCGTTTTTCGTGTCCATCTGGTTGTTATCGTGTTCTTCCCTGTTTGAAGAATTTGCCTTCAAAAAGGCTTAGGAGTTAGGATGGCTTCTCAGAATTGTTTAGATGTACTATGATATGCTGCTGCCTGTAATGTTCTGCCCAGAAATAGTTTTTCACTGGCTCATTGGATGCACACACATTTTGGTTGCATCTCCTTGCACAGAGCTGGTTGTTTATGTGTGTAGTGAGAGAAGTTGTTCCCCTGCCATGTGAGGGTCGTGCCTGTGTGAAAGGAGGCTGTGGCCTGAATTCATGGGCCTATTGTTCCTCTGATGCGTCACTGCCTGGCAGAGCTGGTGGGGACAAATACCCCCAGGAGTGTGGAGTAGAGGGTCAGCGTGCTCAGGAACGTGATGTACCGCAGCTTTAAGACCAGATGTAGAAAGCTAAGGATTTAACTCACTCACACCGAGACTGAGGAAAAGTGTGGTTTCTCTACTCAATAGGCCGTTTTGTGTAGGTACATTGCTTTTAAACATCCAACAGAGTAGGGAGTACTGGCAAGTACAGGCAAAGTATTTAGCCTGCACTTACTGTCCAGTGGCATAGTCTGCTCAGGTTGCAAGTGGCACTGGTCACTCTCCCTCCAGCAGGATCTGACCTCAGCTCTGACATTCAAAGCCCAGTCATTTGACTGTGATTTCCCCCCAGCCTGACCAGGCAGCATGATTCCCCAAGGTCTGGCTTTTGTCCAAGAGTGAAAATAAGTTCTATGCTCAATTTCAGTTATTTCTTTCTACCATAATGACTTTCTGAAGGGTCTTTTGATATTCTAATCACCCTGGGTTGGCCTCATATCAACCATTTAAGATCATAATAGAGTACTATGTGTGTGTGCAGTTTGACATTGTGTCATCCCACTCCCTTCCTTTGAAGCCACTGGCCTTCTGGCGAAGTGCTACACAATAATAATGCCACGTTCTGGGAGGCTTGGAGTTTTGTGACAGTAAATGTTAATTCTCTGGTTCCATTTTTTAGACACAAAGGGCCAGTGTCCCTCAAAGCTCTACTGTGACTGCCTTCTCACTGCACTGGCCTATTTCATTCTCTATTAAACCCAAACACCCCTGCAATCCTATCATTTGGCCTGGCAATAGAGCCTCCATTTAAAAAGGTTTCTGTTTCCATGTCCCGAAGGACAAGACAAGATTTGATTGCTGGCATCTTATGGTGACTGGAGAGATGCCAGTGCTCCTCAAGTAGCAAGTTTTAATTTCCACTGCAAGCCTTTCTCCCAAGCCATCACAAGCCTGTCTTTACTAGGCAGACCCTAGTCTATGTGCCTTTTGTTGCAGAGCAACGCTATTGTAATGCATACCTCCTTGCTGGTGAAACAAACCAAGGCTTATTCTTTGCCAGAGAAGAGCTTGAGTGACCTGTGGTACTATTTATTTTCCTTGAAGACAGAATACTTGGTGTTGAATATGTAGTGTTTAAACACTTTATGACTTTGCTAATGGTTTCAAGTGGTTTTAGAGGATGTTGACTAAGCTTAAGGGAGCATCTGGAGAGTAGTTCTATAGGGGCACCCTAAAGCCGAGGGAGTCTGTTAGGTGCAGTCCTGGGATTGGTTTATGGGAAAACACCCATATTATGTTACATAGGGCATAGGATATAAATACCACAGTTAAGACAAAGGAGGTCAGAACAACTTATTATTTTGGGTCGTTGGTCTCCAGATGCCTGCAGACGTCTGTAAACTTATGCTGAAATCTTGTGATATAAATAAACCTTTATAATCAAAGTACAGTGTAAGCGGACTCCTTGGTCTCACAGCAAAGATTAGCATCATTTTTAGATACAACAAATACCGTTAACTTGATATCACGCAGGATATGACCCGTAGCTGGAAGGACCTTGGTCATCTTTGTGCTTGTATTTAGTCACGATTGCCTATCTCGACTTCCCCTCTTATCCCATGTTTACTTTTCCCTCGGGGAGAGCACATGAGTGGAAGTCATTTGAAAACAGGACCATAAAACATTGAGGCCGCATCAACCTTGGCTCACAGTACCCTCTAACTAAGGTAGACTGAAGTAAAAAATAATACATGATGTGGTGTTGAGCATTGATTTTATTCACTTGTGATTGTGGCCAGTATGTGTCTGTTTGAACGATGTCACCACCAGTGTGTTGTTGCTGCTGGGGTAAAGGGATATCCTGTGTTTCTCTGCATCCTGGCCTAGGCCCTGGGTTAGGTAGGGGGAACACTCTGCCCCTCAGCTCCTCACTAAAGCCTTTCTGTCAGGGATGCTGCTGGGACATTATAGCAACTTGACAATGTGTCAGCTCAATCAAAGAAGTGTTGCTTTGCGCCTTTCCCAAGGCCATGGTAGAACAGAGGGAGCAGAACACTATGCTCCCCTATAGTTACTTATTTTTTATATACTGCAATCTTACACTGTGAGTGTTACAGTCTGAAATAGGTATTATTTCTAAAACCTAATGAATGCTGTATGCCCACAACAGTATACTCATATAAAAGGTTGTGTTCACTATTATGAATGCATGTGATAGTAAACACATAAAATGTGTTTAGGGGTGTGGAAGGACTTTTACGTTAATCTCTGTAGTATAGATGACACCAGTCTGTGACAACCAATCAGAGGGTATGTTACTCACGGACAAGGGCATGAGTACACCACAATCTTTATTTCAGGATTTGTTTAAAGATAAACATTTTGATTCAGTTAAAAGTCAGATTATACTTTTTTGATGCGTGGTGGATTTAGAGTGGATTAACTGTCTTGTCATCTTAAAAAGGGATATTGATGTGCCTAAAAAAATGTGAATAGAGTGGTGCTCTGCTTGGTGTGGGATTACCCTGGCAGGTTTCTTGTGGACCGTAATTGGTGCAGGAATATCAGCAATCTCCATTGTTTGTTCCCTGGGCTCCAAAGTGGATTCTGTAGGGGTTTGTGTGTGTTCCCAGTGACCTGAGAGCACCCAGAGAAAGCTGATTGATTTGACCCGAGCTCACACACTTGGCCATGCATACTTCACTGCATTGTTAGTGCCACTGTTTTTACTGGCCGCACAATGGTAGTCAATGCCTGATTATAGACAAACAGTTTAAGAGTACACGAGAGCCCTTGAAATCAAACTTCCCAATTGTTAATATTGAGGCTTTGTAACAGTCTGAGCCAGTAAAAAATGGCAAACATAAGGAACAATGATCACCAGGGCACCCTGTGAATTTCCACCACCCATGGCTCTCTCTCCCCCTCGCCCTCTGGGTGGTAGTGCCCAGACTGGGCCCTCAAAGAACCCAGGGTGGGAAATGGGACAGTGAAAGAGGGGGTGAGGGGATGTTTGTATGAGAAAAAAATTAGAACTGCATTTTATGTATGTTCCCCTCTCCCTCAACCTGATCTCTACCCACAGCCCCAGTTGATTACAGTTTGAATACAGAGATTATACTACAATCTTCACATATTCTAGCTAAGGAGGCTAAGTGACCTGTAAAATAGTGATGTTTTTCGCAAGCTTCTATCCCCTGCTGTCCTTGGATTCTGTACAGTCCTAGACAGGTGAAAGATGTTATGATATACCCAATGTTTTGAAAGAGATAACACTGCCTTCGTTTACACATTCTAAGGATGTTTTTTGTGTGAGAATATCCTGGTCTGGGTTATAGGTAATTCCAGTGACACATGCATATCAGTCAGTTAGTCAGTCAGTCTGTGTACTTGCAGGCTCCTCCTGTGCCCCAGCTGACCCAGGCAGGGATGAGGGTGTCGGGGAGGGGAACAGGCCCAACAGGCCTCAGTGGGTCATGGAGGTGGCATGGTTAATGATCTGTCTTCTCTGCTCTCCCCTCCACTGGGTGACTTTAAAGCCTCGCCTCCCACCCTCCACTCAAACACTGGAACACCAAGCCTCAGTGACCAATGAGGGTCCTCCACCTCACCCAGTAGTGAGGGGATGTGTGAGGGGGCGAGGTGGTCGGACTTTGGACTCTTTCAGCAGTGTGGACAGATAATGAGTCACTACAGGGACCATAGTACAATGGTTTTAATGACAGATGAGGGGAACACATTCCCACACACTAAGTCAGATAGCCTCCTTTTCAGACACCCACTTAGTAAGACATCTGTATCTAACTAAACCTATGACTGCTAATCACAGGTCTTGTAGTTGAAGTAGTTTCATGTCATTAGCTGTCTGCTATATATCACGCTGTTTCATTAGTGACTGGTTTTTCACTCTCCATTGAGTGAGTCAGCATTGGTGCTCACCTGGAGCACAGTGTTTTTGTGTCTTTGTGTGTGTGTGTGTGTGTGTGTGTGTGTGTGTGTGTGTGTGTGTGTGTGTGTGTGTGTGAAACAGATGCGTCTGTGTGCGTGCATCAGGTGTGAGCGTAATATGTGACAGGTACGTGCGTCAGGTGTGTGCAGAGTGTGTGTGTGTATGCTCAGGCTTTTCTTGGACCTGTCCAGTGAGAGGTGCCTGTCTGCCTGCCTGTCCAGGCGAGGCTAAGGGGAGTTGAACTCCAGTGTGTTAATCTGCACGGTCAGCCTCTAATCCCCCTGGGAGCAGGCATTCCTCCTCATAATGAACCTGCTATGTCCCTCCCTGCCTGCATACTGTATAACATGAATGGGGGAGAAAACTGATAGCCTACATTATAAACTGGGTGGTTCGAGCCCTGAATGCTGATTGGCTGAAAGCCGTGGTATATCAGACCGTATTCCACGGGTATGACAAGACATGTATTTTTACAGTTCTAATTACGTTGGTAACCAGTTTATAATAGCAATAAGGCACCTCAGGGGTTTGTGGTATATGGCCAATATACCACAGCTAAGGGCTGTATCCAGGCACTCTGCATTGCGTCCTGCATAAGAACAGCCCTTAGCCGTGGTATATTGGCCATATACCACACTCCCTCGTGCCTTATTGCTTAAATATCCCCTGTGTTTACATAATCATATTTAAATAAATATAGGCCTAGTATTGTAATGAGAAGGGCCAGGAGCCACGTGATCTGACCAGGAAAAACTCTGGGCCTTGGGTATAACATTTATCTAGGGCTTCCAGTTTTTCCTGGTTAGGGAAAAACTCCTGGCCCTTTGTATCAGTAACGAACCCCATATGAAAGTCAGTTCCTGGTTGTTTCTGTGGAGGCGTACAGTGCGGGCATTCCTCACTGTAGTAAACAGAACATGAAACTGTCAAACCTGTCGTCTGGCATTCTGTCAAGCATTGCCTCATTTCCAGATATTCTCGTTTATTAACAAATATGCGGGAGCCTGGTTGCTACAATATTTTCTTAGACTGTCACTTTCAGGAAATAAAGTAAATCCCTCTCTGACAGCATCATTACAGAGAAACCTTCTATCTGTTTTTCTATGCAAAACTTCATGCGGGCCTAGATAGAGTGCTGTGTGTTGTTGTCAGCTGAGAGGTTACATGAAGTCAGAATTCAGGTTTCCCTGAGTGCATTGACTGCTCTCCCTTAGGACAGTAGCATTCCAGACAGGCAAGTCAGGGCAGACTGTCCATTGATAAAACTGGACAGAGGCAAAGCACACAGGGTCCTCCTTTCACACTGTCCTGCCACAGCAGCCAAGTTCATACAAAGACAGACTGCCACCAACAGTGGGTCATCTAATTAGAGAATTTGATCATGTTTAGTGATAGGCGGTAAACAAGCCAGAACCATAAGACTTAAGCAGCAGCCCCACAACTGTACAACTCTGGCAGGTGAAGCCATTGAGACATTGGTGTTGGTCATGCTCAGGGGAGATTTACTGGACTGGACCATTCACCTCAATCTCCCCAGCCTGTTGCAGGTGACACACTGTCTTTGTGTGGGCCAAGCTACATCAGTAGAAGCAGTTCAATGGGAGGTGAATAGAGGCTTAGATTTATTGTCATGCATCCACCTCTTAAATCCCCTTGAGCTTGTTATGATGGAGTTGTTTTGGGAGTCTCTTTGCAGAGGATGACGGAGTTGTTTTGGGAGTATCTTTGCAGAGGAGTTGTGAAGGAATTTGAGTTGCCTCGTAAATAAGACCATAGACTTTTGTCTTTAACCCGTTGTCAATCCAGTATTGTGTCCTTTTCTGTACAACGTTACATCTTTATATCCTGTATTTACTTTGTACTGACCCTTCTGTCTGTTCTCCAGAGCAGTGCTGCAGTGAGCAAGGAGAAGGCTGAGGTGGAGGCAGCCAAGGGGGCAGTGGAGGGCCAGGCGGGACGTCTTAGCCAGGAGGCCGAGAAGCTGAGAAAGCGGGCACAGGAGCTGGAGAACGAAGTGGCCAAACTCAACCGTATCATCGATGATGCCAAGCTACAGGAGAGCAAGCTGGGGGACAGAGTGGGCCGGCTTGAGGTGAGTTCTAGAGAAACCTAATGGACTGGAACTGCAGTAGCAACGGTCATAGAAATTGTTAAAAAGTTGTAAAAACAATTTTAATAAATGCAACTGTTGGACAATGGATCAAGATACTGCAAACCTTTAGAATGTTTATAATCCATCAGATATTGATTGAATTATAGCACATAAAACATTTACTGGCATGGACAAATAATGAATGGAATTCAGCGATTTTGGTGGGAATTCAGGTATTCCATTTATTGTCAAATAAATAAAGAAAATCGTAGAATCCACTCATACATACATTTTCTTATTGTATCAGTTTTTTTAGATATATATTTTGTGTTCAAATAAATCAAATTATATGCGCCTCATTTGCATAAATATGCAGGGTGTATTTGCAAATATGGATACATTAACATAACAGGGCTGCAACCACCAAACACTTGCTCTGTCTACCCTAACCGCACTCACCTACAATGTCTAGACTGCCTCATTAATTACTGTTGTTGTCAAGTTCTCTTGCATAAAACAACAATTGTGTCAATAGCAGGATACCCTTGGATTAAAAATCAACAGCCTTGGCTCTAGATTACACCTATCTAAACGTACTTTACATTGTGTGCAAGATCAGACATAATATCACTATAATCCGAGTGTTCATTTTCGGAAGTTACTTTCATTTCAGCGCATGTAATTTGTAAACATTTCAACTGTATTAAATTATTACTTTTTTCAATTCCACCAAAAATGAACACCCATCAAAATCAAATGTTCTTTCTTCTCTTTCTTGTGATGTAAGTGTCGAGACGGTGCATTAAATCCCTGACGAAGCTTTAGCGTTCTTATACATTCAACTGAAAGACAATGTATTCCATTCACCCCATTTCAGTCATTACTGTGGTGTGTTTGACAGGTCATTACAAACATTTCCACAGTCGTAACGTTAACGAATAAAAAAGACAGGCACAAGCAAAAGTATGAAAGAGTCGCAGGAGTAAAATGAAAGCAATCAATCCAGCAAGATTTAAGTTACAAGTGGATTTTGTGTCCCTCAAACACAGGAAATAGATGGCTGAAAAAGACAGATCCTCAGGTGTAGGAGAGCCACTGTAAACTGCACAGGAGTGTCAGTCAGATTGACAGAAATAAAAATTTTCACATTGAAGATCAGATCTGTTGCCTATTGTCTTATGCTGGTGTATGTATATGTGTATGTGTGAACTCACAGAGAGAGAAGAGGCAGCTGGAAGAGTCTTTGGCAGAAATCAAGGAGCAGGAGGAGGAGATGTCACGTGCCAACCGTGCTCTGACCACACGGTTAGAGGATGTACAGGTAAGATTGACCAGGCTTTGACCACAAGGTTGGGAGAATTTACTGGTGAGAATAATAAAGCATAAGTGCTGGTCCTCCTTACCATTGTGACCCATCTCTCTAAACTATTTCTGTTACAGAGGAATCTGACCAAGCTGAACCATGACCACAGAGAGCTGGAGGAGAGGCTGAAGGAGGAGAGGAGTCAAAAAGAACAGTTCAAGAACACTAAGAATGAGATAGAGGACGAGAGGAGTCTCCTGGACCGCACAGTGGAGAAACTACAGAGGGAGGTGAGTGGACCAACTAAAGGCCTTCGGACATCCTTGCTTTAGTCAATCAAATATCACACCGCAGGCATGTGTATGTTTGTGCATGCATGTCTGTTTGTTAGCAGGTCTAACTCTACCTTCTCCCTCTCTCCCTGTAGATGAGTGAGATCGTGGAGGCCTCTCAGTCGTCCACCCAGGAGCTGCAGGAGCAGATAGATGTGTACAAGGAGAAGAACCGTCGGGAGCTGGCTGAGCTTCAGAGGCAGCTGAGGGAACGGGGTGTGGAGCTGGACAAGTCCCGTCTGGCTGCTAAGTCCCTGCAGGAGGAGGTGGGTTGGCACAGTGCTCCCCATGACAATGGAGGATGAGCCATTGTCCTGACTCAGTGTGTTGTAAACCCCCACTCAGGGTTTGGACAGTGAGGTCATGGCTTTGGAATGTGTGTCCTCTCCCCTCTTATACTTCCCCTTTGCCCTGAACTGGACCAGAAGGTCACAGCTGTAGAGAGGCCTGGTGGCCTGGTGGTATTACAGGGTTAAAGAGGTTAGATAATGTATATTTGCATAGATATCTGTGGTTTAGCATGAAGAGTTGGCGCTGTGGAGGGTGGAAAGAGAAATCGGAATCATTGTTTTTCTATTGGTGAAGCATCAGAATGTTTCAGCAATCTAGAACTTCAGACACTGACGCACTAGGATGAATTTATGAACCTCTTTTAATTGAACAATATATTGCAGTATTAGCTGTGACTTTATCTTACGTTACATCCATTGTTCTCATACATTAGGGGAGCTGTAGCTAGGTAGGCTTATGGAATTTGGAGTGAGCCTCTGGAATGTTCTTCATGGCATTTTGCCTCAATTTAGGAATTCTCCAGCTAATGTTTTTCCAATTACTATGGTTAATTATCACAATATAGCTATAACCCCTTAGTAGCTGTGGTCTGCTCCACATAATGTGGTTATAACCCCGGGCCACTGCTCATTGGGTATGGTTTGACCTACTAAACACTTTGGATTGTTTGGAATGTTTTTGTTGAATATCTGTTAAGCGTTGCTTATTTGATCTAATAATGTCCTCCCTCCTTGTGTGTCTGAGTTACTAACCCCTGCAGAATGTCATTAAGGAAAACCACTTTCCTACAGTAGGTTAAAGACAGGTGGCCAGACTCAGTACAACACAGTCCAAACTCCATGGGAATTGTGAGCCGTAACATGCTCACTTTTTCCATGGAAATGTGTCCGTTTTACAGAAGAGAGAGGCCTTGCTGCTAGTGGTTAATCTTTCTGTTGTAGTCTACCCAGTGTAATGTATATGCGCAGATGGGATATGCTGATGTATCTTTGTCCAGCTGGTCTACAGGAAGAGGGGGATGTAGTGTCATTGTTGTGAGAGCTGGAATGACTGACTCCACATCCTCCTCTCCTCCCCTCTGATCCATACACTCCTCTAAGGCCTGGTGATGAGGTCACTGTTCCATCTGCTTCTGTCCCCACCCCCACATCTCACGCTCACCCTCTTATAAGCAGGCACATTAAGACCTGCTGAAGACAAATGTATTTTCTCCTTTTATCTTCTTCACTCACCAGGCCAGTGTTTGTGAAAGTTTCTCTTAAGTCATTATTGTTAAAGGAACAGATGGCATCTTGTGGCCACTGCTGAAATTGCATAGCTAAAGCATGCATGCCACGTATGGATGTTACTGCAACACTATGACACATAGTGTGGTGTAATGGTAAATGAGTAGGAGGTTTTCACAAAACCTGTTGGCCATTTTCATTCTGTTTTAAAAGTATATGTGGTGTGTGTCCTGCAGCTGAGCCATGTGGAGGAGGACCTGAGGCAGTGTAAGAGGGAGAGGGATGATGCTGTGCTCAAGGAGAAGGCCATGGAGCAGAAAGTCTACGACCTGGAGGTGGAGGCAGAGACCAAAGCCCACTCCAAGGATGACAAAATCCGACAGGTCAAACTCATGGAGGTATGGAGGGATATCTTAAGTATTCATTTCACATTGTCTCTCAATTATATACTTTATACACGTGTTCATGAGACTTTCTCCTGCCATTTAAAGTGTCAGACTTTTTGTGCTGTATTATTTGGTTGTCTTTGAGTCTTCAGTCAGTGTATGCTAGTCCTTCCAGTTCTGAGGAAGGAACAGTTCCCAGCTAGCACATAACGTTCTGAGAACCATATGTTTCTTAGAGCTTGGTGAGAGCAGGGTTGTCCTATGGTTATTTTGCATACAACCTTCCCACAACTTTCTGGGAATAGTGCAGGATAGTTGCTTGGTTTTGGAACATTCCCAGCACATTTAAGGAACCTGACAAAAAAACATTATTTTCTTGGTATTTCATTACTTTAACAGAATGTTTCCAAAAGTTCAAACATGGTTACATTTAATAAAAATGTTGGTAATGTTCTAGGAACGTTTTCCAACTGGTTTGACATTGGGAATCTCAAATAGTTAAGAGAACGAAACAATAAATAAACGGGGTGTGGAGCTGGACAAGTCCCGTCTGGCTGCTAAGTCCCTGCAGGAGGAGGTGGGTTGGCCAGTGCTCGCCATGACAATGGAGGATGAGCCATTGTCCTGACTCAGTGTGTTGTAAACCCCCACGAATAAAAAATAATAATAATAAGAAGAAGAAGAAGAAGAAGAAAATAAACAAATTTAAAAAAAATAAAGAAACAACTTTCTTTTGTGGGAATTTCAGTACTTCAGCTGAGTGGACTAATTCCATGGATAGAGAACAGAATATTATAGGTTTGAATCGCAATGATGCCATGTCACAATAAAAAATAAATGTGTTTGCATGATTAATGCCTAAGGAAATGAATTTCCATGTGGAGATAGAAAGTTAACCCAACATAAGATAGCAGTGTTATTAAAAGTCTTATTGAATGATTCAGTGAAAGTTTTAATGAAATTATTCAAAAACCTCCAAATAACCTATAATTTCCGTTCTCAGACCGTTATTAAAACCTCCCAGGAAAACATTCAAGGAATCAGAGTCAAACGTTCTCAGAACCTTCCTACAACCTAAAAATAAACATTCCCGAACAGGCAACATTTTCTGTTCTGTGCTCAGAACGTTTAAAAAACGTTCACTTTTGCCGGTCAGGAAACGTATGGCTTCGTTCCCATAACCAATGTGAAATCAAAAATATACAATCCCACAACTTCCAAGGAACCAAATGTGCTAGCTGGGTTCTTTCCTGAGTTTCTTATAGACACAAGTCATGTGTACTGCAGGCCTCTGCTGTTGACAGTGGTGTGATGGCAAAACACAGCAGAAGGAAATCTAAAGCTGTCATTCAGAGAAGCAACCCCATGTTTAGAGCAAGGTCAAATAATAATGTCAATGTTATTACCATGTCAATGTTGATACTGTGTTCTGCAGGACAGGATCAATCAGCTGGAGCTGGATCTGGATGAGGAAAAGCAAAGTGGAGACCTGCTGATTGTCAGGATAGACCGAGGCAGAGAACAGGTGAGTGAGTACCTTACCACTACCACTGACTGACCACTCTCACTGACCTCCAGTCAGTGGGGCATTCTAACATTCAGTAACCATGGTTCACCAAGCTCATTCACCAATTTGTCTCTGACTCTGCTTCCTGTGACCGGGAGTCACACTCCTAAACTCCATTAACTTCATTATCATCTGCAAAAGACACAAACTGTTCCTGTTCTTGAACCACAGTTTTCTTGGACTATGTTGAAGAAAGCATTTCAAGTACAGTCATGCCAGAGCAGCTTGGCATAATGTGACATCTAAGCTTACACCCTGTATCAGTTCTTTGTGCTTGTCTGCCATCCCCTCGTGCCATTGACAGCTCATATACCCTCAGGGCGCACACACAGACCTACACACCGAGCCGTTCTTCATTGCGTGTGTGTGTGTGTGGGCCCCCCTGTATGGAACAGCGGCCCAGAATCCCACTATCCCAGTTAATTTGTGTTCTGGAGAGAGCAGAGGGGTTATTGCATTGTAAGAGGATCTTGCATAATCGTTCAGTTTGGCAGGCTTCCTGCTCGGTGTAAAAGCGCCAATCCAATTTTCATGCATCAGTCACAAAAGACCCCTTTTAATGCACCGCCTCAGGCAAAATATGCACACTGCCAACTTATCAAGTTTACGGCTATGGAGTTCACTTAGCTGTGACTGCTTCTCAGGGACAAATCCATTTATTGTGGCTGATCGTAGTTCTCACATGCTGAGGGAGTCAGACCTAAACACTGCAGCTTTCCTTCCCCTCTGATAAACCTGCTGATGGAGCCATTATAAACTCAAATTGAAATAAGAGTACATGCTTCCTGGAGAAAGGGTTGTTGTCAGAAAGCGTTGCTAACTCAGATCAGGAGACTGTTGGTCCGATGCTTTTTCATGAGGAAGTGACATTATTCCAGATACAATTAATGTACAGGACAAGCTTTTTCCTCTAGGATGTGTTTTGTATTATTCAACACGTGCTAAGTGTATTTACCTCTAAGGATCTGCCCTGTTGCAATACCTCTGCAGCTCACTGGGCTCTCATTGATGTACATACTGCCAATGCAATCATGATTCATTCTTCATGTCTAACAAAGATAGGACTAGTTGTTTTTTACGGTCAGGTTCATTGTTCCGCAATGGTAAGATTGAAGGGCTAAGTCTGCACAATCCCCCAACCTTGAAATGGATGAAAATGTAAAGACGTGAACAAAAGTATGAGAGGCCTAAAAGGAGTGAACAAGTAGTTACATTTCCTTAAAGGCAAAAAACTCCTGGCACAGAGAAAAGAGTGGTCACTAGACAAAGTGGCATTACTGCAAAACAGGGCCAAGGTGAGTTGCCATGGCAACAGTGGAGGGGTGTGCAGTAATAGTGAAGTGAATGGGGTTAGGATGGGAGGATGTGGTGGTGGTGGTCGGTGGGAGAGGGGGACCGAGAGAGGGGGGTCTGCATGGCCATGATGGCTGGGAGTGAGGGGGGGGGGGGGGCGGGGGCAGCAGGAAGAACACCTGCGTCTCTCCTGGCACCAGGTGCTCTTCTCCTGTCTAAATGAGAGTAATCTCTCCTCTCTCCACCCGCCGTCTCTCACAAAGCAGATTAGTTTCTGCTGTATGTTCCAGTCTGCTGAATCAGCTCCCTCAAGCACTGCACCGGGCACACCAGTTATGTGGCCCATCGTTCATCAGAGCAGCCCACTGTCACACACTAATTGGCATTTAATATCACACATACTAAGCTCCCCTCACAAAAACATTAGTCGATTAGTTGTCTTTTTTTCATTCTCATCTGTATTCCCTTCTCTTGAACTAGTCTGTCTGTCTCTACCGCGCTCTCTCTCTCTCTCTCCTCTCTCTCTCTCTCTCTCTCTCTCTATCTCTCTCTCTCTCTCACTCTCTCTCTCATCTCTCTCTATCTCTCTTCTCTCTCTCTCTCTCTCTCTCTCTCTCTCTCTCTTCTCTATCTCTCTCTAGCTCGCTTCTCTCTCTTCTTCCTCTCTCCTATTTCCTTATCGCTCTCCCTCTATCGCTCGTTTCTCTTCTCGTTTATCTTCCTCTATGCTGCTCTCTTTTTCTCTTCTTGCTTTGGGGAAGTTCACTCCCTGATGTGGCTTAAGTTTCCTAGCACTAGTTAGATAGGTAACAATTGACGATTTAATAGTCTGAGTCATCAATGTACGTTGAGTCAGAAGTTTACATACACCTTAGCCAAATACATTTAAACTCTGTTTTTCACAATTCCTGACATTTAATCCTAGTAAACATTCCCTGTTTTAGGTCAGTTAGGATCACCACTTTATTTTAAGAATGTAAAATGTCAGAATAATAGTAGAGAGAATGATTTATTTCAGCTTTTATTTCTTTCATCACATTCCCAGTGGGTCAGAAGTTTACATACACTGAATTAATATTTGGTAACATTGCCTTTAAAATGTTTAACTTGGGTCAAATGTTTCGGGTAGCCTTCCACAAGCTTCCCACAATAAGTTGGGTGAATCTTGGCCCATTCCTCCTGACAGAGCTGGTGTAACTGAGTCAGGATTGTAGGCCTCCTTGATTGCACACGCTTTTTCAGTTCTGCCCACAGATTTTCTATAGGATTGAGGTCAGGGCTTTGTGATGGCCACTCCAATACCTTGACTTTGTTGTCCTTAAGCCATTTTACCACAACTTTGGAAGTATGCTTGGGGTCATTGTCCATCTGGAAGACCCATTTGCAACCAAGCTTTAACTTCCTGACTGATGTCTTGAGATGTTGCTTCAATATATCCACATAATTTTCCTTCCTCATGATGCCATCTATTTTGTGAAGTGCACCAGTCCCTCCTGCAGCAAAGCACCCCCACAGCATGATGCTGCCACCCCCGTGCTTCACGGTTGGGATGGTGTTCTTCGGCTTGCAAGCGACCCCCTTTTTCCTCCAAACATAACAATGGTCATTATGGCCAAACAGTTCTATTTTTGTTTCATCAGACAAGAGGACATTTCTCCAATCTTTGTCCCCCATGTACAGTTGCAAACCGTAATCTGTCTTTTTATGGCGGTTTTGGAGCAGTGGCTTCTTCCTTGCTTAGCGGCCTTTCAGGTTATGTCGATATAGGACTCATTTTACTGTGGATATAGATAATTTTGTACCTGTTTCCTCCAACACCTTCACAAGGTCCTTTGCTGTTGTTCTGGGATTGATTTGCACTTTTCGTACCAAAGTACGTTAATCTCTAGGAGACAGAACGCATCTCCTTCCTGAGCGGTATGACGGCTGCGTGGTCCCATGGTGTTTATACTTGCGTACTATTGTTTGTACAGATGAACGTGGTACCTTCAGGCGTTTGGAAATTGCTCCCAAGGATGAACCAGACTTGTGGAGGTCTACCATTTTTTTCTGAGGTCTTGGCTGATTTCTTTTGATTGTCCCATGATGTCAAGCAAAGAGGCACTGAGTTTGAAGGTAGGCCTTGAAATACATCCACAGGTACACCTCCAACACGATGTCAATTAGCCTATCAGAAGCTTCTAAAGCCATGACATCATTTTCTGGAATTTTCCAAGCTGTTTAAAGGCACAGTCAACTTAGTGTATGTAAACTTCTGACCCACTGGAATTGTGATACAGTGAATTATAAGTGAAATAATCTGTCTGTAAACAATTGTTGGAAAAATTACTTGTGTCATGCACAAAGTAGATGTCCTAACCGACTTGCCAAAGCTATAGTTTGTTAACAATACATTTGTGGAGTGGTTGAAAAACAAGTTTTAATGACTCCAACCTAAGTGTATGTAAACTTCCGACTTCAACTGTACATTACTGAGAGCTGACATGAGATCAATTCAGGGGAATGCAACCAAATAAGAATATCCAAACCACCAATTAGCTACAGGAAGGATCCTTCCACCTTGAGTGAGACAGTACAACAACTGCACACCTACACATACAGGAAGGGTTCTTCCTACCGACACACGAGCAGCCTCTCATAATAATTGTGTTCTCAGAGTGTGTAACCATTGCGATGACAGTCCTCTCTGCTCTGGTTGACAGGTGGAGCAGATGAGAAATGAACTCCTGCAGGAGAGGGCTGGCAGACAGGACCTAGAATGTGACAAGATGACTCTGGAGAGACAGGTACACACTGCCCTGTTCTTCCCACTCCTTCCTGTCTTCCTGTCTGGGGGGAAACAACAGCAGTCTATCTGTGAAAAGTCCATTAGGCTCATACCATAACATGCACTCATGTAATCCATCTCTGTCTCCTATCTGTCCTTCTCTGTCTCCATCTCTATACTCCTGCTCTGACAATGGTCTTGTTGACCAAAACATTAGCTAAATAAAGTAGAACTAAGACTGTGTATCAAAGTTGTTTATCACACTGTTTCTCACAGAACAAGGACCTGAAGAGCAGAATAGCCCATCTGGAGGGCTCCCAGAAGTCTAACAAGGAGGGCCTGGTGAGCCAGCTGGAGAGCCGGATCCAGGAGCTGGAGGAGAGGCTGGAGGGAGAGGAGAGGTACGGTTAGGATTGGGGTTGGGGTGGGTTCCTAGGGAGAGGTGGGGTTGGGGTTGGAGGGAGGTAGAGAGGTCCTGCTTTAGGGACCAGTGGTGCATACAGTGGGGAAAAAAAGTATTTAGTCAGCCACCAATTGTGCAAGTTCTCCCACTTAAAAAGATGAGAGAGGCCTGTCATTTTCATCATAGGTACACGTCAACTATGACAGACAAAATGAGGAAAAGAAATCCAGAAAATCACATTGTAGGATTTTTAATGAATTAATTTGCAAATTATGGTGGAAAATAAGTATTTGGTCAATAACAAAAGTTTCTCAATACTTTGTTATATACCCTTTGTTGGCAATGACACAGGTCAAACGTTTTCTGTAACTCTTCACAAGGTTTTCACACACTGTTGCTGGTATTTTGGCCCATTCCTCCATGCAGATCTCCTCTAGAGCAGTGATGTTTTGGGGCTGTCGCTGGGCAACACGGACTTTCAACTCCCTCCAAAGATTTTCTATGGGGTTGAGATCTGGAGACTGGCTAGGCCACTCCAGGACCTTGAAATGCTTCTTACGAAGCCACTCCTTCGTTGCCTGGGCGGTGTGTTTGGGATCATTGTCATGCTGAAAGACCCAGCCACGTTTCATCTTCAATGCCCTTGCTGATGGAAGGAGGTTTTCACTCAAAATCTCACGATACATGGCCCCATTCATTCTTTCCTTTACACGGATCAGTCGTCCTGGTCCCTTTGCAGAAAAACAGCCCCAAAGTATGATGTTTCCACCCCCATGCTTCACAGTAGGTATGGTGTTCTTTGGATGCAACTCAGCATTCTTTGTCCTCCAAACACGACGAGTTGAGTTTTTACCAAAAAGTTATATTTTGGTTTCATCTGACCATATGACATTCTCCCAATCCTCTTCTGGATCATCCAAATGCACTCTAGCAAACTTCAGACGGGCCTGGACATGTACTGGCTTAAGCAGGGGGACACGTCTGGCACTGCAGGATTTGAGTCCCTGGCGGCGTAGTGTGTTACTGATGGTAGGCTATGTTACTTTGGTCCCAGCTCTCTGCAGGTCATTCACTAGGTCCCCCCGTGTGGTTCTGGGATTTTTGCTCACCGTTCTTGTGATCATTTTGACCCCACGGGGTGAGATCTTGCGTGGAGCCCCAGATCGAGGGAGATTATCAGTGGTCTTGTATGTCTTCCATTTCCTAATAATTGCTCCCACAGTTGATTTCTTCAAACCAAGCTGCTTACCTATTGCAGATTCAGTCTTCCCAGCCTGGTACAGGTCTACAATTTTGTTTCTGGTGTCCTTTGACAGCTCTTTGGTCTTGGCCATAGTGGAGTTTGGAGTGTGACTGTTTGAGGTTGTGGACAGGTGTCTTTTATACTGATAACAAGTTCAAACAGGTGCCATTAATACAGGTAACGAGTGGAGGACAGAGGAGCCTCTTAAAGAAGAAGTTACAGGTCTGTGAGAGCCAGAAATCTTGCTTGTTTGTAGGTGACCAAATACTTATTTTCCACCATAATTTGCAAATAAATTCATTAAAAATCCTACAATGTGATTTTCTGGATTTTTTTCCCTCATTGCGTCATAGTTAGGACTATGATGAAAATTCGGTTCATCATACCTACAGACTCATTTACATAAAGCTGTCTGACTCTCAGAGTAATTAGGTCACATTGCACTTAACCTTGGTTCATTGGGTTGGTTAGTTTCGTTTTACATTCTTTAGGTCATTATGAGCATGTACACTACCGTTCAAACGTTTGGGGTCACTTAGAAATGTCCTTGTTTTTGTCCATTAAAATAACATCAGATTGATCAGAAATACAGTGTAGACATTGTTAATGTTGTATATGGCTATTGTAGCTGGAAATGGCTGATTTTTAATGGAATATTCTACACAGGGCGTTACAGAGGCCCATTATCAGCAACCATCAGTCCTGTGTTCCAATGGCAAGTTGTGTTTGCTAATCCAAGTTTATCATTTTAAAAGGCTAATTGACATTAGAAAACCATTTTGCAATTATGTTAGCACAGCTGAAAACTGTTGTGCTGATTAAAGAAGCAATAAAACGGGCCTTCTTGAGACTAGTTGAGTATCTGGAGCATCAGCAATTGTGGGTTCGATTACAGGCTCAAAATGGCCAGAAATAAATAACTTTCTTCTGAAACTCGTCAGTCTATTCTTGTTCTGAGAAATGAAGGCTATTCCATGCGAGAAATTGCCAAGAAACTGAAGATCTCGTACAACGCTGTGTTCTACTCCCTTCACAGAACAGCGCGAACTGGCTCTAACCAGAATAGAAAGAGGAGTGGGAGGCCCCGGTGCACAACTGAGAAAGTGGACAAATACATTAGAGTGTCTAGTTTGAGAAACAGACGCCTCACAGGTCCTCAACTGGCAGCTTCATTAAATAGTACCCGCAAAACACCAGTCTCAACGTCAACAGTGAAGAGGCGACTCCGGGATGCTGACCTTCTAGGCAGAGTTGCAAAGAAAATGCCATATCTCAGACTGGCCAATAAAAAGAAAAGATTAAGATGGGCAAAAGAACACAGACACTGGACAGAGGAAGATTGGAAAAAAGTGTTATGGACAGACTAATCGAAGTTTGAGGTGTTCGGATCACAAAGAAGAACATTTGTGAGACGCAGACCAAATGAAAAGATGCTGGAGGAGTGCTTGATGCCATCTGTCAAGCATGGTGGAGGCAATGTGATGGTCTGGGGGTGCTTTGGTGGTGGTAAAGTGGGAGATTTGTACAGGGAAAAAGGGATCTTGAAGAAGGAAGGCTATCACTCCATTTTGCAACGCCATTCCATACCCTGTGGACGGCGCTTGATTGGAGCCAATTTCCTCCTACAACAGGACAATGATCCAAAGCACAGCTCCAAACTATGCAATAACTATTTAGGGAAGAAGCAGTCAGCTGGTATTCTGTCTATAATGGAGTAGCCAGCACAGTCACCGGATCTCAACCCTATTGAGCTGTTGTGGGAGCAGCTTGACCGTATGGTACGTAAGAAGTGCCCATCAAGCCAATCCAACTTGTGGGAGGTGCTTCAGGAAGCATGGGGTGAAATCTCTTCAGATTACCTCAACAAATTGACAACTAGAATGCCAAAGGTCTGCAAGGCTGTAATTGCTGCAAATGGAGGATTCTTTGACGAAAGCAAAGTTTGAAGGACACAATTATTATTTATATTAAAAATCATTATTTCTAACCTTATCAATGACTACATTTCCTATGCATTTTGCTATATTTCCTATTCAAACTAATTTCATGTATGTTTTCATGGATAACAAGGACATTTCTAAGTGACCCCAAACTTTTGAACGGTAGTGTAAATGCCTACAGTATGTGGCATATGGCCAATTACCTTGTGGTTTCCAGAGTATTATATGTACTGCTACAGTATGTGACATGTGGCAGATCGGTAGTCTTACCCATGATGCTGTGTTTTCTAGGGACCGTGCCAACCTGCAGCTGGTGAACCGGAGGCTGGAGAGGAAGGTGAAGGAGATGATGATGCAAGTTGATGAAGAGCACCACTCACTGCAGGATCAGAAGGACCAGGTCAGGATGCAACATGCACACACACACACACACACACATACACACACACACACACACACACACAGTCGTGTTTAACTAACACACACACACACGCACACACACACACACAGCTGTTTTAACCCTCAGTGTTCCTCTTGCAGCTGAACCTGCGTCTGAAGGCCCTGAAGAGGCAGATGGACGAGGCGGAGGAGGAGATTGACCGGCTGGAACACGGCAAGAAGAAGCTGCAGAGAGACCTGGACGAACAGCAGGAGGCCAACGAGCAGCTCCAGAGCCAACTCAAATCCCTGCGCAGCGAGATGAGGTAAGCATGCTAAATATACACGGCTAACAGAAGACGCTAAGAACATGCTCATTCTGCTTTGGTATTTGTTTACCTTGTTAATTGTAATGCAGCTCTAGCCAGCTGAAGCTAACAGCATGCACCAAGAGATTCCACAGTTTAAAAGCACATGCTTATGAAGTTTCACAGGTGCACACACATTATGTGAACGCACTGTAATTCATCTGAACATATTTCCTACAACTGCTCAAGAGTATTACTCACACCTTCCTGAACAATGTAGTCTAACACAAACATTAAATGCAATATGTGTAGCCCACTTTCTCTCAAACTGTAACACTTTCATACTGTGTAAACCACCTCACCCAGCCCTCCACCCAGAATAACACTCATTTCCCCTCCCTGAAGGCGTAAAACCAACTCTGCTCCTCTGGACGACGATGATGATGAGGACGACATCAGCACAGATGGAGAGACCTATTTCCGCTCTTCATCTGGCTATAAACGCTCCTGTAGCCAAGACAACATCATATCAACATTCTCTTTGTGAACCAACACAATGAAGATAACGTTAGTATAACTACAGAAGGACCAACTGGACAGACTCCTATTCAGAGAGACCACTTTCAGGTCAATATGTGCTTTTGGGAAACTGGCCAAAATAGCATAGGGATGTGTGTTTGCTCTTCCTTTCCCAGTACATAGATTGACAGGGAATGATTAGATAATAGTTATTGATTAATTACATTGTCTTGTAAATTATTGATTATAATTGAGCAATAGTTGAATTATCAGAACAATTTCTAAGTTCTTAGTTAATCATTGCACGTGTCTTCTTACATCTTGTGAATGATCCAGCAATGAGATGTACAATTAATCAAATTATTCACCTTGTAATGCACTGTAAAGGACAGCATTCTGTAACCTCTTATGCCTTATTGAAATGTATCAATTTATTAATCCCTCACTAGATTTTATATCCTTAATCAAATATGTTAAGCCGCTTATCATGTCTGATAGCAACAAATGTAATTTGAAACATTCATTTTTGTATTGTGCATTAGAATATCAATTCAATTTTGTATTGACGTTATGCAGAGTGTAAGGCCTTAAATTGATTTGAGTGAAATATTTGCTATTTATTTACTGTTGAATATATGAAGAAATGGCTGAATGAAGGGCGATATGTTTTTAGGGAAATTTGTATGAGGGATTCTTCTTCATACAGATGCTTCTTTGTATCTCTCTTTTTTAAAACCTGAATAAGGAATAATAATCCATCCATAATGATAGGTTGGTCTACAGAAAACATCTCTGTTTTATCACTTCTGTTTCCAGGCTTATGACAGTATTCAACCCTGCTTTTATTAAAATAAGATACAGCAGAGCTTTTATAAATACTGGTTCTCAAATCAAGGTTCTACTGTGTATTTTAGTTGGACTTTTCTACTAACTACCGAGACTGCTCTGTTAATCCTGAGATTATTGTTTAAATCGTCAATAGTCAATTTTCAGCATTATAGTAACAAACACATTCCTTACTTTTGCTTAAAAGTGATTCATCTCTGTATTTCATAGAAATAGGACTTTTACCAGAAATATGTTACAATGTGAGAAGAAGCTATTTATGTTTATGGTATATCCTCCAAGAACAAAACAGTGTTAATATTGGACATATGAGTCAATCTACTGTAAAATGAACAATCCTTTTTTTGTTGAATACCTGTGTTTGTATTTGCTATGTGCATCTGTGGGAGCATATTCTTATGCTATATGATCATGCAGTCAGTACCTGTTATAAGCATCTGTTGTGCCTATCTATTATCTGTTGGAGGGGACTGTCCTCTGTTATGCAAGTTTATATGACGAGTTTCTACAGATGAGCTGTATTGACAATCGATCTGTTTTGCTACACTGTGATGATTTGCACTGTCTGTTGGATTATTTCTGAAGGTGTCCAAGGCTGTTGTTGCCGTATGGAATGAAGAAGAGGCCTTTTGGAGGGGGGGGGGGGTTGAGAAGAAATACTGCCGCTACCTCTCTGTATGTACACATCTGTCCTTTGCTGAGACTAAAAACCCTGCTAAAATGAAATAAAGTTACCCTTAGTTAATCTCACATGCTTATTGTCACTGTAAATTATACTCCTGATCACATCGGCCTCTTCTAATCTATTTAGGTTCACAATATAAGCTACTTTGGAGAGTGTTTAGTTGTATGAGGAAGATGAAAGGATTGACCTCAGTGGTGTGTGAATGCTTTATGTGACCTCATTCATCCTACTTATTATTTTATCGTCTGGCCAAAGCAGCTGTGTCAATATCAGCCCCTCCATCTTTAATATGGAGCTCAGTAGGCCAGTATTTTCATGCTGAAGCCTATGGATCCTGTGTCCAGCCCCAGCACCTGACACCAAAGCACCGCAGGGCAGGTCCTCCGAGGTCTCAGGGGGAAAGGACATGATTGATCCCTTGTGTTAAAGAGATGACACAATATGTGGGAGGGTGCAAACCAGGCTGCATTAGGAGATATGACTACATTCTTTTTAAGGATGTTTTACAGTTGACTACAGCAGAAGAAAGGGAGTAGAGACAAGGCTTTCTTATCCTCTCAGCAAGGCTGGCAGGTCATTGTTCCCAGGCCGTGACCTGCATTTGTCACCATTCTGTGGAGAACAAACAAATCAACCTTTTAAATGCGCGGGGATCATCTCTGGCCCCTCTCTGTCAGCCTAAGCAGCATACACTGGGGATGCACTGCTCGGAGTGGGGCTTTTGTGAGGGCTTTAAAGAATGACCATTCTTGGAATTCCTGTCCCGTGCTTGGGTGAACTCATGCAGTAATTGGTGAAAGAGGGGAATGGGGAGCGGGAAACTGTCATGAGGTAGTTACTTTACAATTGCAAAATATTAAGCTGTCATGGTTGGTGGCTGTAGTGGTTTTCTGTTAAGTAAAAGTAGTGGACCATGGCCTCAGACACAATTTTTTTTAACCTCAGGTCTCATTTGTATAACTTTCAGAATGTTTTAGTTGAGACTGAAGAATATCTTGTTCTTTCAGATAATATTGAACAATGAAAATAAGTAGTCAGGCCAACTATTTAGAACTTTCTCAAAACTGTCCATGGTACTCTGCTGCCCTCTAGCTGTAGAAATGCTTAAGGCACAGGTTAGAAGGTATGAGAAGGAATTTCTAAGACATCTGGAATGTTGGCTTTGTTTTGTCTGCTGTAAATTGTGTTCTCAAGTCCTCTTGATATTCTTCTCTAAGCTGGTAAAATGCATGCTTGCCTGTTGGTGAGATGGGAAGGAAGCATGACATGGTGATGATGAACAGGGGCGTCATCCAGCCATTATTTTAGAGGGGCCAAGAAGTACATGAGGATGGAGGGAGGGTGGTCCAGATTTCAGGGAATGTTGCATTTTTCAAACACCTGAAACAGATTTTTCCTGTAATCTTGTCATTTTAACTAATAATGCACATTTATTCTTTAATAACTTTTATGCCTTAGGAATTTAGTATAACTGCCACTGGGATGTAGTATCATAACCCAATAATTAAAGCAATTTTAGTCTCTTCTTACATTTACCAGACGCTCTTATCCAGAGCGACTTACAGTTAGTGAATACATATATATTTTTTCATACTGCCCCCCCCCCGGGAAACAAACCCACAACCCTGGCGTTGCAAACGCCATGCTCTATCAACTGAGCTACATCCCTGCCGGCCATTCCCTCCCCTACCCTGGACGAATTGTGCGCCGCCCATGAGTCTCCCGGTCGCGGCCGGCTGCGACAGAGCCTGGATTCGAACCAGGATCTCTAGTGGCACAGTTAGCACTGCGATGCAGTATCTTAGACCACTGCGCCACTCAGGAGTACAGCCAGCAGGCATGCCAGCTAAGATAGTTAGACAAGCTATTCTAACTTGACTGATAGCCTGAAATGGCTTGGTAGCTAGTTATAAGGTTGGGAGATTGGGAACGTATCTAGCTGGCTAGCTAAAGCCAACTTCATAAAATTGCTAGGTGGCTAGTATTACAGAGAAACAACAAAACGTTTTTGTTTTATTTATTCATCAAGAAATAATCAATAGGCTGCATAGCTTGATCAAACTCATTTACAGACATACCTCCTGCGAGTCCTGCCCATCACCGGCAGCTAAAAGCAGGACCGAGTTTGGGAAACCCTGGTAGAGTATCTAGCATCCTGCCTTGCATATCTTTGCTCCGTAGTGCACCTTGGAAGGAACCACTTACTAGGGAGGGGGGGGGGGGGTTACTCCTTGCCTGGTCCAGTCAGTGCCCCCTCTGCAAAATATCTCTGATAGATCTTTTTTATAAATAATGATGATAAAATGTGGCCTTAAAAATGAAGTTTAGTAATAAATGTAACAAAACAAGTGCCCTTGTGCCCCCTATGGGCATGACACCTCTGATGAAGTTTCATAACAAACCTCAACTCCTTCTTCATGAGGGGAGAGAAAGAAAATGTTACAGAATACATATTGAGAGACTGACACTGCTGGAAGATGAATTGTAGACAGTGTTAATGGACACCCCAAAAGCACCATTCACTGCAAAGGGCTAAATCTTAAACATGCCTCAGTTCTTCAGGAGTCAGATGTCACTATCTCTCTTTTGCTGTGTGAGTCTGTGTTGCCCTATATGATGAACCTGAAATATAGAAAAAACGTCCTCGTCTTCAGTCCTTTTAGTTTGCACCTCATCGTCACTGAGTCACTCTGAACCCTACAAAGAATGCTTGTTTCAGACATATTTTCAACAATACGAAGGACACTTTAAGCCCTTAAAAAAATGAAAAATGCTTCCAACACAAGAACATGCCTCAAGATTTACAGTAACATCCCACTGGGCACAGACATCAATTCAATGTCTATTCCATGTTGGTTCAATGTAATTTCATTGAAATGACATGGAAACAGCGTTGATTCAACCAGTGTGTGCCCAGTGGGATCAGATAACGTAACAAATGTTTTCTGTCCACTCAGAGACTCCAGAGAGCGCCAACAACAGTCATTGTAAAACTGGGACAGACAATCTGTGATATAAGACTGTCTGTCAGTGGGTGACAGTGACTCTTCCATGAGGTAGTTACCAAAACAAAAGTAAACAAAATTCTACGGCTGTAGTGATGCAGGACAGACAACAGCTTTTGTTGCTGGTTACAACAACAGCCACTTCACCACGTCAGTAAGTACCCTCATAGAAGTGTTGTGACAGTTGTCTGAGGGTCTAATGCAGCCAGTGATTGATAGGAGAGCCCAATTCACTGTGCATCTCTCTTACAAAACAAACAGAAAGCCTAAGAAAGGAACAGGCAACTTACAGCCAGCCTTCAGACATCAAACACTGAACAAACAAATCAATAGAATACATACATGTACTGTATGTTGCCTTGTTATTGAAAGGACATGAACTCATAATCCGTGTCTGAGTTATCTGAGAGCTTTAGGGTTGTGTGGTTGTCATTGTATGCAGGTCTGATACGCTGATGATGCCAGGTCATGAGTGAATTAAATATTCTGGGCTTTAATTTTTTCTCCCTGGAGGCTTGCTGAGGTCTGAGCTTGGCGCTCAGATCAGCTCCAGTATGAATCTGGTCATTCTTGAAAGACCAGCCAGGTGGAAACAAGAGTAACGCTGTTGAATCAAGTGCCTCCCAGAAGCAAGACACTAAGATTACAATCAACACACCTTACCTGACATATAGTGCGCATGGGATAGTGAAATACATGACTGTGTTCCTTTAAGAAGTGATCTACATAACATGAAATGGTGGTCATACTAGGCGGTTGGCTGACTGATTGCAGAAGTAAACAAAACCATTTGTTTGTTGTGTGGTTAATGGTTAACCTCCTAAGCGCCTGGAAATATTATATTATTCAGAGAATTTACTTACTTTACATATTGGCCCATCTTTGTTGAAACATATGATATATTTCAGTTGTGCAAAAGCAGTTTCACTTTTCTATGCCTCCACTCATTGCCTATGTACAGCATGACCTGTTACGCAATTGGTTTTACTATGAGACCAATGAAAATACCCTGTGTCTGTTTCTGCTGAGGGAGGACATAGAGTTGTGACCATATCAATGCCAGGAATGTGATCCCCCATGGTGACATGGAGAAATGTGTCAAATACTTTATGTATTTTTCTCAAGGAAGGTACAGTAGGATATTTATCTATATTTTCACATTCACTGCAAACTCTGGAAGGATCAGCAACCCCTCTTTGTCAAAACCCCCTCCCATAATGATCAAATATCCACTATCACATTTTAAATGAGCAGCCTACCATATCATCAACACATTTCACCCCAAGCCCTAAAACACTAGCGAAACCTGAATATAAGCAAACAGATACCTGTCCATACAACCTTACTGTAATTCAACTCACACATGATCCCCCACAAACCATTAAATGTCTATACTGCACACACTCAATACTGCTACAATACCAGAAGCAGTTCTGCCTAGCCTGGCGAGAGAGTTGATTGGGATATAATGTGTCTCTCTAGCCCAGTTTACACCTGGTGCTAACATGCATCCTTTGTCCTGATCTTGTCCACATTCTGATTGTGCACACATTTTTTAAGACAGGTGTAGATGATTAAAGGACGCATTGTGATCTGATTGCGATCAGATCTTTCTGACCACCTCCGGAGGTAGTCAGGGACCCATTGCATCTGGATATCAATCAAGTGTAAACAGATCTGGATGGTCAAACCATTTACCACTAGAAAGGCCTCGAGGGACCCCCCTTCGAGCCAGTGATGAGTCTTTTGGATGTCAACATTCTAACAGTCTAATAAATACATTTCATGTATGCTATCGCAAAAATAGTCATTTGGTTGTGTTTATGAAGTTCTTAGGTAACATTGGAATATGAAAGAAAATGTATTTCAAATAAAACAATTTCATGTAACTGCATACAATAAGTACAAACGAAAAACCACTAAAACACCACAATTCAAGTGTTAAAATCCATTTAAAAAAACACCATCACAAAGATCATTAATTATTAATTTGTTAAGGGCAGGTCTTCAGGAACATTTTGAAATAAAAAATGTTTTCTTCTGAAGAACAGAATGGCATATTTTGAATGTAAATATATTACAGTACTTTGAGTGTTTTGCATACAGGGAGGCCCCAGGAAATCTGGTCACAATGCAGACACAGTGGATGGATAAGAGACACATTTTAAAACCATGTGTAGAGCCGACAAACCTTGATCAGATAGTGATTGGATCATATCGATCAGATCACGAAACCCACAGGTTGGGGCAAGGTGTAAGCGAGGCTTCTGTTGATGGATGGCCCATCCCCAATGTGCCACTCCCTGGTTAAGGAGAGCTCCACCTGTCCATGATTGTGAGGGCCCACCCTGTGACAGCCCAACCCAGGTGGGAGGTGCAGAGCAAGAGAGTGGGGAAATGTGGTCTGACGAGAGAGAGAGAGAGAGAGATTTGAAATGTCTTTATTCTTTTGAAACTTCTGAGTGTAATGTTTACTGTTAATATTTATTGTTTATTTCACTTTTGTTTACTATCTACTTCACTTGCTTTGGCAATGTTAACACACGTTTCCCATGCCAATAAAGCCCTTAAATTGAAATTGAATTGAATTGAGAGAGAGAGAGAGAGAGAGAGAGAGAGAGAGAGAGAGAGAGAGAGAGAGAGAGAGAGAGAGAGAGAGAGAGGGAGGGGCAGTCAGCCAGGTGGAGTCAGGTGTTGTCTAAAGTCTGGGCTGGGACAGTGTCATAGTTCTATACAGTAGTAGAGCAGTAGGGACTGTGTGGAGCTGGGCTGTAGTACAGTCTCTGACTGACTGACTGACTGACTTGTCGACTGGCACTTAACAGGAAAACCAGGCCTTGTTTATCAACTGGAAAAGGAATTCTACATAACACCGAAGAGAGAAACTTGTCAGAGTGGAACTTTCTTTCCCCTCCCCTCTCTCGCTCATTCACTCTCTAGTCTCTCTCGCAGTGGCTGGAGCTGGGGGCTGTGTGAGTTTGTACAGTAGTCCGGAAAGAGAGTGAGAGGGAGAGAGGAAAAGAGAGAGCAGGGGAGTGGACAGAGGCCAGGGGAGACATGCTACGCTACGGCTCACCAGGATCGGTCACCACCACCGAGGACAGTTCAGAGCAGCCCAGTGAGGTAAGGAGCCCCAGGGGGCCACTCAACAACACATCTCTCGTTCGCCTGTCACATGGCGTGTTGGTTTGTGTAAGTCAGTGTGCTTGTAGACTATCTTGGTGTTTGTTCGCTTTTGTCTCCGCTCCCCCCACTCCCCATTCACCTTTCTCTCTCTCAATCTTTTTTCCTCACGTCTCGTCTGTCTGCGCAAGGCTAGTTTTCGTAGCATGTCTACATCGCAACTAATCATTCTCACTTTTTGAGTGTTGCCTGTATGTTGGAATTTTGCATGTGGCTCAGGCATATGTTTATCTGTTTGAGCTTGTAATAAGAGCCGAGTATCTGGGAGGCAGGGCTGTCATGTTTATTTGATCAGCCCAGAGCGCCTAGCAGACCGCGGCATGAAACTGCCATTAAAAGCCATTCTCACAGCTAATTCTCACAACATAAAAGCCAACATGGAGTTGGATTAATCCTTATGATGATTACAGCGTCATGTTTCACTCTCAACCAAGATAACCATTTTAAGAAAGTGAACCTGCCTAAACATTGTTCCCATTGACTTACAGTACGTTAATCAGCTCCTAGGGCACCTTAGTTCTAAAGGAATGTGTCACAGTCTATAATTATAAATACGGATGGTGGCCTGTTGTATTTGTTCCCCATCAGAAACATTCCACTGCTTATTGTAACCCAACAATCAGGCTTACTGCCACACAAATGTTGTGTCTCAAATGCTAGATCACATTATATATGAACCAATCCATTCTTATGTAATAAAGAGTGACACTGGGGAAAACAACACATTTTAGTTTTCATCCAACTATGACATTGATTACTGGTGCATGAGCTTGAACTGAGTGACATTGACATTTTCTTTTTCTGTCTGTGTGTGTTTCTGTCTGTTTTTGATTCCCCCAGAGGAAGATCCGGCGACTCAGGCTAACTCTTCATACAGGAGACAATGGACAGAATGAGACCAAAAAAACAACCTCAGACACAGTGAGTCTCAAAAAGCACAACCAGTCACCCTCACACACCCAGTCAACCTCACACGTCTTCATCTTCACCACCCTATGGGACCTGGATCTTATCTTTTCCCTCTCTCACCTCCCTTAATCCTCGCTTCCTCAACCTGTAGTCGGTGTGCTCTGCATCTTTCCCTTTCTTATTCACAGCCCTCTCTATCCCTCAAATACACTCAAACACTCAACACTGTAACCAATGTAAGTCAGGTGTGAATGTTTATGAAGTAGGAACCAGCTTTGATCCAGTTTTAGAAACATTCCATGGACTGTCTACACAATACAGAGACAGAGAAAGGTGGAACCACAGAGATTTACTGCTGCTATGTTATCTGGGCTGTTGGTTATGCAATTAATTGTATCCATACAGGGGTGTGTACACTGCACACACACATACACAGCTGTGTCTGATTTTCACAGTACTGTGCACGAAGTTAGAAGGTGCCTGTCCCTTTTCATCAACAGTACAACTCTCTTCAGCACAAGCCTAGCTGACAACAGGATTACACAGAGTCGCATGCTGTTGTCTGTTTTCAGATGCCAAATATCATATATAATGTACACGACACATGATGACATCTTACTGTAACATTTTATTGGTCGTCTTATACAAATATTTAACCGATAAACAATCACTAAACAATCACTAAACTCTTTTTAATTACAAGGTACCTACTTGGTACACATGGGTATCCTACATCTTAATAAAGGCAGGAATGTTGTTTGCCAGAGGTGGTTCACCGTTTTGCTCTGTTTGTGTTAGGAAGCTGTGGTCTGGCAAAGTGTCATCAGCTAGTTTGTAATGGAAGTGTTTGACAGCACTCTGTTTGCTGCTTGGAATCACGTTGAGGTTGGGGGAAGTATGGTTTTGGTCGCTCCTCCATAGAGACCGAGATGGTGACAGAAAGCAGAGAGATAGTGTCACGCCCTGGCTCTAGGGACTCTTTTATGTTGAGCCAGGGTGTGTAGAGTCTATGTTTTGTGCTCTTTGTTTTCCATTCTAGGTCTTGTATTTCTATGTTGGCCAGAGTGGTTCCCAATCAGAGGCAACGAGTGTCAGCTGTTGCTGGTTGTCTCTGATTGGGAACCATATTTAAACAGTCTGTTTTCCCTCAGTGTTTGTGGGATCTTGTTCCGTGTTACTAGTAGGTTTTGTTTGAGCTAAGGACGTCACGTTATCGTTTTGTGGTTTTTGTTCGTGTTATCCTTCAGATTTAATAAATATGTTTGCATTCAACGCTGCGCATTGGTCCTCTGTTCCTGACGATCGTGACAGAAGATCCCACCAAAACTGGACCAAGCAGCGTGTCCAGGAGCCATCGCCAGGGGAATCGCTAGCGGATCTCCGTGGTAACCTCGACTGGGTCAAGCCTAGTGAAGAGCAGAGAGGGTGGACTTGGGAGCAGTGGAGGAAGAGTCTCGACTGGGTCAAGCCATGTGAGGAGGAGAGAGGCTGGAGTTGGAAGCAGAAGAGCGAGAGTTGGGCGAGAACTATAGAGGCCTGGCCCACGGGGAGGAGAGACCCCCAGACATTTTTTAGGGGGGGGCTCACGCCGTGGACGACGGGGCAGCAGGAGGCCGCGATGGAGCGGTCCAGCGGGTTTGCAGAGGAGGCCGCCAGGTTAAAGGGGCCACTGGTCACAGAGGAGAGGGAAAGTGTGGAGGCACGGCGAGAGGTACTGGGGTGTGTTACCAGTCCGGTCCGGCCCATTCCTGATCCCTGCATAGGGCCAGTGGTGTGTGTCCCCAGTACGGTCCGGCCTGTTCCTGTTCCTCGCATCGAGCCTGTGGTGCGTGTCGTCAGCCCGGCCCGGCCTGTTCCTGCTCCCCGCACCGAGCCTATGGTGCGCGTCGCCAGCCCGGCCCGGCCTGTTCCTGCTCCCCGCACCAAGCCTATGGTGCGCGTCGCCAGCCCGGCCCGGCCTGTTCCTGCTCCCCGCACCAAGCCTATGGTGCGCGTCGCCAGCCCGGTCCGGCCTGTTCCTGCTCCCCGCACCAAGCCTATGGTGCGCGTCGCCAGCCCGGCCCGGCCTGTTCCTGCTCCCCGCACCGAGCCTATGGTGCGCGTCGCCAGCCCGGTCCGGCCTGTTCCTGCTCCCCGCACCAAGCCGATGGTGCGCGTCGCCAGTCCGGCCCGGTCTGTTCCTGCTCCCCGCACCAAGCCTATGGTGCGCGTCGCCAGCCCGGCCCGGCCTGTTCCTGCTCCCCGCACCGAGCCTATGGTGCGCGTCGCCAGCCCGGTCCGGCCTGTTCCTGCTCCCCGCACCAAGCCGATTGTGCGCGTCGCCAGTCCGGCCCGGTCTGTTCCTGCTCCCCGCACCAAGTCAGTGGTGCGCGTCGCCAGCCCGGCCCGGTACATTCCTGCTCTCCGCACCAAGTCAGTGGTGCGCTTCGTCAGCCCGGCTCGGCCTGTTCCTGCTCCCCACACCAAGCCAGTGGTGTGCGTCGCCAGTCCGACACTGCCCGTGCCTGTTCCACCGGTGCCTGGTCCGGTACCGGTCAGCTGCTCCACGTCGGAGCTAGAGCAATCCGCTCCACCAGTGTTCAGTCCAGCTCCGGCCAGCAGGGCCAGACCGGACCAGGGGTACTGTGGGGGGTTAGAGAGGGAGTGGGGATCATGCCCAGAGCCGGATCCGCCGCCAAGGCGAAGTGCCCACCCGGTCCCTCCCCTGTGGTGTTCTGTTGGCGCGGTCGGAGTCCGCGCCTTTGGGGGGGGTACTGTCACGCCCTGGCTCTAGGGACTCTTTTATGTTGAGCCAGGGTGTGTAGAGTCTATGTTTTGTGCTCTTTGTTTTCCATTCTAGGTCTTGTATTTCTATGTTGGCCAGAGTGGTTCCCAATCAGAGGCAACGAGTGTCAGCTGTTGCTGGTTGTCTCTGATTGGGAACCATATTTAAACAGTCTGTTTTCCCTCAGTGTTTGTGGGATCTTGTTCCGTGTTACTAGTAGGTTTTGTTTGAGCTAAGGACGTCACGTTATCGTTTTGTGGTTTTTGTTCGTGTTATCCTTCAGATTTAATAAATATGTTTGCATTCAACGCTGCGCATTGGTCCTCTGTTCCCGACGATCGTGACAGATAGGTCCATGTTGTACTTTGTACAATGTTTCTCTAACCTACCCCACCCCTTTACCATCACAGTTCAGCTGATAGCAGTGTGACTAATGGTGTGGTCTGATGGTGTTTGCCTTCAGGAGGCTGTGCATGTTTCCAGCATTGCTACTGATGAAAGTCGACAGCTAGGTCAGGGTTGAACAGAGAGCAGCACAGAGGAGAACAACTCTGGGCCCTAGTTAATTAGGGCCCAGAGTTTCTCCTGGTCTGGTTATGTGGTCTGGAAATATTCAAGGCCCTGCTGATGACACAACACATCTGTGCCAGTCGTATGGGGGCCGTGCCACTCTGCCACAGCCAGCTGTGCGCTCCAGTCTGCAATGTGGCATCAGTCTGTGCTGAAGCTAGGCCCACTTAACGAGCCACCCAGCGCTAACGAGAGCAGTGCTCTGGAGTGTCCAGGACATATTGCACATGACATTAATAATTATCCCAGCCCATTAACTTCAGAGGCCTTTACAGATAGGCCATGAACAGAGGATTAGTATGTAAGGACGCACAGTGGGAGAGGAGGAGAGGAGGATGTTCAAAGTGACCCCATCCCCTCTAGCTTCCCTTTATCTATTGATTTAGCAGGCATGTTGAAGGCAGCTGAAATTGACATAACTCTACCCTTGTTGTCAGGGTTTCAGTCAGTAATGCCAGTTCAGTATTCATCAGTACAGTGGATCACTTTGAATAAATAAAACAGTAAGCAGATGATGTCACTATGACCTACATCCGATACTAAAGGTCAGCATCAAACATGGAGAGTGACTATTGTGACATCACGGTTGAACTCGCTGTCTGTAGATGTTATCTTCAGAGGAATTTAAAATATAGGTAACTATAGGTAACGCTCCCATATTGTGCACACATTCTTGGTTTGGTAGTCATTTGGAAGTGAAACCTGGGTAGCAGGATACAAAAACACTGTGTGCCACAAAGAGATGGAGAGGACACAGAAAGAAAACAGGCATGACAAGACAGTTAATCGAAGGAGGGAGGAAACGTCTTACATTTAAGACTGAGATATTATGCTTCAGAAAAGGACAATGACGAAAGTGGTGATCTACCATGAAATGAAAAAGGGCATGTCCTGTAACCCGACACTCCGTGGGAGACAGGCCTATCAGTGACTCTGACCTGGATGTGGTGTAATGCAGCTGCTCCATGTGAACTGCCTGGTGCTAGACTGGACGTTTACATGCCTGCAGTATAAGCCCCCCACTGCCACAATGGGCTCGAGTCAAAGGATGGTGTTTTCAAATTTAAGGCAATTCAATCAAATGGGTTACATGAACAAATCTTTGAACTTCTACAGGACATGTACTGTATAGTAACTTCCACATACGTGTCCTAAGGAAAGGAAATGAAGCTCAGGGCACAAAGCAGTATTACAGAGGTATATAGCACAGTGGGGTCTTTCATTATGCAAGCAATTTTGATACACAGCCAAGCTTAGGTAACATTGTCAATTCAAGTAGTGAATAGTACACTCTTGGAACAAAAGGTGCTATCTAGAACCTAAAATGATTATTCGGCTGTCACCATAGGCATGTCCCCTGTAGCTCAGTTGGTAGAGCATGGCACATGCAACGCCAGGGTTGTGGGTTCGTTTCCCACGGGGGGGCCAGTATGAAAATGTATGCACTCACTAACTGTAAGTCGCTCTGGATAAGAGAGTCTGCTAAATGACTAAAATGTAAAATGTTACCATAGGAGAACCCTTTGAAGAACTATTTTTGGTTCCAGGTAAAACCCCTTTGGATTCCATGTAAAACCCTTTCCACAGAGGGTTCTACATGGAACCCAAAAGAGTTCTACCTGGAACCAAGAAGGGTTCTCCTATGGGGACAGCCGAAGAACCCTTTTGGAACCCTTTTTTCTAAGAGTGTAGAAGCAAATATTGCCCATTGCTTTGTGATTGAGTTCTTCAGACTAGGCCTCTCTCATCTGGTTTTCCATGAATACATAACACTGTCAGTTCAGTGAGGGTCAAGTTCCTTTGGCAGGACATTAAAACTGTTTGCACAGCCCCTTATCTGACTGGATAGAAGAACAAAAAATCTGTTTCTGTTGCAGCTTCAGCTTCAAAGAATCCAGGACAAAACTGGAATAAATGCTCCCTCTGCAAACATGCTGAAACACAGATATTGTAATATTTAATATGTAATAGTGGCTGACATATTGAGTTCTTTCAGAGGGTGTGTACAGTACTGGCCATAAAACATAATGACGGCCATTCTTCTCTCCCATCTGTTGGAATTCACATTGCCTATTTGGAGCCCCTCATAATTTCTCGTCAGCCTGCTCTCTCTCTCTGTGGATTATCTGGTGTGGAAATGTGAAGCAACGTCCAGCTCAGGAGGCCATGAAACAACAGTGGCGTCATTGTTCCCCATCTCTTATCTCTGCTGGACGCGAAGGACTCCTTCTCTCTCTGGCTGGATGGGCTGCAGAGTAGAGGTCTTGGCTGAAGTTCCTCTGAGCTAATATTTATTTAGTAGGGAAGCTCCTCTTTTCTCTTCTTAGAAACAATCGTTTTTTAGTTGTTGTCCGAAATATATATCAATTACCATCCAGTGTTGTTGAAGTCTGTCATTAAGTGCTTAAGGAGTGTCCAGAAACTAGGCTTCTCCTAGCTCTTTCCCCACAAAGCATTGTGGTAGTCCAAACCATTCTTAAACATTGTTTTTAAATATGGGTTATGACTAAGATGTGGTCTAGAAATGACAATAATGACTATTCCCAGTGATCAAAACTACAGTACACTATGTTCAACAAAGATGGTAGTCTGTCATCAACAGTTTGATAAGAACAGGTACATGATCCATGCATTTAAACTCTACACTTAGCCCATATCATTATCTGAAAGAGGGGAATGCATTGTGTACATTGAAGCATATAATTTGCAAACTAAATATGTGGCTAAAAAAAAACAAAAAAAACATGAATTCCAAGCATTCAGTAATAATCAGGTTACTGTTTGTGAAATATCTCCAGACATTGTGAGCACACAGTTAATTCGTTTCTGTTTGTCTTCTCAGCAAGAGGAGAAGGTTGTCAACGGAACATGGAAGAAGAAGAACAGACTCATCCAGAGAGAGAGGCCAGCTGGCAGTGAGTCACCTGTACAGGTAAACGACCACAACCACAACATAAAAAGCTATCACCTTAGAGGCTTTTGAAAGGGAAAGTTACAGAATGTTATGATGAGACAGGGAAGTAACTTCCTGAATTAGTGGTCAACCCTGCTATCGGCATGTGAAACACAAATATGCAAGCTATGCACTGTATACATTTAGAACATTTTGTTCTATCCTTGATATAACCTATCCTCAGATAATTCCAAGTATTGATTTCTGTGTATGTTAAACATATGTTGTCAATGTGGAGTATTGGGTACAACCCTCTGCCTCTGGTTGAACAGAGGTCACATGGACCTGTGTGCACAACCTGGTCTCAGAGCATTTGGTATTATTCTGTACGCAAATCCGGGACACTCCATTTAGTATGATGTCGGCCGCGACCGGGAGACATGGGGCGGCGCACAATTGGCCCAGCGTCGTCCAAGGTAGGGGAGGGTTTGGCCGGCAGGGATGGCGTTTGCAATGCCAGGGTTGTGGGTTCGATTCCCATGGGGGACCGGTATGAAAAAAATAATGTATGCACTCACTAACTGTAAGTCGCTCTGGATAAGAGCGTCTGCTAAATGACTAAAATGTAAATGTAAATATGTTATGTTTCGTATGGTATGTATTAATTTGGGGATATCCATCACCCATTTCATATGATATGTTACGAATTACAATTCGTATTATATGTTACGAATTTGCTAAATGTACAATATGTTACGAATTTTCTAAAGCTACAATATGTTACGAATTTGTTAAATCAAATCAAAATCAAATCAAACTTTATTTGTCACATGCGCCGAATACAACAGGTGCAGACCTTAACGTGAAATGCTTACTTACAAGCCCTTAACCAACAATGCAGTTCAAGAAAGAGTTAAGAAAATATTTACCACAGGAACTAAAGTAAAAAATAATAAAAAGTAACACAATAAAATAATAATAACGAGGATATATACAGGGGGTACCGGTACCGAGTCAATGTGCGGGGGTACAGGTTAGTTGAGGTAATTTGTACATGTAGGTAGGGTTAAAGTGACTATACATAGATAATGGACAGCGGGTAGCAGCAGTGTAAAAACAAATGTAAATAGTCCGGGTGGCCATTTGATTAATTGTTCAGCAGTCATATGGCTTGGGGGTAGAAGCTGTTAAGGAGCCTTTTGGTCCTAGACTTGGCGCTCCGGTACCATTTGCCGTGCGGTAGCAGAGAGAACAGTCTATGACTTGGGTGACTGTAGTCTTTGACAATTTTTTGGGCTTTCCTCTGACACCGCCTACTATATAGGTCCTGGATTGTAGGAAGCTTGGCTCCAGTGATGTACTGGGCCATACGCGCTACCCTCTGTAGCGCCTTATGGTCAGATGCCGAGCAGTTGCCATACCAGATGGTGATGCAACCAGTCAAGATGCTCTCGATGGTGCAGCTGTAAAACTTTTTGAGGATCTGGGGACCCATGCCAAATCTTTTCAGTCTCCTGCGGGGGTAAAGGTGTTGTCGTGCCCTCTTCATGACTGTCTTGGTGTGTTTGGACCATGATAGTTTGTTGGTGATGTGAACACCAAGGAACTTGAAACTTTCGACCCGCTCCACTACAGCCCCATCGATGTTAATGGGGGCCTGTTCGGCCCGCCTTTTCCTGTAGTCCACGATCAGCTCCTTTGTCTTGCTCACATTGAGGGAGAGGTTGTTGTCCTGGTACCACTCTGCCAGGACTCTGACCTCCTCCCTATAGGCTGTCTCATCATTGTCGGTGATCAGGCCTACCACTGCTGTGTCGTCAGCAAACTTAATGATGGTGTTGGAGTCGTGTTTGGCCACGCAGTCGTAGGTGAACAGGGAGTACAGGAGGGGACTGAGCACGCAGCCCTGAGGGGCCCCAGTGTCGAGGATCAGCGTGGCAGACGTGTTGTTGCCTACCCTTACCACCTGGGGGCGGCCCGTCAGGAAGACCAGGATCCAGTTGCAGAGGGAGGTGTTTAGTCCCAGGGTCCTTAGCTTAGTGTTGAGCTTTGTGGGCACTATGGTGTTGAACGCTGAGCTGTAGTCAATGAACAGCATTCTCACATAGGTGTTCATTTTGTCCAGGTGGGAAAGGGCAGTGTGCAGTGCGGTTGAGATTGCGTCATCTGTGGATCTGTTGGGGCAGTATGCGAATTGGAGTGGGTCTAGGGTATCCGGGATGATGCTGTTGATGTGAGCCATGACCAGCCTTTCAAAGCACGTCATGGCTACCGACGTGAGTGCTACGGGGCGGTAATCATTTAGGCAGGTTACCTTCGCTTCATTGGGCACAGGGACTATGGTGGTCTGCTTGAAACATGTAGGTATTACAGACTCGGTCAGGGAGAGGTTGAAAATGTCAGTGAAGACACTTGCCAGTTGGTCCGCGCATGCTTTGAGCACACGTCCTGGTAATCCGTCTGGCCCCGCGGCTTTGTGAATGTTGACCTGTTTAAATGTATGATATGTTACGAATTCTAGCTAGGTGGCTAACGTTACCTAACTAGCTAGTGTTAGCTAGGCTGGGGTTAGGGTTAGGGTTCAATTTAGGAGTTAGGTTTAAGGGTTAAGGTTATGGGAAGGGTTAGCTGAAAGGGTTAAGGTTATGGTTGGTGGAAGGGTTAGTTAAAAGGGCTAGGGGAAGGGTTAGCTAACATGCTAAGTAGTTGCAAAGTAGCTATAAAGTAGTAAGTAGTTGAAAAGTTGCTAAAATGCTAAAGTTGTCCGCAATGAGATTCGAACTCGCAACCTTTTGATTGCTCAACGTTTGCGTTATACGCCCACCCACAACACTTTTGCTTTTGCCTTAAGTAACCATCTGTCTTATGTAACCATACCAAACGTAACATATCATACTAATTTGAGTGTCCCGGATTTATTGTCAAAGGCAAACAGATTCACCTTCCATGGTTTATACTGGAGTCTGTGGCATAGTAGTGCAGGCCATTGTTTTTGGCTCCTCTATTGTTGAAAAATGTAGGGTAGATAACAGACTCTACTCAAGTGTGGCTGTCTGATCATAACAATGGAAACATATTACTTCTTCACACAGTAAGATGACAAATATTTGCATTCAATGATAAGAGAGGATTTATTGTGAGACTTTGATAAGATACTGTATCTGTGTCACTCAGTGGATTCCTCTCATACTGTATGATACTGTAAGATAACATAAAGGTGCTAGAGCCACTTCCTGATACTGCTGAGCAACAAAGGACCTGTGTCAGTGTGGACCTGTGCTCCTTGAGAGCCCTGTTGGAGAGAAACAATAGCAGGGAGACAGCAGGAGCTCATGTACTGGGTTGCAGAAACATAACACCCTCACTGCACCCTGTTTCCATCCCTGCTTCCCAACCTCCAGATTCAAGTGCTCAGCAGCAATTCTCGAAATACCTGAGCATGCGCACATATGCAAACGCACAAACACACACATAGGGGTGAACACACACACACCTACAGGCTGGTAGAAAGTGTGCCTAGATAGAAACCTGACCGGGTTGATCCTGTCTCCCTCAGCACCTCAGAGCCAAGGCCAATGGGGAGCTAGAGACGTCGCTGCAGCGACAGGACAGGCCCAAGGTGTACGGTGTGTTGCAGAGGACAGACTCGGACAGACAGCAGGAAGTGATGGCGTGCGAGTGGTCTGTCAATCACCTGAGCGATGAGATGAGGTACATCAGGGAGGTGAGTGGAGATGGTGAAGATAACGATGAGGCTGATCCAAGTTAAGGAGTGTAAACAGAGCAGTGGCCTACAGTACAGTACACCTGGACAGGCCTGCAGGGTATCCAAGAGCTAACATCAGGATTCCATAACATGGACAACATTATGGATTTGTTAAGCAATTAAGATGGATTACCTCAAACGTGTGTTCATCTCTGTGCTGCACAGGTAAGAGATTCCCTGGAGAATGTCAGAGAGCGGATGTACGGCCAGTTTGGAGGAATGCAACAGTCAATGCAAAAACTATCCCAAGACATCAGAGTAAGACAATACACCAAAGCACACATGACTAATAAGACAGCTAACAGCTGGAAATCCTTTCTCTTTCAATTTCTTGTAAACACAAAATGGATACAAAATCTGATAATTTGGTGTGCCATGTGTGTCTCTTCAGATTGCCAATTCCCAGAGGAAGACTCTGGAGAAAGAGGTGAGGGTTCGGACTGCAGCCATGGACAGCTTCGACCAGATGAACAGTTCCCTCATATCTACCAACATCGACCTGCAGGTACAGGATCAACGACACTGTCAAACAGGCCTGTCACTGTCTCGTCAAGGCCATCCCACTGGGCACAGACGTCAGTTTAGATTTACATTTGGTTGAGTTGTCAACTAATGTGAATTAAATGTGAAATCAACCAAAAATGTCACCCTGTCATTGGATTTAGGTTAAAAGATGGGTGAAAAAAATACGAAATTCCCTTACTTTCATGGCTTTTTGCAAATCCAATCAGTTTTCCACGTTGATTCAATGTCATCACATAGAATTTTTGGGTTAAAATTACATGGAAACAACATTGGTTGAACCAGTTTTTGCTCAGTGGGATGTCTCATAACCCTCCACGGAATGTCTTAATCTTCTCAAACAGAGATGTGCAGCACTATACTTCCTTCTTCTACTGATGTGTGCAGAGTGAAGGATATCCTGTCTGGTTTATTATATATGTTTGTTTTATAAAGTAGCTCTAAGCTGTTAATCTTAGTTTCAGTGTATGAGTCAATCTTTGCTGCAAGCAATAATGTCCACGGGTTGGTTTGAGGAATTCAAGTACTAGTTTCCTTTGCAGAAATCTCTACTAGAGAGCTGTCACAATCGCGTGGACTCACGGGATGAGATGAAGAGTCTGAGAAGCTCCTTTCAGCAGGCCGAGGAGAGGCTGAAGGAGAGGGAGAGGCAGCTGGAACTTGCCCAGGCTGAGAACTGCACACTCAAACTACAGGTAGAGTACTACTGTAAACACAGTACACCAGCACCACACAGTGGATGGCACAGGCCTGGTAAGCGTTTGCTTTTTGTTTATGGGGCACAGTTTACTCTGGTCATTAGTGATCATGGGATACATCATCCTCACCCTGAATGAGTGCCATGAAGTAGCAACTGTCATCACAATTGTTAAAAGGTTATAAAAACAATTCCAATAAATGCAAAAGTTGTACAATGGATGAAGATACTTCGAACTTGATTTTTTAAAATCAATCAGATGGATGGACAAATAATGAATGAATGGAGTTCAGGGATTTTGGTGGGTTCAGGTATTAAATTTGTCAAATTTCCCTTTTGTTTTCTTAGAATGCAGTTATATATATATATATATATACATTTTCTAATGGTATCAGGTATTGTGACTCATTTATGTAAATACACTGGGTGTATTTGCATATATGAAAACATTTACTTATATCATGGCATTGTTGAATACTCGTTTCTGATTGGCTTGAAGGGCATTCTAAAGCGTGCATTATTTCCCTATAACGCATGGTATATCAGCGTGGTAGAATTGGCTATAGTTCATTCTTACATGTTCTATGTTTGAGCTGGTTTTGAAAGCAAAAGTCGAATTTAAAACATTATTGGCATTGTTGAATTCGATTTTCATAATAGCAAGCTTGCACTGATGGTTTGGTTAGCTAAACCAAATATTTGTTATAATTATATGCCATTTAGCAGACGCTTTTATCCAAAGTGACTTACAGTCATGCGTGCATACATTTTTTTGTGTATGGGTGGTTCCGGGGTTCGAACCCACTACCTTGGCGTTACAAGCGCCGTGCTCTACCAGCTGAGCTACAGAGGACCACTTATCTCATTGTTCTATCTGTGGCTAAACTAGCAAGTCGGTTTGTTTGATTACCAAGGCAACTACTGTAGCGATCTAGTAAATGGGGCGGCAGGTAGCTTAGTGGTTAAGAGCGTTGTGCCAGTAACCGAAAGGTCGCTTGTTCTAATCCCCAAGCCTACTAGGTGAAAAATCTGTCGATGTGCCCTTGAGCAAGGCACTTAACCCTAATTGCTCCTGTAAGTTGCTCTGGATAAGAGCGTCTGCTAAATGACTAAAATGTAATGTAATGTAAATGTGCTAGATACTGTGGATGTTGAACACCTTTCTACCTGCAAATGTGTTAAATTATAGCCATGGTATACAGTCGTGGTCAAAAGTTGAGAATGACACAAGTGTTGGTATTCACAAAGTTCGCTGCTTCAGTGTTATGAGATATTTTTGTCAGATGTTACTATGGTATACTGAAGTATAATTACAAGCATTCCATAAGTGTCAAAGGCTTTTACTGACAATTACATTAAGTTTATGCAAAGAGTCAATATTGCAGTGTTGACCCTTCTTTTTCAAGACCTCTGCAATCCGCCCTGGCATGCTGTCAATTAACTTCTGGGCCACATCCTGACTGATGGCAGCCCATTCTTGCATAATCAATGCTTGGAGTTTGTCAGAATTTGTGGGTTTTTGTCTGTCCACCCGCCTCTTGAGGATCGACCACAAGTTCTCAATGGGATTAAGGTCTGGAGAGTTTACTGGCCATGGACCCAAAATGTCGATGTTTTGTTCCCCGTGCCACTTAGTTATCACTTTTGCCTTATGGCAAGGTGCTCCATCATGCTGGAAAAGGCATTGGTCGTCACCAAACTGTTATTGGATGGTTGGGAGAAGTTGCTCTCTGAGGATGTGTTGGTACCATTCTTTATTCATGGCTGTGTTCTTAGGCAAAATTGTGAGTGAGCCCACTCCCTTGGCTGAGAAGCAACCCCACACATGAATGGTCTCAGGATGCTTTACTGTTGGCATGACACAGGACTGATGGTAGTGCTCACCTTGTCTTCTCCGGACAAGGTGTTTTCCGGATGCCCCAAACAATCGAAGGGGGATTCATCAGAGAAAATGACTTTACTCCAGTCCTCAGCAGTCCAATCCCTGTACCTTTTGCAGAATATCAGTCTGTCCCTGATGTTTTTACTGGAGAGAAGTGGTTTCTTTGCTGCCCTTCTTGACACCAGGCCATCCTCCAAAAGTCTTCGCCTCACTGTGCGTGCAGATGCACTCACACCTGCCTGCTGCCATTCCTGAGCAAGCTCTGCACTGGTGGTGCCCCGATCCCGCAGCTGAATCAACTTTAGGAGACGGTCCTGGCGCTTGCTGGACTTTCTTGGGCGCCCTGACGCCTTCTTCACAACAATTGAACCTCTCTCCTTGAAGTTCTTGATGATCCAATAAATGGTTGATTTAGGTGCAATCTTACTAGCAGCAATATCCTTGCCTGTGAAGCCCTTTTTGTGCAAAGCAATGATGACGGCACGTGTTTCCTTGCAGGTAACCATGGTTAACAGAGGAAGAACAATGATTTCAAGCACCACCCTCCTTTTAAAGCTTCCAGTCTGTTATTCTAACTCAATCAGCATGACAGAGTGATCTCCAGCCTTGTCCTCGTCAACACTCACCTGTGTTAAGAGAGAATTACTGACATGATGTCAGCTGGTCCTTTTGTGGCAGGGCTGAATGCAGTGGACATGTTTTTGGGGGATTAAGTTCATTGTCATGGCAAAGAGGGACTCAAAACTGAGGCAGCAGACTTTGTGAAAATTAGTATTTGTGTCATTCTCAAAACTTTTGACCATGACTGTATGTCTAGGCCTCCCTGCAGTTACCTGCGCTGTCTAGACTGCCTAATTAATGACTATTGTTGTCACATTCTGTTGCATAATTCAACAAGTTAGTAGGATAGCCTCGAATAAAAAATCAACTCGCGTTCCTCTAGATTACACCTATCTATACATACTTTACATTGTTTGCGATATCCGAAATATCACTATAATCCGAGTGTTCATTTTCGAAAGTTTCTTTCATTTCTGCGCATCTACCTGTATTAAACGATTACTTTTTTCAATTCCACAAAAAATGAACACCCATCAAAATAAAGTTATTTCTTTTTCTTTTGATATAAAGTCCAGACGATGCGTTAAATCACAACAAAGTTTGAAAGGCGTTGCATGGTCATTCTGCCGTCTGCATTGACCATGCAGCATTTAGGGTGATACGGCCTCCGCAGCAGTCAGGGCATTCATACTTTTTGCGCTTCGCTGAGCAGCGCAGAGCTGTTGTAAAGGAAGTGAGTTTGTGTTTATACAGGACCTCCCGCCCTCGCCTACCGTCAACCAATCACGTCAATGTGGAGCTATATACTGTGTTTACAAACATTGCAGCAAGAGGGCATTCTTATAGAATGCCAACAAAAAAAGCCTCTATTTATATGTTGCTAATGAGTGCATTTCACACTACTTCTGGATTATAATTGGATTTTAAGTCTTGTATGAATGTCCTGCTTAATATAATGTTTGTGTCATCATCGCAAATCAACTGCATTATACTTAAAAACACTTCAACCAGTAAAATGGCTCTTTGACTAGCTTTTGCTACAGCCTATATCAACGAGCGTTAGCATTCTAGCTAACAACTGCTGCATCCAAAATAGTTATTTTGCAAAGATCAAAACCAAATATAATCATAGTGACTGTTCAAGCAAGAATTAAAACATCATTGTAATTGTATGAGAACCCCCAAAAGTTATTTTGTTTAGAAGTAATAAACACCTAAATCTAGGCTATGTTGAATGGGCGCAGATGATGATGGCTTTCTTATCGCCGCCAAGAGTCGTGAGACGTCCGTGTGTCGTGTACTGGAAAAGGGTCTATAAGGAGCCCTCCGCATTGTTCCAAAATTTGAGACGCTTATGGCGATACCGTACTGAGCTCAATTTGGGCTCTGCTTGCCTTCGTGCTTTCGGAGGCTTCACAATTGCGTCACACCATCCATACCGCGCTTCTGACCACATTTTCGGATCAAGCTTACATTGGCTCTTAGATGCAACGGAAAGACAATGCACTGAGCCTATTTCAGCCATTACCGGGGGTGTTTGACAGGTCATTACAAACATTTCCGCGGTCCTAACGTTAACGGGGGAAACGACAGGCACAAGCAAGAGTATGAAAGTGTCTCAGCAGTAAAATGAAAGCAATCAATCCAGCGAGATTTAAGTGACAAGTGGATTTTGCATCCCTCAAACACAGGAAATTGATGGCTGAAAAAGACAAATCCTCAGGTGGGTGGGGCATGCGCGTTGCTACATGTAGCCCTCTACAGCTGGCGTCTCTCAGCATTCTCTAGTCGGACTCATTCTCTGATGGCCTCTGCCATTAGCAACATGACTGTTTCAGCACCTACTTGTTGGTTTTAGGAACCTCACTATCAAGATCTCTCAATCTGTGTCTCAGATCCAAAGCTAAGCATACTTAGTTATTGTACAGTATGTTGGAGGGGTCATAGGGTACGGTACGTTGGAGAGACTTTCTTGTCCAAGATCTACTGTATATCTTGTAATGTAAATGTTAACTTTTCTAAGCAACTTTGAGATTAACCTCAGGTGATGTGTCTGAGTTTATCATTATATCAGGGATGGGCAACTGGCAGCCCGCCCCCTTTTGAAGGCCCTCGATCAATGCCCCCCCCCCCCCTTTTGAAGGCCCTCGATTTAAAAAATAAAAAAATCAGGAACTCAATCAGGGTCGCAATTACTGTTGCAAGTTAGAATAGTAGAATACACAAGGTGCAATTTCAAAATGTGGTTGTGCATCATCAGTTCTTTTTTAAATGTTAGTCACTGATAGTCACTCAATTAGCCCATGTCAGCTAAACATTTTTAGATGGGAAAGTTAGTCTAGTGGCCAGCTATCTAAATTTAGTAATCATGTTCGGATTACCGACCGGGGGGCCCCCATTGATTTTGTTAGTCAGTCTCACTCAATTATCATATTAAACCATATGCAAACATTTCTCTTCACCCTATGGAAAAATGTGTATAATATCATGAAATTAGTTGTAAAATTGCTCAATCTTCTCTCCGCCCCATGGCAAAATGTAGCAAACTTGCTTTTAAAACTGCAACATTTTCTCTACGCCCCATTGCAAAATGTGTAGAATTGCATGAAATTAACTCTAAAACGTAAAAATGTTTCTCCACTGTCAAGAGGGGGGGGGCTGCTAAAATGTTTTGCTTGCAATGTGGTGGGAGGGGGTGTACACAAGTGGGTACGCAGACCAACGAGTAACTGCGGCCCCTTATGATGAGTTCAGATTTTTTGTGGCCACACCCCCATCAAAGTTGCCCATCCCTGCATTATATGATTGAGATCTCTCTGTGGCTTACTCCCTTCAATTCATATTCCTCTCTACTTCAGTCTCAGAATTCTCTGCTTGATTTCACACACTTCACGCTCTGGTTATTTCATTCAACGTTCGATGTGACTCCCCTGATCCTTTGACTGATTGGCCTTCTCTGACCTGCATTGTCCGCTCTGACCGCTGAACACTCAACTTCAATTCTATGTGATGATGAATGACAGGTCATTGACAGACAGTTCAAGCTCAAAGAACCAGTCCTCCAGATTTTAAGTCTTAACATTCATGCCGGACTCACTGTAGAAAAATATAGAATCAATAGACATTTCTACATTAGTTATCTTTAGCAAGTCTTTGAATCGTCATGTTGTTGTATGAAATTGACTGATAGATGTGTGCTTGTGTTGTCCAGGTGGAGTCGTCTCAGGAGGCCAACAGCCATGAAGTGCAGGAGCTGACAGCGAGGCTACAGAGACAGTATGAGGAGAGACTTCAGGAAGAGCAGAGGAAACACAGAGAGGAGATAGAGAAGCTACAGGTACTGCTGAGTCTCCTTCTGATATCACTTCGCCCAAGCCCATGCCTGAAGAGAAAGGGCGGTGATCGATGAATCATGTGAAAACCAAGGCCAGTGATGTTTTCACCATCTTACATATTAATGAAATGTTTATATGTAAACCACAGGAGGCTGCTGAGCGGAGAACACTCATAATAATGTCTGGAATTCAGCAAATGGAAGGGAAACCATGTGTTTGATACCATTCCACTGATTCCGCTCCAGCCATTACAATGAGCTCGTTCTCCCCAATTAAGGTGCCACCAACCTCCTGTGATGTAAACTGAATAAAAGGTTCCAGTTTCACTCTGGTCATACAAGTGGTATGAGTCTCCCTCTAGTGGTACAAGTAACCCACTATGGTAGTGTCAAATGTAGAGGAGCCTAACTTCCAAGTGTTGATATGATAATGAGCCCAGATGAAATTGCATGTTCTCTGCCTTAAAGCTTTTAATATACTTTGTTTACCATTCATGTTTTTCAACTAGGCCCAAATTGACAAGTATATTAGGCGATTAGAGGAGGCAGAGAAGAATGCTAAGATTGCAGAGGCCAAGATCGCTGAAAGGGACCAGAGGATCAGTGAGGTGGAGCGCCTGCTGGACTGTATGGGACAGGTAAGACCCAGAATAATGCATGCAATATTATGCAATAATACAATAATGCATGCAACATTATCTTTATATCTATAGCATTTAGGTGTAATATGTCAAGTCCTTTGTGCAGGAATACTATAATAATATGTATTTTTTGAAGGAAAAGGGCCATCTTCAGAAGAAACTGCAGGAATGTGAACAGCGTCTACACTTGATGGAGGTGACATACAAAACAGATGCAACTGTAGCAAAGAGGTACAAATGCCAAAACAAAAATAACATTTGATATGTTCCACCCCATTGAAATGATATACTGAAGTGATAACACTATAATTCATTATTACAGTTCTCAAAAGTTGGTAGAGGAGGCAGGGGAGCTCCGTGAGAGAATCAAACACCTGAATGACATGGTGTTCTGTCAGCAGAGGAAGGTCAAAGGCATGATAGAGGAGGTGAATGACTAAGAAATGTATCTCTCTCTCTCTCTCTCTCTGTCAATGGAAACATGAGTACACTGACATATGAATGTTATACTGATATGCAAAGTTTGTTTCTTTTTTTCGTCTTGAAAATGTAAAGGTTGAATCACTACGAGCTAAAGTGGCACAGAAGGACATGTTCATCTCAGAGCTTCTGGACAGAATTGCTATTGTGGAGTGTGAGGTAAGTGTGGACTGCCACCACACTTTGTACTGTCCACTTCCTGAATCATTATGAATGTATGGTGTGGTTTTGAAAACGTAAACTTTATGGGTGCATTCATGTCCAGCGTTCTCCTACTTTTCGGATCGTCAATCTGTGGGTTGTGCTTTGACATTACTGTACCTCTAAATTCAGTGTTGCACCTTTTGTGACATCATCTGTCTCTGTCTGGTCCACTTGGATTACATTACATCCACCTCATTTGCATGGATCTGACTTTGTTCCTTCCTCTTTTCGTCTTCCTAGAATAATGAGTTAGAAGACAAGCTGAAGTATTTTATGTCTGTACAGAGTGCGCCAAGGGAAGTTGTGCAAACCAGAGAGATAGGAGTGGGCTGTGATCTGCTGCCCAGGTATGAACCACTGGTTCTACTGTACATGTGGCATCATTTCCTCTAGTTGGGTTTCTCTTTTAAGTTTCTCATTCTGTTTTCTCATTTTACTTTCACAGACCTGAAATACAAAAGTATGAGGTTGAAACTGATGTCCAACCTCCACCAGCACAATACCAACCCAGACAAACCCCAATTCATCCCTCTTCTACAGAATACCTTGGACAGTCTAGGACATTCAGATCAGGTCCACCGCCACCCAGCAGACTGGAGTCTAGTTTACTGAGGTACACTCCTCTTGAGTACAGTAGGTATCTATCAACCAACTCCTCAAGATCCTTTGGAACGCTAACCAGTCCAACACTGTCTACGTCTGGCCCTCTAAGCCCTGATCAGTCCAGTACAGAAGAGTCTGCCTCAGTTCAAACCACAGATACAGCCTCAAGTCCAGAGGGGGACATTTCAGCCCCATCCTGTTCTCGAGCAAGATCAAGCCCATCCAAAATCTACACACCTTTCATGAAACTTATGGAGATAACAGCAAAGATTAACATTGAGTAATCACGTGAAGAAATACTTTTTATGAAGGCTATTCCGTATGCTGTATAAGGGACTATGTTGCATATAGTGTAAATAGTCTACTGTTCTGTAAATAATATTTGAAAGTATCCTTTTGAAGAATTATATTTGGTTTTGTTTACAGTGAATGTTCTTGTATGGTTTATGGAATTCTGAATTCACTATCCTGTATCAAGGTTTATATTTATACTCTATCTTTTTCTGACATTTTTAGTTTGCTCTGTATAAATGAGATGCAATATTATTTTATTATTAGTCAAATTATGTACAAAATATGCTAAATATATATACTTTGTGCCTTTATTAACAGCTTAATCACTGATACTCCCACAACGGTGGTGATAATCGGTTGTTTTTTATCTATTGGATATTATTTAACTATATCTGACAACTGTATTTCTAGTGACTGCCATCCCTGAGCCACTGGTATAAGTAATTTGTCTACACTGCCAGGACTGTGTATAAAGTGAGGGAAAAAAGTATTTGACCCCCTGCTGATTTTGTACATGTGCCACTGACAAAGAAATGATCAGTCTATAATTTTAATGGTAGGTTTATTTGAACAGTGAGAGACAGAATAACAACAACAAAAATCCAGAAAAACACATGTCAAAAATGTTATAAATTGATTTGCATTTTAATGAGGGAAATAAGTATTTGACCCCCTCTCAATCAGAAAGATTTCTGGCTCCCAGGAGTCTTTTATACAGGTAACGAGCTGAAATTAGGAGCACACTCTTAAAGGGAGTCCTCCTAATCTCAGTTTGTTACCTGTATAAAAGACACCTGTCCACAGAAGCGATCAATCAATCAGATTCCAAACTCTCCACTGTGGCCAAGACCAAAGAGCTCTCCAAGGATGTCAGGGACAAGATTGTAGACCTACACAAGGCTGGAATGGGCTACAAGACCATCGCTAAGCAGCTTGGTGAGAAGGTGACAACAGTTGGTGCGATTATTATCAAATGGAAGAAACACAAAATAACTGTCAATCTCCCTCGGCCTGGGGCTCCATGCAAGATCTCACCTCGTGGAGTTGCAATGATCATGAGAACGGTGAGGAATCAGCCCAGAACTACACGGGAGGATCTTGTCAATGATCTCAAGGCAGCTGGGATCATAGTCACCAAGAAAACAATTGATAACACTCTACGCCGTGAAGGACTGAAATCCTGCAGCGCCCGCAAGGTCCCCCTGCTCAAGAAAGCACATATACAGGGCCGTCTGAAGTTTGCCAATGAACATCTGAATGATTCAGAGGAGAACTGGGTGAAAGTGTTGTGGTCAGATGAGACCAAAATGGATCTCTTTGGCATCAACTCAACTCGCTGTGTTTGGAGGAGGAGGAATGCTGCCTATGACCCCAAGAACACCATCCCCATCGTCAAACATGGAGGTGGAAACATTATGCTTTGGGGGTGTTTTTCTGCTAAGGGGACAGGACAACTTCACCGCATCAAAGGGACGATGGACGGGGCCATGTACCGTCAAATCTTGGGTGAGAACCTCCTTCCCTCAGCCAGGGCATTGAAAATGGGTCGTGGATGGGTATTCCAATGACCCAAAACACACGGTCAATGCAACAAAGGAGTGGCTCAAGAAGAAGCACATTAAGGTCCTGGAGTGGCCTAGCCAGTCTCCAGACCTTAATCCCATAGAAAATCTGTGGAGGGAGCTGAAGGTTCGAGTTGCCAAACACCAGCCTCGAAACCTTAATGACTTGGAGGAGATCTGCAAAGAGGAGTAGAACAAAATCCCTCCTGAGATGTGTGCAAACCTAGTGGCCAACTACAAGAAATGTTTGACCTCTGTGATTGCCAACAAGGGTTTTGCCACCAAGTACTAAGTCATGTTTTGCAGAGGGGTCAAATACTTATTTCCCTAATTAAAATGCAAATCAATTTATAACATTTTTGACATGCGTTTTTCTGTATTTCTTTGTTGTTATTCTGTCTCTCACTGTTCAAATAAACCTACCACTAAAATTATAGACTGATCATGTCTTTGTCAGTGGGCAAAAGTACAAAATCAGCAGGGGATCAAATACTTTTTTCCCTCACTGTATGAGAAGTTATGATAAGCAATAGCTTCATGATGTGCCTTTCTTGAATGATACACATCCAGTGCATACTAATGAAATCAGTGTTTTGAAAATGTGCCATTGTGCAATTGTGGTGTTTTTATAATCATTCATGAAAATGGTCAAGGTCCATTGGCTGAAATTGTCCATTTTGTGAAGCTTTCAGGGAGGTTATATGTAGCATCTAATGGTTTATATATACGCTAGATGACTAAAGGGGCACTGTGTTGAAGCCACCATGACTCCATCTTGGCACTCCACCACCGTTTAAGAAAATGATTTATATACATAATTGGTCGCATCAGTGTAATCTTTACTTCTCAACGCTAGGTGGCGCCATCCGATCAATGATCTACGTTTCATCTCCATTTCCATGCCATATGATATTAAGCAGCTTTGAAAGTATTTTACAGCAAGGTAAGCAAATACATAAATGTTGGTAAATAACATGTAGTTGATGCCATACTACTAGGTCTAAAAGAATATTCAAACACTCAAACGGCTTGTGTGGAGGAGTAGCTTACTATAGATTCCTGAAACGTAACAAACTTCTATGGTATGATCATTGTCGGTACTTGTCTGTCCTGCTGAGTTTTGATGTAGTCTTTGCCCGACAAGGTCAAGTTAGGAAGTGTAATATGATTAGATAGGGTTAAATAGTGGAATGGGGTGGTGTGTTTTTTTTTATAGAGAGGGCTAACAGTTGGCAGGGAAATTTTCCATTTCCTTTTTCCCAATTCTGAATTACCGTATCAATAATTTACTGTAGGTAGGCAGCGAATGGCCTCACACACCAGTACAGTAGGTGGCGGTGTATGCACATAAAAGTTGGATGCGATCCGCCAACCAAATCCTAAAGAAGAAGAAGAAGAAGAAGAAGAAGAAGAAGCAGACGATCGAAGGTTACGTACTTCCGTACTACTTCCCGTTACAATGACAGCGCGCGAGCTACGTAGCTACCAAAATAAAAGTTATAGCTAACAGACAGCTGTAGATGAAAGTATATTTTATTGAACAACAGAATCCCGTTAAGTGTAACGTTAATGGACTAACAAAGTAATGTTTTCATAGGGTAATTTGAGCTATTCGATAAGCTTATTTGGGCGGGTTTTAGACTAGTAGCTACTAGCAAGCTAACAATGTCCTCATCATCGTGGGCAGCTCCATCAGAACGCCAGGGGCAAGTGGGGGACCTCAAAACCAAGAGCAAAGAAGAACTTTGTGAATTACTGTCACGCCAAGATAAATTATTATCTAACAAGTAAGTAACTTCATAGCATTCATCTGACAGAAGCAATCTCAAATTATTAACTAGCTGCTTCAACAACATTACATTCTTCTAGAAACTTCCAGCTGTTGGCTAGACAGGGGTGCCAGTTTTGGCGCGTGTGTATGCTATCCCCCTGAATGTAGGCTAGCTAGCTAATGTTACTTGAACTATGGAAATGCGTTTTACCCTGAACCTGACATTCCTTTGTTTTTACGATCACTGCCAACTACGTTTTCTTAAAGTTGAACTGAAAGCAGTAGTTAGTTATTTGTTAGTCCTTGTTGACAGACTGATTTTAGATGTTGGTATCAACAGGAGGTTTATACAGACCCTTCCAGATAAAGGGAAGAAGATATCAGACTTTGCAGAGAGAATATGCCTAGCTCTTGCCCATAATGAAGAAGAGGAGAGGAAGCAAGATATGCTGTCATCTGTCAGGACAGAGCTGCAGTCTAAATACCAGCAGGCTTTGACACAAAGACAACCCGGTAGCCAGAATAAACCAGGAACTTCCCAACATAGGAGACAAGCTGTGGACACAGCTCCTGGAAATGTCCAAGAATTGGACGCCTCACCTCTGTCACCTAATGTTCAGGAGAGCAAAACAGTTGACACGCTGCAAGGACGCAATGTGTCCAAAGTATCTGCTGCTGAAACCATGGAGATGGCCCAGGCTGGTGGTGATGCCGGGGCCTCTCTAGACTCTGACAGGACAAAAGAGAGCGACCTAGCAGAGGCCTTGCAGAGGGTCACTCTGTCTGACCACTCAACTGGCTTGATTGGATACCCTAAAGACACATTCAACAGACCTGCTACTGGCAACCCCTTCCTTGGAAGGCAGCTACAGAAGACACCACACTACATAGAGGTCCTGGAGAGGACTGAGAAGGACCTCGCTACGAAGAGACAGAAGTATAAGCCTAATCAGTAAGTCCACATTGTATGAAAGTATATAAGAATACTGTATAGTTCATTGATGCTGCGTTTAGTTATGGAGATGCACTAGTATTCTCACCTACTAACTCTTCTATTAATTATTCCTGTAATGTTTGCAGGTTTGCCCACAACACAGACGGCTCCCCGTCAGGGTCTCAGTCGCCCAGCCAATCCCCTGGAGGCTTATTACATTCACCGGTGCTCTCCGTTGAGGCCAGGAGGGAGAGAGACAGGAAGCACATTGATGATATCACTGCAGCCAGGCTCCCACTGCTCCGCTACAGCCCTGCCCAGCTGCTGACACTAGAGCAGTCAGCCAACCTGCTACGTGAGCAGACCAGGAAACACCAGGTGAGTGGCCCATGGGTCAGTCTGACACATCACACCACAGAGGAACATTAAGATCTGTCCAACAACACCAAAATGCTCACTGCTCAAGGTAGCAATTGCCCCTAATTATAGATGTACGATCAGATTGCATGATGGGATTAAATGGGTTATACAGTTGAAGTAGGAAGTTTACATACACTTAGGTTGGAGTTATTAAAACTTGTTTTTCAACCACTCCACAAATACCTTGTTAACAAACTATAGTTTTGGCAAGTCGGTAAGGCATCTACTTTGTGCATGACACTAGTAAATTGTCCAACAATTGTTTACAGACAGATTATTTCACTTATAATTCACTGTATCACAATTCCAGTGGGTCAGAAGTTTACATACACTAAGTTGACTGTGCCTTTAAACAGCTTGGAAAATTCCAGAAAATGATGTCATGGCTTTAGAAGCTTCTGATAGGCTAATTGACATCATTTGAGTCAATTGGAGGTGTACCTGTGGATGTATTTCAAGGCCTACCTTCAAACTCAGTGCCTCTTTGCTTGACATTATGGGACAATCAAAAGAAATCAGCCAAGACCTCAGAATTGTTTTTGCAGACCTCCACAAGTCTGGTTCATCCTTGTGAGCAACTTCCAAACGCCTGAAGGTACCATGTTCACCTGTACAAACAATAGGACGCAAGTAAAAACACCATGGGACCACGCAGCTGTCATACCGCTCAGGAAGGAGACGCGTTCTGTCTCCTAGAGATGAACGTACATTGGTGCGAAAATTGCAAATCAATCCCAGAACAACAGCAAAGGACCTTGTGAAGATGCTGGACGAAACAGGTACAAAGTATCAATATCCACAGTAAAACAAGTCCTATATCGACATAACCTCAAAGGCTGCTCAGCAAGGAAGAAGCCACTGCTCCAAAAACGCCATAAAAAAGCCAGACTACGGTTTGCAACTGCACATGGGGACAAAGATCGTACTTTTTGGAGAAATGTCCTCTGGTCTGATGAAACAACAAATATAACTGTTTGGCCATAATGACCATCGTTACGTTTGGAGGAAAAGGGGGATGCTTGCAAGCCGAAGAACACCATCCCAACCGTGAAGCACGGGGGTGGCAGCATCATGCTGTGGGGGTGCTTTGCTGCAGGAGGGACTGGTGCACTTCACAAAATAGATGGCATCATGAGGAAGGAAAATTATGTGGATATATTGAAGCAACATCTCAAGACATCAGTCAGGAAGTTAAAGCTTGGTCGCAAATGGGTCTTCCAAATGGACAATGACCCCAAGCATACTTCCAAAGTTATGGCAAAATGGCTTAAGAACAACAAAGTCAAGGTATTGGAGTGGCCATCACAAATCCCTGACCTCAATCCTATAGAACATGTGTGGGCAGAACTGAAAAAGCGTGTGCGAGCAAGGAGGCCTACAAACCTGACTCAGTTACACCAGCTCTGTCAGGAGGAATGGGCCAAAATTCACCCAACTTATCGTGGGAAGATTGTGGAAGGCTACCCTAAACGTTTGACCCAAGTTAAACAATTTAAAGGCAATGCTACCAAATACTAATTGAGTGTATGTAAACTTCTGACCCACTGGGAATGTGATGAAATAAATAAAAGCTGAAATAAATTATTCTCTCTACTATTATTCTGACATTTCACATTCTTAAAATAATGTGGTGATCCTAACTGACCTAAGACAGGCAATTATTACTAGGATTAAATGTCAGGAATTGTGAAAAACTGAGTTTAAATGTATTTGGCTAAGGTGTATGTAAACTTCCGACTTCAACTGTGTGTTTAGAGGCAACGTCTACCTACCTATTCCATTATCACCACAAAAACACTGCTCATCTGATGAACACTCCCTATGCTACTTCTATTCATGGTATAGCATAGCAGCCTAATGCTTACTGCTAAGCACTTGCTAATTTCCCAGGTTATTCACCCTTTCAATGTCTCTCTCAGGAGTTGCAGGCCAAGCTGGCAGCCCAGAAGCTGTCTGATGGGCTGAAGTTCAGCACAGGGAGCTATGTTGTGGAAGGGGGCCCGCTGGGCGCCTACAGGGAGGTTCATGACGACGGAGCCCAGCTCTCCTCAGAGGAGGACTAATCCAGGGGGCCGCAGTAAGGAAACTCAGGTGACCTCTGAGACAACAGTCTCTGTGCCCTGCGTCAGGGCCTATGGAAGGAAGGGGATTGGCAATACAAAGACGAGAGGCCTGCCTGAGGAGCTGGAAATGGTCATGGGCTTCGGGTGGTTGTGAAGGCACAGTGGGTGTCCCTGTCTTGGCTGTCCAGGGAGGTGAATTGTGTGGGTCTTGGTTCACCATCAATGATTCACTGAGTTGTCACCCAATCAGCATCCTGTCCAGTTTATCAGAGCTGCCACAGAACCTCAGGCCTCCCGTTGGGTGATGTGTTAGCCTCTTGCATGGAGCATTAGGTATGCTACCTCCCCATGTTGTCAGAGAGTAAAGGATTGCCTGTATTGTGCCTAGGGAGGACTGGTGTCAGTTGTGTGATGAGGCTGCTACAGTATTGTCCGGTATTGTTGACTCACTTGGTGGTTGCATTTCCAAAACGGCAAAGTAATGACTGTCTGCATGTGAGAAATATAAAAAAAATATTTTTTGTATGATCTTTTTCTGCATTGTTTCTTATTGAAAATAAAACTCTGTTCTTACCATATTTTGGTTGATCTTATTCTATCTTGCTCTAGAAACGGGAACAAATCAGATATCCCTAACTTCTGTGAGCTCTGAAATTAAAGGTGGAAGCGGTTAATTGCTGTCTAAGACGGAGCAGTGTGCTGACATTTTCAGCGGAATGTTTTCTTAACCCCGCCACGGTTTGATGAGAGCTATGACTCAGCCGTCATTTAAACCCTGTGATGTTATCAGTGTAGAAATCTGTGACATGCTTTAGAAGATTAGTATACGATCTAGTGAAATATTGAAGCTTGATGGAATCGGGACCAATGGTTGAAATACATCTGGCTTGCATTTGGCTCATGTTACTTCCCGGAGTGGCAGGGTATGATGGAATGGCAGCAGACTGACATGCCGTTTTCCAGCTTTTTTATTTTTTACTAATGCTGATAAGGAGTGTCAACAATGTTAAAAACTCTTCCCAAACAGCCATTCCCATCACCTGCAGTCCAATCCTCCCTAAATGTTATACAGACCCATTTTAACTTTAGTACGATTCAGGAATTTTAATAATGAGAAAGAAAGAAGTGATTGAGGCGAGCTCAGGGGGAAATGAGGGAGAATTCATGTCGGTCTGTCTGAGCTCCATGGCTGATGCTCCTTGATAACCCCTGGTAATTGCTGCTCAGCCATTGGTGGGAGCTGCTGTAGAAAAAAACACCATCTGGCTGCTGTGTGTTTAGACACAGGTCTGATGGACTCCAGAAAGCTCTGCTCCGACGTCCAATAATAAATATGTCAGCGAGCTCAGGAGAGGATCTTCCTTGTACTGGTATTAATTAGGCCTACCTTGCTTACATAAATGTGGAGACTGTTACCAATTACGGGGTTGCATTTTTCCTACAGCTTTGCTCCATGGTTTCCGGCCTGCGCTATCACTCACAAGTACATTGATATGTCTGAGCTGGAACCAACCATGCGTTCTATGGCCAGAGTCTTTAAGTTGTTCGTTTGGGAGGTTGTTTATACTTGTGGTGAATCCCACACCCCTTACCTCAGATTAATAAACTGCTCATGAGCTAGTCTGCAAGTGATTTGCTCTAACTGCGTGTCCGAAATCACACATCTCTGGGGAGCTGGAATAATTTGGACTTGGGAGGGGAAAATGGCATATGATTTTAAAACTGCCTGTTCAAAGAGCAGCCAGCTCGGCCGTACAGTGAACAGTGATGTATAGACTGGCATTAAGCTCAATTTTGATTCTCAGCTAAATGATTGCATTCGCCTACGTTTGCCAGGTTACAAAGTCTGAGGTCATAAACATTTTTCCGTTCTCTTCCCTCTTATGTTTTTTTATTTTCTCAGAGCACAAAAGGATATGAAATAATGCAGCAGTCAGCAGCTTTGTGCTGATAGTTTCTCCCCCATCCCAATTACAACCAGCTCTGCCTCTTACTGGGATCAGATTGAATTATGGGTTCCAGGTTTTTTCGTTTCATTCATTTGTATTTTGATATGTGTATTGTTGATCAATTGTACATTTCAGTGTAATTTTCCTTTTATGATGTAGAGCTTTTTTCAACCAATGGTATTCACCGGAAATCTGTTTTCATAATAAATCCTGATGCGTGGAAGACATACGTCAAAGCAGGTCAAAAAATGGCAGTGTTTTGATAACACAGACAATATTGTTTTCAGTGAGTGGGTGCTACAGAACTGGTATCCTGCTGCATTTTCTCATGGATGTACATGTAAGTGCAGATATTAGGTATTATGTTACCCTATTCCTCTGCTATTCATTAGTCTAGTCTGCTCTTTCGGATGAGACCAGGTTACTCATAACTTTAACAAGACAACAGTGGGTTTCTCAAGCCTCTGTCTCAGTGTTTTCTTAATGTGAGAAAGTTGTGTGAGACAGACGGCAGTAAGGAAAAGGATTGTTTATGTCATTCCTGATGTCTTCCAGAAGAGACATCACACGTGGCCTCAACAGTCCTGAAAGTGTGTGCAGCTGCCTAATCATCAACACCATATGCAGATAGGATCACTGAATTCCCTGGCTGGTGTTACTACTATTAAAACAATAGAGATGCACTACAGCTGTCTGGAACTGGGTCTCATCATGCATGAAGTAAACATCCCCTTCAAAATGCTGCTATCTGGTATTTTTAGATGAAAACCATCCTTTACTTTTCCATGAGTTGATTTTAATGTCTGGTTTGTATGAAGACAGTGAAAGACATGGTTGTATACGTTTTCTTTGTTATATTGTGATACAGTGCCTTCAGCAAGTATTCATACCTCTTGACTTATTCCACATTTTGTTGTTACAGCCTGAAATCAAAATGGATTAGATCACCCATCTACACACTACTCCATAATGCCAAAGTGAAAACATGTTTTTAGAAATGTTTGCAAATTGATTGAAAATGAAATACAGAAATATCTCAATTACGGAAGTATTCACACTCCTGACTAAGTACATGTTATAATCACCTTTGGCAGCTTTGCACATTATTCTTTTTAAAATTCTTCAAGCTCTGTCAAGTTGGTTGTTGATCATTGCAAGACAGCCATTTTCAAGTCTTGCCATAGATTTTCAAGCCGATTTAAGTCAAAAACTAACTAGGCCATTCAGGAACATTCAATGTCGTCTTGGTAAGCAATTCCAGTGTATATTTGGTCTTGTGTTTTAGGTTATTGTCCTGCTGAAAGGTGAATTTGTCTCCCAGTGTCTGTTGGAAAGCAGACTGAATCAGGTTTTCCTCTAGGATTTTGCTTGTGCGTAGCTCTATTCCATTTATTTTATATTTTTATTCTGTACAGACTTCCTCCTTTTCACTCTGTCATTTAGGTTAGTATTGTGGAGAAACTACAATGTTGATGATCCATCCTCAGTTTTCTCCTGTCACAGCCATTAAACTCACCATTAGCCTCATGGTGACATCCCTGAGCGGTTTCCTTCCTCTCCTGCAACTGAGTTAGGAAGGACGCCTGAGTCTTTGTAGTGACTGGGTGTATTGATACACCATCCAAAGTGTGATTAATAACTTCACCATGCTCAAAGGGATATTCAATGTTGTTTTTTTTGTTTATTTTTTCATCTACCAATAGGTGTCCTTCTTTGCGAGGCATTGGAAAACCTCCCTGGTCTTAGTGGTTGAATCTGTGTTTGAAATTCACTGCTCGACTGAGGGACCTTACATATAACTGTATGTGTGGGCTACAGAGATGAGGTAGTCATTCAAAAATCATGTTAAACACTATTAATGCACACAGTGTGATTTCATGCAACTTATGTAACTTGTTAAGCACATTTTTACTCCCTGAACTTATTTAGGCTTGATATAACAAAGGGATTGATTATTTATGGCCTTTCATTTTGTATTCATTTGTAAACATTTCTAAAAACATAATTCCACTTTGACATTATGGGGTAGTGTGTGTAGGCCAGTGACACAAAATCTAAATTTAAGCCATTTTAAATGTAGGCTGTAACACAACAATATTTGAAAAAAGTCCAGGCGTGTGAATATTTTCTGAAGGCGCTATATGTGAGTTAATTCAGTAGAGAAGGCCTTTGCGCTGGCAGGGACAAATAGAAAAGGTGGTATGTATTATGCAAAAATAACACAACCATATAAACATTATGTAGATAGAAGCTGATCATGAAATGGAAAAGTTATGTCCATATAGCATTTCATATATCTTTAATATAGTGCTTTGCCTGCATAGCATTCTGAGTGATATACGTCAAGATATAGGCTACTGTATGTCCAGGTCACACATTGCATGCAGAACTGTATCCTTCCGAGGTTCCATGTGGAATACACTATGACAGGCTCTGCGCTCCTGTGGTCTACAAGAATAAGCCACGTTAGTTTCCCTAACAAAAATATTTATCGTACAGTAGCTGTATCCCTGACCACATATGGGGGAAAAAAACAACATTACATGGCTGTAATTAATTACTATGACGTTTTCAAGCTACCTCCAGCAGATGGACTACAGACTTGTTACCTACAGAATGTAGCTTCCGCAGTCTAACACACGATGGCAGTAGCACCACTTTGTTTATGCCCTTCCTGACGGTACCTTGAACCTGTTGTCTCGCACCTTTTTACACTGGACAGACCACCAACATACAGTCAACTTTGAATAAACATAGGAAGGTTTTTATTGGCCGGTTGACGATAATGATATGTATGCAGAAAATAACTTAAGTTCTGTTTTCATGCAACTGCTCTCATGAGGATACAGTCAGTGTTGTTTGTAGAAGTTGGAATGCAAGCACACCAGCAAGGCCTCGGCTATGAAGACACCTCATCATAACTGAAAGTAAGTGTCACCATTTCTGAATGGATTCGGCTGAACAGCTGTCAGCTGTCACTTGCAGTCCTGAGCTGACATAATTGTGTTTAATTCCAGATAGCCAGACCCAGCTGTTCTGAGGTGTGGTGGATGTCCCTCATGTGGGGCCCAATGGGCCACAGCCCAGCATCTGCTTAGTCCAGATAACACCAACAATCAGCCCAGATCTACATCTACAAATCCACCAAGAGGGGAAAAAAAACTGACTGAAATCGCTGTTTACATCTGTGGCTAAGCGGACTCAACAACTGTTGCTTGGAGAACTTTGCATAACAATCATGAGGCTGCAGAAAGAAAAGCAGAGAAAAGAGGGTCTAGATGGGCTGAGGCCCATGGTGCGTGGAGCGGGCCAAGAAGCTGCCAGCGTCCCAGCCGCCCCACGTCTGGGCTGGCACGGCATTAAGCGGGCCGTTTCGAGGCCTGTCAAAAGCTCATCACGGCGAGGAAGCCGTCTCCGTGGGGATGCTGCGGGAGTGCCAGGACACGGTAGGGGAGAGAAACCAGAGTCTTGCCCAGCAGCTTGGCCATAATGAGGAGGAAAATTCCCATTCTTGTATCCAGATTAATGTAACAATAACAATGCGCTTTTGACCAACTTTTATTTTTTCCCCCTTAATTTCTGCCCGTATGCTATACCAAGTGCATTAGTGATGATTAGTAGACCTATATCTTTTGGTTATCACCTATTTATATCTAATGGAGTGATGTGGAGGGG